AATAAATAATAATTGTTAAATTTATATTTTTTATAATAAAAAAATGCAAATATATATAATATAATCTTTGTAAAAATAAAGAAAACCATAACAATTGTACAACAACAAAGGAAATACTATTAAAATATGTTTATAAATTTACATTCCGATAGCTCGAGGCTCTATAGTACATAATTCACACATTATAAATTTCTTTTAAAAAAAATATATGCCTGCAAGTTTATTCTAAAAGGCATGTTAAAGAATAGGAGACATGGAATGTACGGACGGACACCAATAATTTATTGGTCAATGTATGTTTATTACCTGCAGCCACTCTGCCCACATTCAACTTGAATGTCCCTTTTTTTTTTTTTTTTTTTTTTTTTCTTTTCTTTTTTTTTTTTTTTTTTTTAACGCGTGCGGTAGTAATTACGAGTATTATTGCTAAATATTACTCCATTTGTTCCACGTACCAGGTTAACGTTACCGTTTCTATCGTCTCACATACCATATCATTTTTTTTTTAAAATAATTATACACTTTAATCTCATTTTAAACTTTTAAACGTTTTTAAAAAAATTTAATTAAACTAATTTATTTTCTTAATTTTAATTTATAATTATTTATATTATAGAATAATTATTTTCACTAATATATTCTTAATTATCTACTAATTACACCCCTCCTAAAATACCGTGTCTACAGTGTAGTCGACACTGTATGTGAAACGGTGGTAGTAATTTCTTTTTTCTTTGAGATGATATAATATATATTCATTTTATCTCGTTAAAATATATATATTTTTTTCATGTTGATCTCATTTTATTTTTAAATAAATTTATTATATTTTAAAATATATTTAGCAAATATTAATAAATTTAATTAAATTTTTAATATTTTATAAGTAAAATTCACTGGCAACTTACTTATTTATATCTCTATTCTAAATAAATAAATAAATAAATAAATATTTGTATTTATATTTAAAATCATCACTTTTTATAAAATTAATTTTAAATTAATTATAAATAAATAAAGAAATATTTTTATTTATATATTATATAAAATGAGATTCCGCATATATTTTATTTAAATATAATATTAAAAATATTCAATTATCTATAATATTATTCATATAAAATATAATAAAATAAAAAGAGGGGTACTATTTGTCTTCAATATTTTGTCAGGATTATTATAAATATGATAATTTAATAGATATATAATTAGTAAATAATTAATATTGTATTAATAAAATTAATTATAATATAATAAAAATAATTATAATTTAAAATTAAAATAACTAATTAATCTAATATAAATTTAAAAGTATTTTTTATTTACATTTAAAATTTTATTTTTTATAAAATTAGTTTACGTTAATTATAAATAATTATATTATAAAAAAATATTAATTTGTATTAAATAATATATATTTTGCATATATTTTTTAATTAAATATAATTTTTGAAATATTTATTTATATATTCTAATTTTAAAATTATATATATTAAATCTTTTTAAAACTAATGATATTATTTATTATATAAAAAATAATAAAATATATTATAATTTATTAATAATAATAATTAATTAGTATTAATTAATTAAATATTATTATATTAAATAGTGTATCATTTATTTTTTTTTAAAAAAAAATGTTAACTGAGCCGGAAGGGAACAAGTGCTACGTATTACTCCATTATTATTACTAGTATTATTAACTGACAATGAATGAAATAATAGTGTGGGGCATGAAGATGAAACAGCACCATATTTGACTGCCCTAAACACGTGTGACTCTCTCTCAGACAATATAAATAATACTCCATTACTCTCATATATTGTTTCTGCTACATCGTAGATACAAATATTTTAAAAGATATATAATTAATAAATAATTAAAAATATATTAATAAAAATAATTATTCTATAATATAAATAAATAAAAATTAAGATTAAGATAACTAATTAATTTAATTAAAATTAAAAAATAAATAAATTAAAAAGTTTAAAATAAGATTAAAGTGTATAATTATTTTTCAAAAAAGAAAAAAAACATGGTATGTGAGACGGACAGAAACAGCAACGTGGACATAATATGTGGGACGGAGGGAGTAATACATACATATATTTTGTAAATATTTATATATATATACTCCCTCCGTCCCACATAATTGTCCCTATTTTCTATTTTCGTCAGTCCTACATAATTTGTCATTTTTTTTTTAGAAAATTAATTATACACTTTAATCATAATTTTTTTTTAATCTTAATTAAACAATTTAATTATCTTAATCTTAATCTATGATTATTTTTACTAAATAATAATTATTTTTACTAATATATTTCTTAATTACTTACTAATTATACTTTACCTAAATTCCTACATTAATACACTCATATTTTTTGGGACGGATGAAGTATATATGAAGTAATTTATTTATTTATCAAAAAGTATTTTCATATTTTTTGACATATATCATTTTTCTAATTTTATTTTATTTTTTATATATGATTTTCATAGTACGAATGTATTTCCTTGTAAGATTATAATTTTTTCTTTTGATTTTGAGTAATAAAATTTTAAATTAAAATAATTGTTTGATGTAATATAAATATATATTAATGTGATATTTTGAATATAGAACTATATTTTAGTATAATAAAATTTAAAAAAATATTTAATTTAATATTTTTTTAATAAAAAAATTAAAATAGTAAATTTATATATAAAATTCCACAAGTAAACAGACTCTACATTATTCATCAAGATTTTATTAAAATCATTAAATTAAATATATTTTATTTTAAAAATGATATCCATTTTAAATTATCATTAATATTCTTTATGTTCATATCTTATATTCATATTGTTATTTCGTATCTTTTACATTTCATGCCATATTGATTTTTTTAAAAAAAAATATTACATATTTTAATCATATTTCATATTTTATTTTTTTTAAATTTTCAATTAAATTAATTAATTATTTTAATAATAATTTATAATTATTTATATTTTATTATAATTAATTTTATTAATATATTTTAAATTATCTATTAAATATATCTCTCCCAAATTAATGTCTATTAATCAAGACACAAGATTTTATAATTAAAAAAAAAAAAATTGAATCAAATTGCTAAATAATTGATCAATAGCCCACAAAAGTTATTACTCTATTCATTCCACATATAATATCATATTTTTTATTTTTGTATCTCTCATATATTATGTTTTTTTTTATTAAAAAATATTATATATTTTAAATTTTATAATTTATATATTTTTTTATTATACTAATTAATTATTTTAATTTATAATTATTTATATTATATTGTAATTAATTTTAATAATATAATTTTAATTATTTATTAATTATATTTTTTCTAAATTTCAGTATTTACGGAATGAACAAAAAGTATGATAGTATTATTATTATTATAGGATAAAATTGAACAGTAGCCTATAAATTTTGTCAAAAAAGTGATGAACTGAAAGCATGATTAGATTTGATTTGATGAGACAGAGGTGACATGTTGGAAAAATGAAGCTTACCAAAGATAAAAATAAAAATAAAATATGCCGAGGCTTCGATTTAGATAGCTATTTTTAGAATTAAAAAAAAAAAAAATCCCTATATATGGTTACAATTAAATGTTTATTTTTTATGTTAAATTTTTTTAAATAATAATATTTAAATTATAATTTATAGTTAAAAATAATGTAATAATATTTTTATTTTTATTTTTATATAAAAATAAAATATAATATAAAATAAAAATATTTATAAAAAAATATATTTAATTTAGAATATAAAAAAAATATATAAAAATGTTTAATGTAATATTTTTCTATAATAAATAAATAAAAATTAATTATATAACAGAGCCTAAAACAGTATATAGAATAGAATTGCCAGCAGCCCATGTTCCCTAAATTTCCATCAACTATCTAATCTTAATCATTCTTAAATTCCAAATTCCATTCTAAATAAATTCAACATTAATCATTCCTTCATTCATCATACAAACAAATATATATATATATATATATAAATATTATATATATAGTTGTGTGATTTATAATAAAATGATGTAGAATTTTTTCAAATTTTACATTTTTTTTTATAAATAATTTCTAATCCCACCACTATATATTCAATTATTATTATCTCCTGATTACACTTCAAGGACGAAAATGAATATTTATTTAAATTTTTATATCTTACTATATTTTGAAAAATAGAAAAAAAAATATATTTGATATTCTATTCATCCAAGTGGAATACATTTATTTATTAATATCATAAAATAATACTTACTCGCTCGCTCTCACTTGTTCTATCATTTTCGTTTTTCAATAATTTTAATTTTTTAAATTATCTACAATAAAAATGACACTTAAAATGGATAAAATAATTTTGATATTTTTACTTTTGCAATATTTGTATATTAATTATTTTGACTATAATAAACAAAATTATAATTTTAAATTGAACAGAGAAAAGTATATGATTAATTTTATTATAATAAAAAATAATAATTCTATTAAATTAATAATAATTCAATTTTACAAATTTTTAACACAATTTTCAAACTTTTAACTCTACAATTTTTTCCAAAAGCATATATATATATTTAAAAAAATATTTTATAAAAATATTATTTTAACATTAAATTAAAATCTAATTTTCTCGAATCAAACTTAAAAAATTTTACTCTCTCGTTCCTGTCCAACTCCTTAGATTTTCATAATATATTAAAAAATAATAACATTGTATTAATTAATAAAAACATATAAAATAATTTATTCTTTTTACCATTTATATTTTATATAAAAATTACAAATGATGACTATTTTAATATTAAGTGAACTATTATTAAGCTAAAATAAATGATATTTTGAATTAATACAATATTACTTATAAGGTAACATAACAAACCATCCCTTCTCATTATCAATTAAGCCAATATACTTAAAAATAAAATTTAATCAACCAAACAAAAATATATAATCAAAATGAATAAATTCATATACGAGTTTTCAATATAGAATTCTTTAACGAACAAGGGTGGTTTAAATATGCACGTGACCTTAGTTGTACAGGTCATCGTCATCGCCGGCGGCGCCGGCAGTTGCAAAGGGATCGGATCCACCGGCGGCACCACCACTGGCGGCGGCAACATTGTCTGCAAATCGGAATTCCGAGCCGAATCCTCTCGACTGCTGCAGTGTCTGCGCAAACGCTTGGTACTTGCGTATGTCCGCGTCGCTTACGCTCCTTCGTGCGTACTTCATCGACTCTTCGAAGTGAGATGGCGTGATCTCGGCCACCTCATCTTCGGCGCTGTCATCTTCCTCCATCGCCTCCGGATTCTCCTGCCGTTTCTTCTCTCGTTCGATGTCCTGATAAAGACACACGTGTAAGTTTCTATTGTTCGAGTTCAACTCGAATATGCTATAAATTACATAAATATAAACATATTTATATATTATTATAATAATTTTATTAATATCGAAAATTTTGATATAAAAAATTTATAAACTAACATTTTAAATCGAGTTGCCTGATCCAAATCGAGCTTAATTTGAGAACTATTCTATTCGTTTAACAAGGCAAGAATTTATATAAAAATTTATAAACTAATGAGTTACATCGAGTTGCCTGCGCTCGTTTATCTCTATAAACGAGTCAAGTTGAGCAATTAACGATCCGAATCGAGCTTAATTCGATTCGTTTAATAGCGCTAACAACACATAACGAATGGGCAAAAATATCGTACCTTTTCGATGTTTTCTCGGATGGCGTATTTGCAGGCGCGCTGGCAGATTTCGGTGATGTCCGCACCGCTGAAGCCTTGGGTATACTTCGCGAGGGCCCTGAGGTCAATGTCCTTCGAAATGGGGGACTTGCGGAGGCAGGCCTTGAAGATTTGGTAGCGGGACTCCTCATCGGGGAGCGGTATGTAAATGAGCTGGTCGAGACGGCCGGGTCGGAGGAGAGCGGGATCGATTATGTCGGGGCGGTTGGTTGCGCCGATGATGAAAACTGTTTTCTTAGCATTCATGCCGTCCATTTCCGTAAGAAGCTGGTTGAGGACGCGATCAGCGGCGCCGCCGGCGTCACCGACGCTGCTTCCTCGCTGGGTGGCAATCGAATCCAATTCGTCGAAGAACAGCACGCATGGCGCGGATTGGCGCGCCTTGTCGAAGATTTCCCGGACATTCGCCTCGCTCTCTCCGAACCACATCGTGAGAAGTTCGGGACCCTTTACACTGATGAAGTTCGCTTGGCATTCGTTGGCGATCGCCTTCGCTAAGAGCGTCTTTCCGCAGCCAGGAGGGCCGTAAAAGAGAACTCCTTTCGACGGAGACATGCCAAACTTTTCGAACTTCTCGGGATGCTCCACGGGGTATTGAACCGTCTTTACGATCAACACAGTATATATATACATAGAAGAGATTAATTTCCGAAATCGATAAGTTAAAAAGGACGAGTTCGTAGTGATAACACGGTACCTCTTGGAGCTCACGCTTGACATTGTCAAGGCCTCCGATGTCGTTCCAGCTGACGTTGGGAACTTCGACGACCTATAATTTGGAAAAATTGAATGTTATGAACCAAACAATCAGAAGAATTTGCGAAAAACGAACAGGTTTCGTACTGTTTCGCGTAGAGCCGAGGGATTGCTGCTTCCGAGAGCAGTCTGGAAATGCTCGTTTGTAACAGCCATTGAGTTTAGTATCTCTGCATCGATCGAGTCGTCTTCCAAGTCGATCACGTCCATCTTCTCCCGGATGCATTGCAGCGCAGCCTCGGTGCACAAAGCAGCTAAATCCGCACCGACGTAGCCGTGCGTCTCCTTACCGATTCTTTCCAAATCAACCTGAAAAAAAATATCAAATAGAAATCAGATATATAGAGTTCTAAGAATCGGAAAAAAGGTGATTTTTTCGCTTACATCGTCAGCGAGCTTCATGTTCTTCGTATGAATACGAAGAACTTCAAGGCGTCCGACTTCATCAGGAACACCGATGTCAATCTCCCTGTCGAATCTCCCGAATCTTCTCAGCGCAGGGTCAATGCTATTGGGACGATTTGTCGCGCCCATCACGATAATATGAGCACGAGCTTTGAGTCCATCCATCAGTGTCAGAAGTTGCGAAACAATCCTCCTTTCAACTTCTCCATTAGTTTTCTCTCTTTTCGGCGCAATCGAGTCGATCTCATCGATAAATATAATCGACGGCGCATTCTTCTCAGCTTCCTCAAACGCCTTCCGAAGATTGCTTTCGCTTTCTCCAGCTAATTTCGACATGATTTCAGGCCCATTGATACAGAAAAAGAATGCGCCGGTTTCATTAGCCACAGCTCGAGCAATTAAAGTCTTTCCGGATCCTGGAGGACCGTAGAGCAGAATTCCTTTCGGTGGCTTGACACCAATCGCCTTGAAAAGCTGTGGATGCCTTAGGGGAAGCTCTACGAGCTCCCGAATCTGTGCCATTTGTTTACGAACTCCGCCGACGTCATCGTAGCCAATCTCATCCAATCTGTTTTCATCCTCCCTTTTAATAGGTTCTCCTTCACAGAAGATCTCAGTATCCGGGGCGACTACACAGTACTCGGAAGGATCGGTCTCGATAATCTTGAACTCCACACTCCTCATTCCTCCCCTCACAAGAAAGAAATCGCCTTTTCTCACAGGTCTGTATGCCTCAAGAAAATATGCTGCAGTAACATACAAAAGAGTCGGAACAATATCAAGAAATGAAAAACTATATATAAAGTGCCAAATTAACATCAAATTACTTCTGATTTAGAATAATTCACAATTAAAATTGATCGTTTGGTTGCAAAAATAACAAGTAAAGCAATACAAAGAGTATATGAGGGTGGATTTGAAATTCAAACAAACTTTGAAGATTTAAAATCAAACGAAACAAATGAATTTGATGAACAATTTAAAATACTTTTAGCTCAAATCAATCAAACCAATCGGGGCCTTAGAGAATTGCAAATTCGTAGCATTAACAACACCACAACATCTTGACAGGAAGAACACAAAAGTTGAACTAAGGCCATGTAGATGGATTTGAATTGCTTCGAATTTGAAATTCTTCATAATCAAAATTGATTGTTTGATTGCATAAATAATAAGAGTATTTGAAATATGAAAGTTCCTACTTTAAAGATTTGAAATCCAAACAAACGAATGAATTTCATTAAGACATTTAAATGGTAATAACAACATCTTGAAACAATGGAAACACATAAAAAACAATTGGATTCAAAAGGTAATAAGAACTTACGCTTCAGGTAAGCATCGAAAAGGTTTCCAGTAACTCCTTCAATGGTGTCGTCGACTGGAAGAATATGAACACGCTTCCCGTACTTAACATCAGCACACTGATGCACAGAAACCACATCTCCAAGTCTAACCCTGAGGTTGTTCCTCACAACTTTGTTCATCCTAATCTTAGCTTCCTCGCAAGTATCATCAGCCAATGCAATGCAAACAGTATCCTTTCTTTTCTTACCCTATAATTAAGATTGTATTTGAAAAATCAGATAAGAACAAAACAAATATAACTTAGAAAATCAGGTTTAGATTGAAAATCTGAAGGTTCTTCCACAAATCAGAGCAGGTTCATTAAACATCAACCAAACCACAAATTTCAACAAATAAATCACAAAAAGCGGCGGGAAAAGAGGAGAATAAAACCTTAATCAAGATGGTGTCTCCGCGAAAAAGCTGGAGCTTCTCCATAGTCTCCGGATGAAGAGAAACCACCGAATTATCGTCGTTGACAGCCTCATCTACCACCAATCTGTTAGGCGCCTTCTTCCGCTCGAGAATCGCCGTACTGTAATCCCTCTTCGTACCCTTGCTGCACATCAACGTACAAGGACGGCAAAATCTCAAAATTTGGTACAGTTAATGGCGAAAAACAGAACAAAAAATTGAAGCTACTTCAAAACGAAAGTATAAACCGATACGCGACTGAAAATTGCGTCCAGAAACTTACGATTGGGAGGATTCTGCTTGATTGCTCATGGCTATTGAATGGAAAAACTTCAAATCGAGTGGAATTCGTTGCCCGTCCTTATGGATTATAGCATTCAGAGATTTGTGGGAGCGAAGCGCTGTGTATATATAGGAAAAGTTTGAGCTGCGTTTCTTGTTACGAAAGAAAAGGTAGAAAATAAACCCTTTGCATCTTTTTTCCTTCCACATGATTATTACCTTATTTATTTATTAAAAAAAAAAACGGGGATTTGATTTTGAAATTTGAATTAAAATAATAGTTTTATACAATATAAATATATTTTAATATTATATTTTAGATATACAATCTAATTTTAATGTAATATATTAAAAATTAAAAATTAAATTAAATTTGACCGTTCTTAATAAAAATTTATCCAAATTTTATAAGTAAATGGGTGTGTTTGTTTTGGGGATTGGATTTTAATCCCTGTTCATCCTATTTTTTTTTAAAAAAAAAATATAAAATCAAACATTTATTTTTTATTTTTTATATTATACTAAAAATTAATTTTACATTCAAAATATCACATCAACACCTATTTATAACACATTATACATTAAGCAACTATTCAAATTCAAAATTTTTACTATTCAAATCCCAACTAAAAATCTAAACTCCGGAACAAACACACCTTATACTTTAAATTGTGTTTCTTTAGATTTTCAACAGATTTTTATTGGATCGCATCATCTGAATACTAAAACCCTGAAATTAAAAATATTATTTTTAAATTATATGGATCAAAATAAAAATACATTATATTATATAAAATATTTTATTGAAATAATATTTAAATCAAAACTATAATTAGTAAATCAAATCATAACAAAAACCAAAAGTATATTTCCTTAATTAAAAATTTTCAAATTTTATCATTTATATTTTGCGTTTAATATGTATATATATATTTATAAAATATTACATCTAACATTATTTAAATGCAAAACATAAATATAAAAATTTTCAAATTAAACTCAAATAAACATATCCATAGTATTTTAAAAATAAAAGAGATTTAAATATAAAAAGTTTGTTTTTAGATAATTTTTAACAAAAAATTAGATATACGTTTGGTTTCTTAAATATATATTTCTAAGTTTTTTCCTTTCTTTTGATTGATTTATTTATATTTATATTTTAAATATAATAATTCAAAAAGAATGAAAAATAAATTGTAAAAATGTTAAATAAAATTAAAATGCCAATAAACGCATCTCAATTATTAAAAACAATAAATCTACGCACAGAATATTTATTGAATAAGTACATAGATGGGTATTTATTCAAATATTAATATTTATAATTTGTTAATATTATATTTATTGAGTAAATAGAATATTATAATAAAATACAAATATTGGAATATTGCTGGTATTTATGGTTTATTGGTTGATTGGAAGCTACTAGAATATGCCAGAATTATGTATAGATAAAAAGTGCCTATCTTGACTATTATTTATAATGGAACACCATTTTTTACCACTATTATTATAAATTTTTCGGTGACATATTAATAATATTAACAAGAGAATTTCAACAACATTTATGAAATTTAACTTATTTTGTGTGGAAATATATCAACACTTATGAAATATACATTTAGCTTCCTCTTTTTTATTTTATTTTATTTTATATATATATAATATATGGTATGTTTGGTGAAAAAATAAAATAAAATAATAAGGATAAATAAATAAAATAGCTTCATTATTATTATTTTTTTTTTATTAAGCGAGAAAATTGAGAATTGAGAATTAAACAATTTACTATTTTTTAGTTTTATTTATTTATTTTGCAAAGAAATACAAATAACTTAATTTGAGAGTCTATTCATTGTATTTTTTTACTATTAATTTTATTACCATTTTTTATGAAAATAAATTATTTTATTTTATAACATCTCGCATTAAATTATTATTTAAATAAAAAATTAAAACAAAAATTAAAAAACTACTAATTAAATTTCCTTATGGAAATGATTTATATTGTAAAAAAAAAACAACTACTAATACTAATCACTTAAATTATTGTGCCCACTATATTCTTGCATTAAATTTCCATTTACAATAATTTGACTGATAGAGTTGATATTTGAATATTAATTATTATATCAAAATATAATATAATAAAAAATATTTTTATTATTGTCTTATAATACAAATCTAATAATAATATTTGTATAAAAAATTATATAAATATATTAAAAAAAATTAATGTTACGGACAATAAATAAATTTTTTTTAAGTGAATGGAAGAGAGTATTTTAAAAATTTTGAACCAAAAAAAAAATATATACATCAGAAATGAATTGAGAAAATATTTTTTTCTTTTCAAAAAATAAGTAACTAATTCAAATACTAAAAATTGAAAAAATTTGCAAAAGAAATACATCTCTTATTTTCTCTCATAAAACATGCAAGTATCCAAACTAAAATCCATAACCAAAACACAAAATCAAACCCTTAAAAAAAGGCCAAAAAAAAAAAAATAAAAATGAAAAGAGAAAGAAAAATCAAACCCTAAATAAACAATACCCATAGATTTCCATACTATGCAACAAAAAAAGCACCTTTAATTTAATTCCACATGTAGATGGTATTTGGTAAAATGTACAAATTATATATATATATGGAATTTCTAGACATAAGAAGAAAACCAACACCACAAACACACACACATATATATATATATATAAATAGTATGTATACATACATATATATAGTAACTGCAGCAAGTATAATCCATCGATCCATGCCACAGATTCCTCAAATTTTACATGACCTTTAAATCTACTCCCATCTATTCATCACATTCTCCATTTTCATTTTTCCTAAGTTTTTTCTCAAGAAATTCTGAACTTATTTTCCGGTGTAAGATCTGAGAAGAACGAAATCGAGCGGGAGTTGGACTCACCTGTCTGTACATGATCTTTCTTGTCCAACCCGAACAACGAGCAGTTCTGAAAAGCGTCGAGGCTGTTCGACACAAGCCGGCTCAAACCACCGAGGCTATCGCTAAGGATCAACTCGTTGCTGCTGGGGTATCTACATGACGGTATTTCCAAATCTAATGGTCCTAACGAATCAGGCTGCATTAAAACCTTGATCATCAAAATCCCGTGATTCTCCGACAACTCTATATATATATATATATGTGTATATTATGAGAAGATGTGCTTTTCAACTAAGGCTTACCCAATACATATCGGAAAGGCCACCAAGATCCTTGTTGGGATCATCCGAAGGAAGGTCAGGTACGCCTTCATCCACTAAATTTCCGGGGTCGGAACCGATATTCATCAATTTATTGTCTTCGATTATCCCCTGAAAGAACGTTTAAATGCGAAAACGGCTATTAGTAGCGAATAATTCGGATAAGAGGAATTAAAAGTGTTTCCGAATCGCACCTTGAGTTTGGAGTCTTGAATGGCGTGGCTCGTGGTTGCGTCTTTTTGTCTTTGTGTTCTCTGGAAAGCAAAAGCGTCGCATGTTTCTTCGGCGTCCCAGATGGATGGGAGGTGAGGTTCGAGGTGGTCCTGCTGCAAGTCGACTTTGTTTTGATGTTTGTAAATGTGGGCTGCGATCGCAGCATCGAATGAATCGCAGCTAAACGGAATCTGTTCGAGACACTTTGAACCGAGAGGCACGGGAATCTCGCTGCAGTTTTCATCTGTGTCGGGAGTCGACTCGGAAAGCAGATCTCCGACGCTAATGTTAGTAAGACTATCAGCCCACTCCCCGGCAGATTCAGACGGCACCTTCAGCAAGAAAAATAAATTCTTTCATTTTTGTAAAAATATAATAAATAAGCAAACCATCGTCGTCAATCCAATTCTAAAATAGTTGATATATATCAAAGTGTATTAAGAACATAAGTTAGCTCGTGTACTTTCCATCAAACAAATATTAGAGGCAAAAAAATATCTACAAGTGTAATCGAGTACTAAAAGGAAGTCGAATATCAAAGAGATTGAGGCTCTACATTTCAGTTTCAGATAATATCAAAGAGATCGAGGCTAGAAAAATATAGGCCGATAAAATCATTACAAATATGCACTTTTCCCCGTATATATTGAATTAGCATACGGATCCACTTAAAATCAAGTTTCAAGATGCACGACTAGAGTTCTAAGAGAAGCATTCGAAACAAACGCAGCACAGGAAAAGATGAAAGATGTACCATGTGTTCAATTTGTCTCGAGATTTCTGAATTGCTAATCTCATCCCCAAGTGATGATACAAGCCCAACGCCACCATGTGATGTCGAAGAATTGGTGTTTAAAGCATCGCCGCCACTCTGAAGTGTCGTAACCAGAGTAGAAGTTGATGGTGGAGCCATAGTGATAACTGGTTCCACAGTTAAAAATTGACTAATCTGTCGACCATTTTGATTCCCAATTTCCATATTCTGCTCTGTTATCATGCTAGGGTTCAAATTGTGCTCGTTGTCGGTGCAAGCAAGTGCTTGAGCAGTTGCAGATTCAATTTCCGAGTTTGCAAACCAGCCGTATCTTAAATAAGAAATAAAACATGTTAGATTGCGCTAGTTTTGGAAACATAATTTTCAAGAATACACAAACCAAACCTGAGGCGGAAAGTCGGAGGACTTCCAATTAGGTAATATACGTCTGCCGCGCAAAGAGTGGAATCCTTGGTCCATTTCTGACAGCCCAACAGATTTTCCCTCTGTGACCAATAAGGAAAAAGTATTAACTCGCCCAATAACGAGCTAGAGTTTCCCCATTTTCGGTTGAGATGCTCCAAAACAGAGGAGATTTTCTTTCGTGTGCTCAAAGTCAGTTCAAGATGAGGATTATGATCAGCCTGAAAAAGAAATTTAATGCAAATTTAGAATTTTCTCATCAATATTCATGTCTAAAATAAAAAATCGTTTTTGTCTACCATTTCTAAGGCTTTTCGAGTCCAGTCATCCAATGGAAATAGCTGGAGTTTAAGCTTTGTCAACTTAGAACTCTCGTCCAACATTGTTTGTGGAGATATTTGGAAAGAGTGAGTCGCTTCTCCAGTAGGTTGAGTATCGTTGTGACCTGAAGACCATAGACAATTTAGATTGGTAAAGTTATCTCTTAACGATTCACAAACTTATTGACGTACATATCAGTCCTGCCTGTTGTTAATTCAGACGGTAAAATGAGTGGTACAACTCACCGACTGTTTCTTGAACGTTCTCTTTGTTGGTGTTTGCTCGTTCCAAATGCTCAGCAGCATCAGCGACCAATGAAACCCCAGCAATTGCAGCTTTCTCCCATCTTTTGTACGCAGCTGCTGAACCGAGGCCTAAGAACAAAGAAAATTATACGAAAGCAAATTTAGGGCAAAATTGAAAAGTCTACACTATTATCCCTCATGATTTAGAAACTACATAAGACTTTCTTGTATTTTCGGAAACATGAGGAAGTCTCACACAATTTATGGGGATTCTGTGTAGTATTTTCTAAAACATGAGGGGTCTCATGAAGTATCTAAATATTGAAGGTATATGTCGTAGATTTTTCAAACAATAAGTGGATTATAAGCAGGTTTTTCGAACTGAAATTTAGTGGATCGAGGCATACTGACATCGGCTCCATAACAAAATATGAAAATTGTACCTGTTCTACGCCGAGGTTTCGCAGTTTTGACAGAAACAGGATCGACCTTACAGTTGGTTCCCACATTTACATGGCGCTTGAATAAAGCTCCCTTTCCATTTCCACCTTTTTCAATGTTCTGTCTGTCAACAAGAACCATTTTCTCCGTGCGGCCGTCAGGGCCCGATGTTCTAATCTGATTTGTGGTAGACATGTCCATCATAGACGCATTGTTTTCGCCCGAGGATAGTCGCTTTTTAGTGTTCTTTTTGCGGTCTTTTAAAAGTTGGCTTTCCTGTCGGAAAAAATAACAGAGTACAGTCATATATTAAATTATATCATTGTTAGAATATTAAAAGTGCATCAATCTCAAACTAACCAGAGCCTCTACAAATATCTTAAATCTACGAGGTTTCAAATGAAGCTTGGAGGCTTTACAGCTGTACTTTTCCAATAGTGACCACCTGCAGATTTTATCGGTTTGAATAAGTTACATAGACCATTAAGGATATAAATCTTCGAAGGAGAAGAACTCGGAATGTTTGATTGGCTATGAAGTTTCTTGATTTGCCAAGTTAAGAAAGAAGAAGTCTAATAGGGAAATGGTAATGTAAACCAACACAAAATTTCCAAAAATGCAACAACTTTGTCGAATTCTTCTAAAAGTCGAGTTTAATTTGTTGCAATAAGAATAGAAAGTCATAGTAACATTAATAGAGATGAATTGTTAAACTTCAAATGGAAAATTATTAATCCTCGTATGATTCTTTGAGGGATCTTAGGCTCTGTTTATTTGGAATTTTGATTTCAGTGTAATTCTTACGATTTCCTACAAAAATACACTATTTATTATCACATATATTGCATCCAAACAACTATTCAAACCAGAACACAAAACAAACCTCATGTAAGCAAACTCGGTGTTTCCAATTTTAAAGAAAAAAAAAATGTCAGGAAGAGTTTGTCAGGAGCTAGCAGTTACCATCGAAGCATAGCAGCATTAGTGTCTTTTGAGTTTTTGGCATCAAGACAAAGGTCTGGCCCCAACAACTTGTTCATTCGTCTGACAAGACGATAGTAATAATGCCTCACCTAAAGCCAGAGAACAAAACAACACGAGATAATACAATTTTGTAGAGGAAGTAATGTAATATTCCGAAACATAAACTTCAGCAAGAATTACCTGATCTTTGTTTTTACTTTGGACACGACAAGTGATTTTCTCAAAATTCTGCAAAAGGGATAAAAAAAAAAAAAAAAAAAGAAAAAACACAGAAATCAGTACCCCATCAGAACACACTCAATTTAGGAAAAAATCGATTCATTTCCAAAATACGGGTATAAAAAACACGCGGCATGTAAATTGCCTTGCCAACTTGCCGCAGAGCGGCGAAGAAACTTTCTTCCTCTTGGCGAGTCCAAGCAGCCCATTGTCGTGGTTGCTTTTTCACTGAATAAGAACAAACAAAAACTAATCATTACAATTGCCTACGTAAGTTATAACAAAAACGTACGACAATATTAAATATGTCCAAATACCAGTGATCTGTGGAGTAGTTTGTTCTTTTGAAGAAGAGGATACACCACACTCCCCATCTTTAGTCCCAAAATTCTCCGGCCGAGCGTATAGCTCACAATTCAATGAAATTTGCGACACCATTTTTAGGCTTTTCCCATCACTTAATACCGTAAGCTTCTAGCCTTCTTCGACTGCCATTATCGTCAAATCAATGCAAGTTTAGAATTTCATGTCCAAAGAACCTAAATACATACAAATGTGTATAAACATATATATATGTGTGTACATATAGAAGCATATATGAAAAATTAAACCCTAACAATTAGAAAAAATGAATCAAAACATCAAAAGAGTAACCATGACAAGCTATCCACAACAAATTACCCTTTTACAAACACAAATATTGATCTGAATCTCCAATCCAAATTTGAAAAACAGAAAGAACAGCAAAAAGTTAACCACGGCCAAGCCAATTTGAAATGTGCAAACACCATATAAGTTTCCAACATTACAACCTCAACAATCAAACACCGAAATTCAATCCTCAAGTACCAGAATCTCCATTGATAAACAGATTACAAATTCATCCGAGCTTCACCGCAATTCCTCGAAGAAATATGCATCCAACAAACTAAAATACATGTTCAACAACTAAAATTCACTAACCGAATTTAAAAGAATATGCATCCAACAAACTCCACCGAAAAAGAAAAAAAAAACCTGACGCAAAACACAGAACCCTAAGATCTATCACCACAACAAGCTGAAATCTCAAATTGAAAATTAAAAGCATTACCTTTTCCTAACTAGATGCCATGAACAAATGGAACTCGAAAGATTGAGATCACATCCAACCAGCAAATTCAATTAGGGCAAAGATTGAACAACAGCAAAGGCAAACACAGATTTTTATTTTTTTTTCTAATTAATTTATTTTTTAATTTACAAAGAGATGAATAACTTCAACTGCAGTTAAAGTTTCTTTCTTCTTTTTTTAAATAAGAAAATTGAGGAAATAAATAGAAATTTGTAATAAAGGAGGGGACGGTCACACACGTCACCTAAAATATTTTCTTCTCCATTTTATGTTACGGATAATTATTTAAAAATGAATTTATATAAATAATGAATATATATATCGAAAATTTATCAGCCCATTAATTACTAAAAGCCCATACACCTAGGCTCAATAATTATAATTCGGCCCAGATATTTGGCCCATTATATTCAGGAGCAATTATCTGCTGCGACGCGGCGTACAACACCGTCCGTTAAGAGTATTTGGAGCTCTTCTTTGGTTAGGCTCTCTGTACAAAATGGCATTTCTTCTGCAACTTCCATCGTCATCTCTAGCATTCCCGCACTTGGCGAATCCTATCGTCGGAAAAGCATCGGTGTCTCGAACTCCACAATTTCGAAAACCACCTCGGACGCGACTGTTGCGCTGTTTTTCGTTGATTGGGAATAGGTCTGTGAAGTACTTGCTGTCTGGCTCTCTCGCACTTGCGCTCTCCTTCACTGGTTAGTTTTCGACGCTGTTCTGTTTAATTGAGGATGCTATTAGGTTTTGGTGATAGTAATTTTGGAATTTGAGCCTTTTTTTTTTAATGATTGAGTGTGGTAAGTTTGCGCGGTAATGGTTTGAGTGAGTTCGATTGGATGTTGTTTTTCTAGGTTGCAACGCGTGTGATTTCCGTTGCCAATTCTTCTAATTGGCTATATACATCTTAATAGATACCTCAAAACCTAGAAAAAATAAGACCTAATTTTGTGCTTTTTGTTGGATACTCGGTTTAATGCCTTGGTTAATGCTTCTAATTGAATATGTACAGGTTGATAAGATAGCTCAAACCCTAGGAAAACTATTATATTGTAACTTTGTTTCCTTGTTGGATTCTGTACAATTTCTGTTTGTAGGAGTTGGATTTGCTGAGGGAAAGGTTGGGGTGAACAAGCCAGAATTGCTGCCTAAAGAGTTTACTACAGTAATTGATGTTGCTGGTTTCTTGTCTGATGGCCAGGTGCTATATGTTGTTCCATTTCCTTCTAAAGTTTCTGCAGATGATATTTTTGAATTTGAAGAACTATCAGTTTATTCGACAATCATTCATCATAATCTTTAATCAGCTTAGTTCTCACCATTGCCTTCAAGGATTTTGTGTTAGAATTTGGATCCACCTGCAATGAGTGGACAATATTGTATAATATCGCAACATGTTGTGTGCGTCGAGCCAACGTGAAGCTAGCATTGTGATACTTTTTATGGATCTGCAGGAGAAGAGAATTGCACAGGAGATCGAGGCAATCGAAAAGGATACGGGATATAAACTGAGGGTTTTGGCTCAGAATTATCCCGATACTCCCGGTATAGCTTCTAGTTTTGATTTGGTTTCTTTAAAGTTTCAGGTATGAATCTTCCGAAGAGTTTGATAGCTTGTTTTTCCAATAGGTTTAGCGATCCGGGATTTCTGGAGTGTGGATGATAACACTATTGTATTTGTTGCTGATCCCACATTCGGTATGTCGCCAATCAGAAATTGTAATTAGCATTTACGGTTGATTAAATGCTTTTTAATTACCCTGAATAATAACTAGGAAACATACTTAACTTCAACGTCGGGGCTACCGTGGATTTGGACATCCCGCGTAGTTTCTGGAGCCGATTAGCAGGGAAGTATGGGAACATGTTTTATTGGAAAGAAAAGGTTAAACTTCTTACTCACTTCTACGGCTGTCATATATATAGCTTCAATTTACGACACATCTATAACGATGTTTAATCAACAGGGAGAAGACACTTCGATTGAAAGTGCTGTTAACGCCATTGCCACCTGCCTAAGGGAACCAGTCGGTCCGAACAACTGCTCAGATGTAAAATAACAACTGTTCGTCCATACAAAATTTTCACACTAAGGTATTCTCTTTACAGGGACCGAATTGAATTTGTAAAACATAACAAACATGTTATATGTGATTGTATTCTCACATATATAAATTGTGAATGTCGTAAAGAATCGAGTCATGTATCTATGCTGCTTCTGCTTCTATGCTCTAGTCAGCATACAGAAGCCGTGCCTCGAATCTTGTCTTGTAGGATGCTTCTCAGCTCGTCGGGTTGACACGGGATCGCAAGGGCGCCCTTGTGCTGAAACCCGTACTCTTCTTCGGCGAGTTCCAATAGCCTCAAGAATGCGGGATTCTGTAGAATGGTGAGTTCGACCACAAACCTCATTGGCTCCTCGTTCTTGACTGCCAGAATAGTGAAACACCCTTCCCGGACGTCTACGTCTACGCTCTGATGACAACTTCCTCCGTCGACGCCAACTCTTGCCGAGCCATGAAAGCATTTCTGCAGCTTTCTTATGATCAAGGTCAGCTTTCTTGCTACTACTGAAACCATTTTGTTGATTTGGAGAAATAAAAGGTATTGTTTTTATGTGTAGGAGTGTTCTTGATAGAAGTGTTTGATATACACATATATATATATGTGTGTGTGTGTGTGTAGCTGGAGAAGAGGAAAGTTCTGAGATGGTAAGAAAATGTGGGAAGGGATTTAATGGCTGCATTTAATGAGTGTTTCTTCTTCTTCTTGATATTCTTTCTTTCTTTTTTTCTTTCTTCTTGTTGTTGTTCTGTCTGGCAACGCGGAAGAGGGAAGCATATGTGATTATTGAATTTAGGCTTTAAACATGATGGGTGGTGAAGATTTGGAATTTGTTAAATAAAAGTATGTAGTTGAATTCAATTATTGATTGTGTTGCTTTTCTTTCTATGATATGTGTTGTTTGTTTCACGATTAACATAAATACAAATACAACCCATGTCAAAGACATCACAATCTATAGTTTGAACTCAGATATTGATTGTGCTATCATTTTATTGTTTTTTACTGTGCTATCTTTGACTATGATATCTGTTGTTAGTTCTATGTTAAAACAAAAATACGAATAACGGTCAATTCAAGACAAGACAATTTATAGTTGAATTCAGCCCGTAAAATAAGTTTGTCTTGTTTCTATACTTTTAAAAATACTGAATGGAAAATCATTAACACACAAACTTGTGTTGTTTTTTTACTTCAAATATGCTGAATGATATTGATTTTTCTCATTCAACACAGCAACTGAATTGGGTTTTATTATTTGAACAATTCGTAATTAATTGATTAAAGGATGTCTGAGAGTTAGTATCTACAGTTGGAAAAAAGATAATATTTTGGTAATTTGTGGATGTCGGTGTTTTTTGATGGGGTGTGTAGTAATATGAATCTTGACTAGTTCTTCCATTCCATGTGAAGGAAGAAGCAATAAAAGCAGGGGACAGAATAGCCAGGCAGACAGCCTATGACCAGTTGAAATTTTGGAATAATAATAATACTAATGTTAATACACTCTTGAGGGCTGACATTTTTTTGCAGGATTTTTTGGAGCATTGGGTCCCAAGTTTTTGGTGTTTTATTTAATGTTTTGTTTGAGGATAGTATAAATATAAGTTGAAATAATGTGCGCGTTTTTTCAATAGATTAGTTTTTTCATGTTAGAAATATGAATTTTATAATATAAAAAATAATATTTTATTTTGAATTATTGAATATTTTTAGTTTTTTTTTTTTTTACATATATTCATATATTAAATTAATGTATGTATAATTGTAATTTATATAATATTCATCGAGAATTGTAATATATATATATGAATGGTATTTGTATAATGCATTCTTTGTCAATAGAGAATAAATATGTATATTATTTATAAGATAATTAAGGAATAATACTCCTTCCCTCCACTTACAATATTTATATATTTCTATTTTGGAACGTCCAATCACAAAATTAACATTTCATTAAATATTCTATTTTTTTTTACAAATACTCTTATTTTAGGCAAAAATATATATAATTAAAATACTATTATCTTTTAAACAAAATAAACGTCAAAAGGGAGTATAATTTTATATTTGATTTTTAAGGTCCAGCATACAAATATAAAAATATTGTAGTCTAAAAGTGCAAAATAGGGATGTGTATGCGTTCTGGCACATTTTGATTAAATAAGGAAATATTTCATCAGTAATATAGTTTAAGATAGCAAATTATGTTTATTGTTAATAATTGGAGATTATTTTAGAATTTTAATTTTTTTAAATTAGTAATTTTGATGCAATATCCTGTTAGAAAATATATTTTATAACAATGGATTTAAATAGTAAAAAGAGAGAAATAATTTGCAAAGTGAACACTATCTATAATGTTTGATTTGATAATTTAATTAATAGTGAGAAATCAAAAGCGAATCTTTAAAGAAAATTGACCAGTTTTAAACCTATCAATCAATTTTATTTTGTAACTTACATGATTGTTGGGATAATGGAAATAATAGTTGGAGATGCTAAATGCACACCTATAGCCTATAGATTAGTAGAAAAGAAAATACTCCCTCCATCCCAAAAAATATGGGACTATTACTGTATATATATTAGTAAATAATTAAGAAATATATTAATAAAAATAATTATTATTTAATAAAAATAATTATAGATTAAGATAAGTAAATAGTTTAATTAAAATTTAAAAAATTATAGATTTTAAAATTTAAAATACGATTAAAGTGCATAATTATATTTTCAAAAATAAAAAATAGGGACAAATTATGTGAATGAGTATATAATTTGTATGAAGAAATAAATTCCCTGTTCTTGGTCTTGATGAAGCATAATTTAATTGCCATTTATTCCACTTTGGTACGTATATTTTAGATAAAATAATTCAAATATTTAAACATTAATTTGAATTATGTGCTGAACAAGAAAATTTGGTAAATTGTCTTTCAACGTGTTTCCTCTCTCTCTCTCTCTCTCTCTCTCTCTCTCTCTCTCACTCACGTAGTTTAACCAATTTTTATAGCACCATCTAATGCATGAATATTTAGGGTGTGTTCGGTTGTTAAATTTTATCAAAATTCTACTGTTTATCCAAAAATTTCCCCCCAAAAACATCAAATCAAACACCTATTTTTTATTTTTTATATTATACTAAAAATCAATTTTACGTCAACACATATTTATATCACATCATACAACTATTCAAATTCAAATTTTTTACTATTCAAATCCCAATTCAAAATCCAATCCCCCAAACAATCACACCAATGTCAAACAGTTTTGGTGCATAGTTCAGTAATTTTTTAAAATTCCATTATCTAGATTTCGTTTAAATAAAGATTTATAGAAGTCTATACAATTTTCATCAATACCTTCTTTTTTCCGCAACAAATATTTTACTCCTTTCGTCCGGATTTTCCATTTCTATTCGTCCCAAAACAAAATTATCATTTACTATAATTATATTAACTATTTAACATAATAAATAGTCTTCTATCTTATAATATATTATACAAATATCATTACTAGCAATACTAAGAGAGTTATTTTTGTCCTTTTTTTTTTACTATAACGCAATATAATATTAATATTCAAAATCTACGTGTAAAAAAAAAAGTAAACGACAACCTTTCAATAATCACCTCTTCATTCTGTCCCAAGTCAATTACCTTGCAAATACATAATAATAATAATAATAATAATAATACTAAGATGGAAGATATATGTTCTACATTGGCAGAAACCTAATTTAGAATTGATTGAAAACCAAGTTATTAACCATTTCGAATAAATCCCGAAATTCACAGCACTCAAATAGCAAGAGATTGTTGCGATTTCGAAGAAAATAAATGTACTGCAGAGGCTTTTACATGTTTTACTCGACTTGCTTACGACTCAGTTCAAATTGTGCGCGTGATTCATTGAAGGTCACAACTTGAAAAAAGGGCTCGTTGGCCACTTTTTTCTTGTTGAACAATGTCACTATTTATCCTTGTAAATTAACAATCTTGATGTAACGATTGACTACGCCCTAATGTACAAAAATAGATACAGATTTTTTATGTGAAAATGTCAGTTTAGCCTCTAAACAAACACTACCCTTGTTTTGGCTGACCATTTTGTGTAAAATGGTTTGTTTTTAATCTATTGTAGTTCGTCCGTTATCTTCTTCTTTCTATAGCCTAACCTAATATATGTTCTTTTCAGACAAAAAAAGAAACAAAATGTAAACCAGCAAATACTATGGAACATTTGCAACCAAAACATTAACTTCATTCACAAACTTAATAAGCAGAGTTTGCATTTGAAAACTCAGTTGCTAACTCTTATCGACGAGTTTTTATCAATCTTGAATGAGCTCGATTTTGTTCTACAGTGGGTACTATCTATCTTCTACTCAATGATGGGATTTCCTTCCAAAATGTCGGGATTGTTTACTTATGTTTTTAAGAATCTTTTCGCAAATACAATTTTCTACACCTCAGCTCTATGCAAAACATCAAATCAAACCACTATTTTTCTATTACAAAAATTCAAATCCAAAACATCAAAAACATCCCAAACCACACAAGTAAACACTAGCAAGATCTCAAAAGCCAAAGCCAGTATAGTAAATCAACCTTCAATGCCCCATCCATGAGAAAGAACTAAAACTGCAAAAGCATTATTCAATATTATCATCAAATCACTGTTCTTGAACCTAATCATTGCAATACATCAGGATCAGATCATCACTATACTGCTACCATACTCACAAGATGATCAGCATAAAGTTGTATTATTAACTGGAACAAGGAGAGCTTAGAATTCATACCTGATCAGAATCGCTGGTTCATTCATTCACACAGTAGGCTTACGCTCGAATTCATTCCCAGGATCATCCGTGCTCGGAAATGCCTGAATTCCAGTCACCATAGCATCAGGCGGACCTCTCCTACACCGCTGTTCCATCTCCTCAACCTTCTCTGGACTCCCCGAAAACAACGCCTCCACAGATCCATCCCGGCGGTTCCGAACCCAACCTTTCAACCCTAACTCCTTCGCATTCTCAATCGTCCAATTCCGATAGAACACACCTTGCACTCTCCCCTTTATCACCATTCTCACCTAATTCAAACACCAAATTACAACAATCAACCAAAACGAAACCGAAATCTATTAACGAAATTGCGAAATCGCTTACTGTTTTGACAGAGGCCTGGCTCCCGCCCTCCTCCGGGGAGTTCATCGAGGACATAGTAGAGAATATAGTGCGTAGACGGCGTCGGAGCAGAGGAGGACGAGGAGGAGGAGGAAGACGAAGACGACGGTGCAGCGGAAGAGGATGAGGAAGAAGAGAAGTATGATGAGGCCGTAGAAGAAGAGGAGGTCGCGCGAATGTTCGGCGGCAGAGCGCATTGGCATTGCTACGCCATTGGAGATGCTTCAGAGAAATCGTGTATTGGAACAGTAGCGATTTTGTCGCCATTTTCTGATAAAGTCGCAGTCGGAAAGTTAGCGTTTTTATTTTGAAACATTTAGAGGCACGACGCGTGTCAGCCGTTGGATGGAGCTTCTGCGAATCTTGAACGGCGGAAAGTGATTCTTACTTTAGTGTTGTTTGTGGGCTCTGGCAGTGAATCATAGGGACTTCAAATGGGCTGTTTATTTTATGGGCCCAAATTAAAAAAATATTGTTAGTCTAGTGGCTTCAGCCCAATAAAATATTGTTACTTTTATTTAAAATAATATTATTTATAGATTTTTTTATTCAGAATTATAATTGGAAAAAATAAATACAGTCTATAATTCAATCTGAACACGATAAGAAAATAAAATTTGAACCTAAATATTAAACTCAAATCCACCCGCGCCTAGTGCAGATTTTAAAAAAAAAGAAGAAAAAATTGTTTAAATATTTTCTGAGTATATAATAAAATTTAAAAATTAATTGTACATTTAATGTTCATATTATTGATAATCAATAAAAATATTATTTTATTATATTTTTTATATTTATTTTAGAAAAAATATTTGTATCAAAATTTAAAAAGTATTATATCCAAAACATAAAAGACAGTATTTATTTGAAAATTTATTTTAATTTTTTCTATCACATTAATTTATTTTTTTATCATTAATTTTACCTCAAAATGCTTTAATTTTTTAATTATTTTTAAAATTTTTAAAACTTCATAAATATATTTTTTAATATCTGTCTAAATATGAAGTTTTTGTAAAAATTATTTTTTAAAAATATTTTGATATATTAATAAAGTAATAATTTTTTAAAAATATATCATAATTGTTTTATTTTATAAAATATTACATTAAATATTCAATTTTAATATTATGTTTGAAATTTTAAAAAATTTCTAAACTTTTATCTAAAGTGAAGTGTTCTATATTCAACTCTACATAAATTAAATGAATATATTAGTAATATATTTTTGTGTTTTTCTAAATCTCTTTCAATTTTATTTAAGCTCACCATACATGTAATGCACTTTCGATTAATTGTTAATTAGTTAATAATTTTCAATTAATATTACAAAAATAAAACATATTTTATCCACTTAAAAAAAATAATAATCAAGAATTCTATTGAATATCCATTTGTTTATTTGTATTAATATATATATACAATAATTACATAATGTATATACATATGATTTGTGTGATATATATTTTTGTTTAATAATATTTTAATTTTATATAAAAAATATTTTTTCTTCATCCCAAATATAAAGTAACATTTAGTATAGATATAAAAATTCAGAAAGAGTCCGATTAATAAATAATTAAGAATATATTATTAAAATTAATTACAATATAATACAAATATTTATAAATTATAAAAATTAAAATTTATAGTGTCTTTTTTTTAAAAAAAAAATAATATATTTTAAATTGTACGGGTATTTATAATATTAGATAGACAATACAATTACTATATTAAAAAAAATGTTATTCTTCTTTTAGGACAAACAAATATATTAAATGATATACGAAACAAGGGAAGTATTTTGATTTGATTTAGTAAAAAAGAATAATTAATAGTATATTTTTACACAATAATTTTTTAAAAATAACATTAATGATAAAAAAAAAGCACTATATAATGAAAAGACCAGGGGTTGTGTTTGGTACAGAAAAATGAAACTAGATAAATGGAAATGGTATCATTTTTCTTATTTCTTTGAGTCAAAAATGGAACTTGAGAAATAAATCATTTCCATTTCTCTGTTTTCATTTCTCTCCTATTTAATTTTTATAATTTTTTAAAAATTATATTATTTTAATTTTACAAAAAAAAAAAACTTAATTTATTTTTAAAGTATTTAATTTTTACGACATTTTAAGAAATTGTACTAAAATATAATCTTAAAAAACATCGTATATAATTTATAATTTTAAAAAAAAATTTACCAAAAATATTTTTCATGAATTTTCATTCGTTAAAACTCTCTTTTTATCGTGTTAATCATTTATTTTTGTTTGCTCATTCATATATCTGCATTTTTTTTAGATTTCTCAAATCAATTCTCTATTTTATCAAACAAGAGAATTAATTTTCATTCTCTACTCAATTCCATTTCTCTTCAATTATATTCTCTACTGTTCCATTCTATGTACCAAACCCCCCGTAGGGCTCTGTTTGTGCAATAATAATTTTGAATTTTGTAGCAAATTTAAAAATAATATTATTTTATTGATTAACACAGTTGTAGGTTTTGATATTTTTGCTTATGATTTTATGTATAAATTAATTATATAGGTAATAATATGCTTGTAATTTATGTAAAAATTATGAATATGTTGATATTAGTACATCATTACTTTTATTAAAATAAAAAATAAATATTTTTAAGTAGAATAGGTAAATTGATACCTTGAGTGAATACATTCTTCTCTAACAAAAACATCGTATAATAAAAATAATTATAAATTAAAATTAAAATAATTAATTAATTTAATTAAAATTAAATAAAATTAAATTGTATAATTCTTTTAAAAAAATAACAAAATAAGTTGAACATATTGAAATGAAAAATAAACACGGTAAATGATACTCCCACCGTCCACCACGGATAAAGTATACATTTACTTTTGCGCGGAATTTAAGAAATAATAATATTTTAATTATAGTGGGTAGGTAAAAGTAGTGTAATGACATTTTTGCCCTTGCTTTTTTTATAAAAGTAATGATGTGATGTAAAGTAAGGATATTTGTGGAAAAAAATTGAGGTATTTAATGAAAAGATTACTTTGTAATTGGACGTCCCAAAATAGAAATATGTATACTTTGTACCTGGATGGAGGGAGTACACATATTTTTAAATTTTTACTGGAAGTCGTAAAAGAAAAAACGTTGGATGGACAAACTCTTTCAAATATAAAATAAAACAAAACATTGAAATAGTCTGCCGGTGGGTTTCTTGCAATTGTATGCATACATGTGTATATATATATATTGTAAGAAAACCTCTATTGATCGTTGGAAAAGGACAGAATATTAATTAATTGTTTTTATTTTCAGGCATCTCAATTATTATTACCTCATGGCGGTGTTAAAATATAACATAAATTTAAATTTGTCAGAAACAAATCCACAATTAGGATTAGAATCTGATTAAAATAAACCAAATACTCAGACAAAGTGTAGCAAAGTCATCAAAATTTATTACCATATTAATAAAAAAAAATGAAAAAATAAAAACTAAACGTAAATTTAATTTAATTAATTAAAAAGATGGATGGATTTATCGATCAACAGAACACTTAATTTTGAAGACAAAAAGGCTTCTTTTTTTTTTTCTTCTAATTTTCCCCAATTATTCTCCATAAATTGTTTGTCGATGATCACAAACAAACCCTAGTTAATCCCAGAAAAATAAAAGTTTAATTTTTTTTAAATGTTTTTTATAAATTTTGTTCGAATCAGACAGTTATAGACCTTCGAATTCTGTCTTGATATGATCATCCATGGCGACGAAGATGTTGTCTGTATTGATCAGCTGCTTGATCTCCTCAATGCTGTGCTCCAATGGCGTCTCGAAATCAACGGCCAGGATCTTCTGGCTCTCGTCGATCCACAGATTGTTGCTCTGATCGTACAGATTCGTCTCACAGCTGCCGTCCGATGAGCTGCAGCTTGCTTGATCTCCTCCGATTTTAAAATTAGGGTTTGGAGAAATTAGGGTTCCGAAATTGGGGGCGTTTGGAAGGTCGTAGAAACTACTACCCCTAATTAACGACGGACTGTAAATTCCGGCGCCGGCGCCGGCGAGGTCGTACGGCGGCGCTATTCGATGGCTGTAAGGGGATGAGAAAGAGGGGAAGAAATTGGCGGTAGATGGGAAAAAGGGTGAAGATGATCCCGGAGGCGGCGGCGGCGGCGGTGCAGGTTGACGGTGGTGGCGCTTGGCAGCGGCGGCCGCCGTGTTTTGTCCGAAGAGCTTTTTCTTGAGCTTTGTGTTCCAGTAATTTTTAATGTCGTTGTCTGTTCTTCCCGGCAAATGTGCTGCAATTATCGACCACCTGCGATCATGATTTTAAATTATTGTTACAAGTTTTTATTTTAAACTAAAATAAAAAATAAAAAAAAATATCAAAGGGTGCGTTTTTTTGGTTTTGTTCTGAAGTTTGAGTTTTGAATAATAATTTTTTTAATTAAAAATAAAAAATATTTAATAGGATATAAATAAATAGAAATATGATATTTTTAGTCATATAATTAATTTGTAATATAATATAAAAAAATTAAAATTAAAATTAAAATTTATATAATATTTTATAGTTTTTTTTTAAAAAATAAATAGTAAATTTTTTTTTTTAAAAAAAAATTTGCCAAAGAAATACATGGGTGTGTTCATTCAAATAACTATTTGCTGTCTAAGATTCTCAATTAATATTACATAAAAATATGCATATATAATATGAAGTATATATTTAAATTTTTTTATAAAAAAATTCAATAATTTAACACAAAATATTATTTTTATATTATGGATATAAAAGTATATTGTAGTAAGAAATATTTGTAATTACCTGCTTCCAATGGTGGCAAAGAGGGAACAAATTTTGTGATCTTCATCTTGTGAGAATTCTCCATGTTTTATATTAGGCCTGAGGTAGTTGAGCCATCTCAGCCTGCAGCTCTTCCCGCATCGTTTCAGCCCTAATTAAAAGTAGAGAACCGCACCATTTCAGAACCGCAGAGAAGACGAATTGAACAAGTATAGATACAGACCGATCTTGGTGGGGAGAGCAATCCAGTTGCCTCCAGTGCCATGGTTTTGTATGTATTGTTTAAGCTGAGCATCTTCCTCAGGTGACCATGCCCCTTTCTTCACTTTTGCCTTGTCACAGCATGGAGCTCTTCCCATTTCTCTCTCTTCTCTCTCTCTCTCTCTCTCTCTAAAAACAACCAAGAAGAAGAACAAGACTTGTTCTTTTGGACATTTACAACTACAAGGGCTTTTGTTTAATCTTTAGATATCTGTATTATATTATATTGGGCTTTGGGGGGTGGGGTGGGGCAAGGGGGGTTGTTAATTGGTTACGTAGTACTTCCTCACCTCTTATTTTTAATTAACTATCCATTTTTTTATTTGGATATGTTATATAATAAATTATTCATTTATTTTTTTAGTAATCGTATTATCTATTTAACATTATAAATATCTATTAAATTTACAATATATTATACAAATATCATTACCTTTATATTATACAATGCTAATAAAATTAATTTAGTTTTTCTATATTTATTTATATTATATTATAATATAATACTAATATTTCTAAAACTTCGTATAAAAAATAAACGGATGATAAATAGATATGGACCATATAGAGAATATTATTCCCTCAGTCCCAGATACCATGTCCACGTTGTTGTTTCTGTCCGTCTCATATACCATGGACACTTTTCTTTTTTGAAAAATAATTACACACTTTAATCTCATTTTAAATTTTTTAATTTTAATTTTTTTAAAAAATTTAATTAAATTAATTAATTATCTTAATCTTCATTTATAATTATTTATATTATAGAATAATTATTTTCACTAATACATTTTTAATTATCTAATAATTATATCTCTTTTAAAATACCGTGTTAACAGTGTAACACACGGTACGTGGGACGGAGGCAGTACATTTTACTAGATGATAAGTCAAAGATAGACAGACACTTACACTAATTATTGAGTGAATGATTATATACGGTAATTAAGACAGTATGAACATGGACAGTGCTGCCCAATTTCAGACCCACTTTTGCAATGTCCTGCTATTCCTTTTGTTTTTATGTTGGTATATTTTTTGGGTTTGTTTAGCCAAGAGAGTTTTGACCCTTTTGAAATTTTAAATTATTCAAAATAATTAAAAATCAATACTTGATTTATTATGTGAATATATATATATATATTTATTTTAATTCATGGTGTGTTTATTTGGAGATTTAGATTTTAAATTGGAATTTGAATAGTAAAAATTTTGAATTAGAATACACTGCTAGAAAAAATATTGATAATTGCGGAAATTTGTCGCAAATTTTAATCTGTGACAATTAAAAGTCACGGAAAGTAATTTCGTGACAAATTTATGTCATAACTTTTTGTTTTGACTATTCTGTAAATAATATTTGCAGAAAAAACTACAAACAACTTTCCGTGACTATTTAAAGTAACGGCTTGTGTAACGAAAATGTCCAAGATATTTCTATTCCGTGTCTTTTGTGTAACAATTTTCGTCACAAAAATTGTCACGAAATTTTTTCTTGACTATTTTAAGTTGCGGCAAAAATAACCAAAATATTTTCAATATTTTAAATTATTACAGATATTTTCATAGTATAATTTTTGTGACTTTTTAAAATCAAATGTCACAACATAAGTAACGAAAATAACTATAAATTTTTATTATTATTGTTTGTAGCTATTCAAAGTAATAACAAAATAATAAAATCATCTTCAATATCTTTATTCAATATCGTTCGTAGCTATTCAATTTTTTGTTAAAAAATCATGATGATATATTAAATAAATATGTATATATTTTTAAAAGATAAATTTATAATCAATAATATTTATATAGTTAAAATATAATAACAAACAAAATGTAATATTTTAGAGTAGATAGCTAAGTTGGCATGACATGTCGTGTAAGTCTCTAATAACTATAAGTTCACTAGTTCGAAACCCTTCGACTAATCGTGTGCGGTTGCATTGAACACAAATTATAATATAATTTTTTTTTTCAAAAATGTAAAATCACGGAATTGTTACAACTTTCGTTAATATAAAGTCACAGACGTGTAATGGTATTATTTTGTAACTTATTGTCACGAAAATGTCACAATTATAAAATATTTACGAAATTTTGTTGCAGCTTCTGTTGCTATATAAAGTCACGGACATGTCATAGTATTATTCTATAACTTATTGTCACATAAATGTCACAACTTTAAAAAAGTCACCAGCAAAATTCAACGGAAATGGTTCCGTATATTTTTCCGTGACTTTTTAGTAAAAAGTCACCAATTTGTACTAAAACCGTGACTTTTTTTACCGCAGTTATAGCCCAATTTTCTAGTAGTGATAGTTGTATGATGTGATATAAATAGTTATTAATGTGTTTGAGTTGTGTTTGACACGTGATTTAAGGAATATTGATATTATATTGGTAGTGGGTAAAAAGTACGAGTAAAAGAATTTTTTGCCCTTGTGAGTGTATTAGTATAAAAAGTAACGACAATTGTGTAATAATAATGAAAAAATAATGATAGTTTTATAGTGATACGGTTATTTATGGAAATGTGACTATTGTTTTGGGACAGACAAAAATGATAAATAGGACTATTATATTGGGACAGAAGGAGTAATATTTTTTTAAAAAAATTATATAAATATAAGATTATTCTTAATATTAAGTGTAATGACACAAAAAAGTAAATATAATTCTCAGAATGGCATGGAGGGCTATTATTTTTAAATTTTTTGTAACATATGAAGTATAATATTCCCTCCGTCTCATGTAATATGAGTTTATGACGGTAGATATAAGAATTTAGATAAAATATAATTAATAAGTTTATTAGTAAAAATAATTATTGTATAATAAAAATAATTATAAATTAATATTTAAATAATTAAATAGTTTAATTAATATTAAAAAAATACAAAATATAAAATATAAAATATGATTAAAATGTATAATTATATTTACAGAAAAAAAAATATATGAAATGAACAAAATAAAAAAATAAATATAAATGATGTGAAACGAAGAAACTACTGTATACTAATATAGACTGTGTCCAAACTCCAAAACAATGAGGTAGAGAAAATCATTGATGATGTATGCAAATCACCAACATACTTAGAGCATGTATGCGCTCACACACACAAACACGTGCATGTTTTAAAGTGTGTTTCTTTTATATTTTAATTTAAAATATATATATATATTGTTATACTATTAGATATGAAAAAAAAAAATCCTATTATTAATATAAAAAAAATATTTTATATAAATTATTAATTTTTGTTTGAGTAAATAAAATATATATATTACATCTGTTTTTGAAGAAAAGCAACGTTTATATTTTATACTTATATTTTTTAATATTAGTATTATATTAGTTTATAGTGAAAATAAAGAGAGACAAAAATGCTCATTAGATTGTGTGATATAAAAGTAACGATATTCATGTAATATATTGGAAGTTCTAATAGTATTAATTATGTTAGGTATGTAGTAAAATTACAAAATTAGAAAATTCTATCCTTGTTTTGGGACAGACAAAAATAGAAAATGATATTCTTTTTATGGGACGGATGGAGTATTATATATTTTGTATAAATATATATTGTATTCTTTTATAATATTAATCGATAAGTATGTCAAAAAATTTGTGTTGGATGAACAAATCCTAATATTTAGTCCATAAAGTAAATATAAAAAGATATTTATAAAATTGACATTTCTTATTATTTAAAAAAAATTAAATAAAAATTATGTTTTACTTGTATAGCTTCCAATATGTACAGTGCGAATAATACAATTCGATACAGTTCAATGTGAAATCGCTGGGCCACACTACACTATAATTTATTGCTCAATATGTAGACTCGATTCTTTATAACAATTATTTTATATTTTTTCACTATGTAACTATTACAATAAAATAATAAAAATAATATTATTATCTTTCAGAAAATTTCATATTAAATTATCATATAAAAAAAATCAACACATTCTTACTATTGCAAGGGACGGTATGTTTGTCTTTATAGCTTCTTCAAAAAAATAAATAAATAAATAAAATTGTTTGAATGCAATATAATATGTATCTTCTCAATTAATACATTTTATTTCATTTTCTTTTGCTATAGTAATCTAATCCGATAAGTTTCAATTCTTAGTGAATTTTAATTATAACAATTGTTTGCATCTCTAAGTAACACAATAAGCAATTAAGACTAGAATAATAAAGATGTATAATATAGAATATCAAATTGTGGGGAAAAATAAATATTAGAAAAAAAAATAATAATAATAGTCGAGAATATGTATTATATATATGTATATATATATACTCTCATTGTTTTTTTTTTCAGTATTATTACACAATTGTCATTACTTTTTACACTAATGCACTCACAAGGGTAAAAAAAATTTTTACTCGTACTTTTTATCGACTACAAATATAATACCAATATTTCTTAAATCGCGTGCCAAACACAACTCAAACTATAGTTATGCGATGGGGGAGTATTATATTAGTATTATAACACACTGAAAGAAATATTTTTGCTTTTTTTATTTATGTACAAAATAAAAAAATTGCAAATTAGTCCATATGCAGTGAAACGTAGAAAATAAAATTTCCATAGGAAACTGATTTTTGAGTGTGTCAACAAAATTGGCAAAATTAGGTCATGCTCTCTCATTGTTTGTGTATTTCTAACATATTTAGACAAATATTTTTTAGAAATAGTAAAACTTAATTAATGTTCAATTTACCTACATAATTTTAAAAGTTTTGATATTGCTATTTAGGCCATCTCCAACCCTACACTCTATTTTTGCAGTTATTACAGTAAAAATGCAGATGATCTACAGTAATTTTACTTCAACCATAAACTTCAATTTTTACTCTAAAAAGTATATTCCCTATATATTCCTCTTTTATATTATTTTATATAATTTTTTATATTTATAAAGTACACCCCAACTTTAATTTATTTTTACATTTGATCAATACACATATAATTTATATTTTATTTAAAAATTACATATAGATAAAAATTAACATTTATAATTAATTACTATTACAAATAAAATAATTTTTAAATAAATAATTAAATGTTATCAAGACAAATATGATATAATAATTAAACAAAGATAAAGTAATATTATTATTTCATAACAATTTATTACAAAAATGATCTTATCATTAATATTATTTTTTTTATATATATATTCATAAAATGTTGATTGTCTATGTTAGAAATTTTGGGGGAAAATAATAAGATTGTCTTATTTATCATCAAAATAAGGAGCCAGACAATACAAAACAGACTCGATAGACTCAAATCTAAGTAATCTAATCTATGAATAAGATCAAATCTAGATATAAATCTACTAAATTTAAAATTGAATATATAAAATATATCAACAGCCTATTTTAAATCCAAACCAAACAAACCTTGATTTTTCAACAAAAACAATAAATTCATTGATTTGAAGTTCATCTACATGGTTTTTATAAAAAAATGTATAATTTTAGACAAAATCTTCCAAAAGAGCATACTAAATAAATACTTATATTTGAACTAAAATTGATATATTTTAATTATATTATGATTATTATTATTATTTTTTTTCATTTTAACTGTATCAACTATTTTAAATTCCAAAAAAAAAATTTAAAAATATAATAAAAAATTAAAATTTTTAGACCGAAACAGAAAGGTACACGGCCGTGTAGAATTATACATGGCCGTGTAACAACATGGTCATGTATAATTATACACTGAAATATACATGGTCATATAATAACATGGCCGTGTATAATTGTACATGGCCGTGTACTTTCCGGGTCAACTGCCACGTCACCTCCGTCATGTCCATGTCAGCAATTTCCGTTAGTTTTTTAACGGTGAGACCAAAATTGATAAAAATTGTTTATAATGAAACCAAAATTGATTGAAATTGTTTATATTAAGACCAAAATTGATGAGTTTTTTTATATTGGGACCAAAATTAATGAATTTTTGTTATATTGGGACCAAAATTGATGAATTTTTTATATTGGGACTAAAATTGATTAATTCTAATTATATTGGGATCAAAAATTGATTTTTTCCAAAAAAAAAATATTATTAAAAAAAGTTAATGATAGAAGTAATTGGGGAAGGGGGCAGTGGTTTATTGAGTCACCGACTTTAGAAAAGCAGCCCTCAAAGACAAGGTCTGAGATGAGAAAAAAATTGAGATAGAGAAATACATAGACAAGAAGGAAAATATTTTCCATTACATATTTTAGGTTTCATGGCATTTGTTAACTCTTTCATCCAACAAAAACATGTAAGAAATCGAAACCCCATATGTCTCATCTTCTTCTAATAACTCCATTTTCATCCATGTCTTCTCTACTTCTGCAATTTGTTAATTTTCAAGTACAAAAGCTCAAAACCCACAATTTTTTTTTAATTTTTATTTATTTATTTTTAAGGAAGTTTCTTGCTAAGAACTTCGAATTCGATCAATCTCTTTCTTCATCAATTCAATCGAAGAAGACGATATCCAACAACGGGCTTCCCCTAATTTCCCCGTCGATGAATGGTTTAATCTAAGATCCCAATTCCAATCCCAATTTCAGCAGCTATTCAGAAAATCCTAATCTCAACCCCAATCCTTATCCAAACCCTAACCCAAATCAATCGTCAAAGAGGAAAATGAATATGCCAGACAAGCCCCCAAATTGCATAAATTAACCCTAATTAAATCGATTCCATTATTGTTTCGAATTTTAATTATTTATTAATTATAATCCTTTTAAATTCTACCGTGAATGACACCATAATTGGAACTAAAAGGGAGTATATTCTTTTTATTTAAAATTACAATAGAAAAGAACAACCTTATTACATTTGTAAGCTTCTGTAATACTTATTGCATAGTGCTTCACTGCCCAACCTTCGGAAATAGACTTTCACCAACCACGATACAAATCCCGATGCGCGAGGTACAAGTGCTTAATGCATCATATTCTATTTGTTACCAAACTGTGCTGTAAAATCTCACCGTCGATCAACTCTTCACTGCCAGCTGGCAACATCGTGGCCCTGTCCCCAAAGTGGGCCCCCACAACGTGTTTGGTAAGGGGCCCATGCCTCGTCTGTTTTCAGGAGAGAGCGCGTCTCTCGGATCCGCTATATATATATACACGCCTTCGTCTCCATCGCTTCTCATTCGCACACCATCTATTCATTTCTTCTATAGATCGATCTCTGCTGCTATCTGATTTCCAGATCTTCGTGTTTCTACCGACGACGAGGTAAACTGCTCATGTTAATATTCTTCCTTTTTTCTGGTTTTGTTTCATTAATGCGTTCGTGATTGCTCAGATCTGTAGTGTTGTTGTTGTTGTTGTTTTTTTTTTTTTTTTTCTGCGTTTTGGCTGTTCGTTCGTTGAGATGCATGGTTATTAGGTTATTATTGATCGAATTTTTTTGTTTCTGCGGAGTATTGTTGGCTGTTATGTTGTAAATGAGGTTGAGAAATGTTGGATTTGGGTGATTGAGGATGGCGTGTCGTGTTATGTGATGATAATGAGGTTGCGAAATGTTGTTTGCCTGTGTTTGGTAAGATCCAGATTTTTGTGGAGCTGTTTTCGAGTTTGACGTTTAGTTGAGATTTCGTTCAGGACCTTATGATTTCATCATCTTATCTTATGTGTTCTGTTGATTGTGGTTTGCTGAGAAGTTACTGTGGAATGTTGCTTGCCATGATTAATTCATTGTAGTAAGTAGATCTATCTTGACTTGCGTTTTGATGAAACGTCATGTTGTATGTTAATTTTCAATTCCTTTACGTTTAATTCATTATAAAATGTAGATCTGCTTTTGTTTACCTCTAGATGCTCCAGCAGCTCTGTTACATGTTAATTTTCAATTTGTAGGAGAAAATATGTATATTATTCTGTTCATTGTATATTGTTGCTATTTTAAAGGCATTTTAGTGTGTAGATTTACTCTGATTCACTTCTAGATGCAGATTATATGTTAATTTTCAATCTGAAGTAGAAATACTGCGTATCTTATTCTATCTTTTGTATAGTCTTGCTTAGTTTTACGATTTGTAGTATGTAGATATTTGCCTCCTGTTATATGTTCATTTTCAATTTATAGTCTATTCTGATTTACCTATTAGCAGCAGCTCTGTTAGATGTTAATTTTGATTGCTATGATTATTGCGTTTTGCAGCAGTTCTGTTATATGTTCAAATTGAAATACTGCTAATCTGATGCTTATCTTTCTGCAACGGTTTTCAGATCGACATGGAAACCTTTCTGTTCACTTCCGAATCCGTGAACGAAGGACACCCTGACAAGCTCTGTGACCAAGTCTCGGACGCCATTCTCGACGCTTGCCTGGAACAGGACACCGAGAGCAAAGTCGCATGCGAAACGTGCACGAAGACTAACATGGTGATGGTCTTCGGCGAGATAACAACGAAGGCGAACGTCAACTACGAGAAGATAGTCCGCGACACCTGCCGCGGCATCGGCTTCACTTCCCCAGAAGTCGGCCTTGACGCCGACAACTGCAAGGTCCTCGTCAACATCGAGCAGCAAAGCCCCGACATCGCTCAGGTACGAATCGAATCAAATAATTCGATTTGTTTCAAATTTTAAAATTATATTCGTATTTTGATTCGATCTTTTAAAATACGGCTGTAGCAATATTTGTAAAACTGTCCATGACTCTCCAATGGTTTTCAATTCTCCGTATACTTTAAAAATTGCATGGTGTTTCTTATATTTTTACAAAATGTTACATGAAATTCCTTTCACATTTTTTGTGTGATGAGAAATGATTTCTCATCTATATTTTTTGCATTGCGGTAGTTTTATGAAATATTTTTTAAAGTATAAAGAATCGCTATGTAATTTTTGAAGTACAAGAAATTGCGTCGGAGTTATGGATAATTTTGCCTAACTAATATTTATTCATACATTCAATTCAAGATTCGATTCATTTACAACTCTACTATGCTCAGGGCGTCCACGGCCATCTCACGAAAAAACCTGAGGAGATCGGCGCCGGCGATCAAGGCCACATGTTCGGCTACGCCACCGACGAAACCCCCGAGCTAATGCCGCTCACCCATGTCCTTGCCATGAAGCTCGGCGCCCGCCTCACCGAAGTCCGAAAAAACAAGACATGCCCGTGGCTCCGCCCCGACGGCAAGACGCAAGTGACGGTCGAGTACAAGAACGACAACGGCGCCATGGTCCCGATCCGAGTCCACACCGTGCTCATCTCGACGCAGCACGACGAAACCGTCTCCAACGACAAAATCGCCGCCGACCTGAAAGAACACGTGATCAAGCCGGTGATCCCGTCGCAGTACCTCGATGACAAAACCATCTTCCACCTCAACCCCTCCGGCCGTTTCGTCATCGGCGGCCCGCACGGCGATGCTGGCCTGACCGGCCGGAAAATAATCATCGACACCTACGGCGGGTGGGGGGCCCACGGAGGGGGTGCATTCTCCGGCAAGGATCCGACGAAGGTGGATAGAAGCGGCGCGTACATTGTGAGACAGGCGGCGAAGAGCGTGGTGGCATCGGGGCTGGCGCGGCGGTGCATTGTTCAGGTGTCGTACGCCATCGGCGTGGCGGAGCCGCTCTCGGTTTTTGTGGATACGTACAAGACGGGGAAGATTCCGGACAAGGATATTTTGGCGTTGATTAAGGAGAATTTTGATTTCAGGCCGGGGATGATTGCGATAAATTTGGATTTGATGAGAGGGGGGAAATTTAGGTACCAGAAGACGGCGGCGTACGGACACTTTGGCCGTGACGACCCGGACTTTACCTGGGAGACTGTTAAGATTCTGAAGCCTAAAGCTTGAGCACGTGAGGATCACGTGCCGAAATAAGATTTGAGTTTGCTCTCTCATACTCTTATTACTTCTACAAGTAACGCTTTTAAAAGTTTTTATGATTGTTGTCTGAGTTTTGAGTTTGCCTTCTATTGCGGAATTACGTGTTGTTTTGTGATTTTTTTTTTTTTCTTAAAAATAATATTGTTTGTTTGTTTTTTTGCTTATGAATGTTGAGTTATGAATACATGTTATATTATGCAACTATTTTGGCACATTATTATGTAAGTGAAGATAGGGAAGTTAGGTTTATTGTTGTGGTAAGAACAAAAAGGGAGGTTGAAGGAAAGTTGGAGCAAGTAAGATGGGGTTAAAAGAAAGTTAATGAGTATTTGATCCCCCCCTATATCTGTATATATAATTGACGATCTCTGTAAGATCAATGATATATATGTATGTATGTGTATGTATGTATCGTAATAAGAAAAAAAGGGTAGTTGAGAATTAATAAGTAGGAGTAGGTTTTGGTGGGCGGGGGGACTGGAGAATTCAATCTGTAGTTGACAAAAATGCCCCTTGAGGAAATTTGTTGGACAATGCTTGTGCAGCACCATCTATTCTGGCTCCATCCTGCAATGATACAGACATATATATATATATATATATATTATTTTGCTTTGGTTAATTTAAGTTAAATGTGGATTTGAATGAAGTAAATTGGGTGAAGTTTAGCTACGCACTTTTCCTTGGAAGGTAATGATGAGAGAAGGCGAACCCCCACCTCCTCCTCTTGTTTCACGATACGCCCCTTGTATAATAATAATAATAATAATAATAATAATAATAATAATAATAATAATAGATTAAGGATGATATTTGATACCTTAGTTAATAATAATAATAATAATAATAATGCTGAATTCTTCTTACCAATGTAGAGATCGGGGAATTTTCTGCAGACTTGGGAAAGAGGTTCACCAACTTCTACCTGCATCAATACCAAAAAAAAATTCTGAGGATCTGTTTCTTTTGATTTAGATTTGATATTATAATAAGCGTATGATAGAATATTTTATGATAATTTTTTTGAATCTAAATAGTAAAAATCTGTAGTTAATGGTAAAATAAATGTTGGAACTCCCTTAGTTTACAAGGACGAAAGACAACTTCATTTATCACAGATTAATCTTAAATTAGAGTATCAAATCTCTTTCTTAATATAGTACATAAATTTTCGAGATAATATAATCTCGAACGGGAGTGCTGAGTATCCCCCATTGAAAAATTGTTGGGAACTCTCCGATTTTATAAAGCAGCTCCACTTATCACCAGCTGATTTTAAATTGGAGCCTCGAATTCCATCTAAATAATTCCGTAATTAAACTCCTCTTAATTATGTAAAAAAAAAAAAGAGCAGCAGTTTGGAAGAGAGTGAAAATATAGAGAGACGAGAGAAGAGCAACTCACATCAGAAAGAGATGTTCTCAGCCTCTTGGAAACGAATGGTTTCGTAATTACTAGAACCTCCTCGTCCGATGCTGATGATCTCGACAGCTCTATCAAGCAATTCCATTCCTTTTCCAGCTCTGCCACGTTTGTCGCCGTAAGAATTATAACATTTTGGCACTTCACCTGTTGTACGCGTTGTTACCATTTCGAAAAACGCAGTCAAGATCAATCGAACGCTTGCTTGAAAATATCACGACGACCATGGTAATAATATATGAAGATTATACACCCACGGATCAAATAATAACGTAAACATGCAATGAAAACACAAATAAAATAAAAACATATGATGTGATGACCATAAGCAGCCTGATATATACATACATACATACATACATACATACATATATATATAAATGTTAAGCTTAACTTACCAAAGGCACACGTAGTTCCTTGTGGTGGAGCAACTCCGTAACTCCCTCGGGCAACTGAGCCATCTGAAAGGCAATACGAACAAATCAATACCGCCACCGAACAAAATGGATATTTCTCGCACACAGAAAAAGTATCAGATGTAATAAGTAGATCACCCTCTTTCATGACAAACCACTACCTATTTTGACAAATTGAAGTCTACTGAATGACACATTCAAGACTTCTCCAGGCAAATGAAATGAACCAAATTATTCCAATTTAGGGGCAATAGAATGTAACTGTAAAAAGGAAAGGGAAAGGTTTCGCATTCAAGCTAACCGAGATGGACCATTTTTTGTTATCTTACTCTGGACAGCAATAACAATACATTAGAGTCCTAATGATCCATGATCATCGTTTATGATGATTTTTAAATCACAGTAATGTCATTTAATGGGTAGTGAGTAATGCTACCTCATTCCTCTCTCCAGTGCACCTTTCACCTATGAGATGCCTCAGACATTCTTCGAATTCTTCATCGGGGGCCTTCAACAAAGCATAATGATAAATCAATACAATACCTTTCAAAATACATAATATATAAAGGTTGCTCGAATACGGAATCAGCTAAACTTGGAGCTATCAGCTCGTCGATGATCAAAAAGAGGTACCATCCGAACACCAAAAGCTTTAGCCACACCAGCTACAGTAGCATCTGAAGGCAATGGACCAACGCCTCCATAAATAAAAACCTGCAGTTGACAGTTTCAATAGTTCGTAAGCTGACAACATAAAAATTAGAAATATACGACGGCTGCTAACCAGAAGTTGCAGGCAGCACCTTCTGTCAAATGCACCAGGGAAGTAGAAGTTTACCATATCATTTATAGATTTCCGACGCTCAACTTCATCAGCAACAGAATCAATCTGTAAAGATTAAGAAAGAAATTAGTTGAAAGAAAAATACATTATTAAGACAACAAAAGTCAAATACCTTTTCAACAAAAATGCGCCAAAAATCTAAGCATTAGTTTGCTTATCAAATGAATTTCTACGAACAGATTAAAATAACTTGAGGTACAGAAGACAAAGTATCTCAAGAGTCTAATTCCAAAATTGACTGAAAAAATCGATAGCCCTGAATGCTACTTTTACGGATTCATTTAAATGCAGGAAGGATGAAGGTTGCCTAGTATATAATTTTTGTATAACAAAAAAGTTAACACACTTTCAGAGGATTCCCCATTCTTGAACAATGTAATAATCATCTATCAAGTGAATATCTACGGTTCCATGTCTCGGGTGAAAGAATGCGAAAAGAGCAAGTATCTGATCAAATGATAGGAAAATCAAAGTAAGTATCTAGGAAAGTACTATTCCACTAACAAAACATGCACTAATTTAGGTTTTTTGACAGCCTATAACACAACAAAAGTTCGGCTGCTTACTTTACATTGTGAATAAATGTCAATGGTCCACGGAACAGGTGCTTGATAGGCATCAAAATTAACATAAAGAAAAGAAACTTACATCATTTCGAGTAACAGAAATGTGCGAAACAGCCCAACCTATGGAATGCAGCTTTCTACACAATATGGATCCCATTTGATCCTCTACTGTGCCAAACCTGAGCTATGGAACCAACAGAAAAATGTCACTTAGAAAATGACAGAAATGATGAGCACCATTTGCAGTGATATGTCAGTTATTGATTTCGACAATGTTCTCTCTTTGGTGTAACAAGATTAGAATATCTGCTTGCAAAACCCAAAATCTTCAAAATGCGAAGCCCCGTTTTCAGAAGTTCGAGAAGATATATCAACGAGCAAGCTCAAGAAGAGGTGTAAAGCATGGAACTGTTGGTAAGTTTTGTGACCAAGAAGATACGACCTTACTTCATATGTATGAAGAATAAAAAGTAAAAAGAATCAGGATGTAAGAAAAAATAAATCAAATCCAATTCCCAAGCAATAGATTGTATTTAAGAAAATTTTGTTATGAATATAATCAAATAGAAGTGGGCAAGTGCAATCTTAAATGGAAAAGTCGAAATTTGGGTAAAGCAGTGATCTACACACTATTATTGGAAAAAAAATAAAAAACTATGTCATCTAAGTTCAGCAGCTAATTAGATTCACAAGGGACATTTTGAGGGGAAAATAAAAATAGAAAAAGCCATGAATAAACTTACAGGAGTTGATCCCCCACAGCAATCACGGAGGCTGTGAACGTACTTTTCAACTGGGGATCCTCACAAGTCACGCCATTGCTCACGGAAGACAATGCCGGGGAATGGCACTTTTTAACTCTTCCTGCTCTTTCCAGACGGCCATCACAAAGTAGATATGCAGGTCTATATTTTTCTTCACTGTTCTCTGTCTTGCTATGGTACAACAGTGCATTTGGAACTGTGTCGTGAATGCTGCCAATAGATGTATAACTGCAGAAATCCAAAAACATTACACGACTAACGTGAATATTAAATTAGGCATGCATCATCATATAGCAACCTTTAGCATCGACACCAAAGTACTATGGATATATTTCTTTTAAATAAATAAACAAATAAATAAATAATAGAAACAACCAAACTAAGCAAACATTTATTGCCTTAACATGCCACAAAATAATAGCATCTCATCCAATATTTCAAGGTAGGCAATAAAGACTCACCCCTGATCATAAAGGCTGCAGTATTTAACCTTGCAAGTCAATAGGAAGTCCCAAATGTCCCTGTCAAGTCGAAAGTATGAAGTAAAACTTTTCTGATGATGCTTTTGCATTCAAAGAAGCTATGCTAACCTCACAAAAAATGAATAACTATTGCATCAATGTATGAATAACCAAAGACAAATATTACATTAGCACCACTCTTTTCAAACCATCTTTATAAAAGAGCAGCAACACATGAGGCATATAGGGTTTTTGTTTGCAGTTTTGAATTGGATCTCGCACTATTCATAGCATTTTTCACCCTCAAAACATCAAATCAAACACCTACTTTCATTTAAACTTTTATATCAAAGATTTATTTTTCATTCCAATTATCATATTAAAAATTTATTTCAATTCAATTTGTACTATTATCAAACCTCAAAGTTTCAAACCCACTCCGAAACTCCCATCCAAACAAACCCAGACTCAAATGTCAATACTTCATCTGGGACAAGATTAGTGTCGTTTTATACCCAGAATTTGTTCATACTTCCCCAAATTTTTTGACTCAGAAGCAACTTCTAACAATAGAAGTATGGATTCAGCCCGGTATGTTCCGAAGAGGTAGTTTTACAATAAATTTCCATTTGTAAATAATATAGATATGTTGTGTATAAGATAAATTGTTTACCAGTCCCTCCCAATAAAACCCTTCTTCTATACAAATCATAACACCTTTTACAGGGTAAAGAAACTTTGGTGTGGCAAATTTCTCCGAAGAGCAAATTTAGTAATCAAATTTCACTTCTCTTACTGTCTTGTGTGCAAAATTCAAAGAGCTGTTTTGATTGGTTAAGACTTCATACAATTAGAAATTCAATTTTAGCAAACATGAAGTAATTATTGACAAATAATAACTTATGAGTGTCCTATTTTATTTTTTTCCCCCTTGAAAAATATTCCAATAATGTGCCAACTTTCATCATTTATTCAAAAAGGTATTTAAAATACCATGGAAAATTATGTAGCTGATGCCATGGTTATTGGACATGGAACGTCAAAAAGCATTAAATAGAGCAGACCTGTATGACCAGTCCAAAATGGGGTTCACTCTCATGAATGGTGGCCATCCAGGAGAACTCGGGGAGAACTGCTCTTGCCCTACCTAAAACAACACACAACCAATAAAATAAAAACAAAAAAAATTCAAAATTTTCCATTCTCAATATTGACTACTTTGTTTTACGTTATAAATCTAATAAGAAAGTTAATTACATACTGCAGTAGGATCACCAATCCGAACACCAAGGAAAATGGCTCTAATTGGGTTGGCTTTTAGAAGAGCTTCCAAGCCAGATTTGAAATCTAAACGAATGATATCCATCTGCAACTTGTATCTGACAAATCGAGACAAGCATGTTGTAATTGATCGTAAATGTAACATTACGAAAGAGATATATTTTGTTATACAAGCAAATATATACCATTCTGTTTTACTTCATCTTTTAAAAAAGGTAAGAGAAGCCATACGATACATAGCAAGAAAATAAATAAGTCAACATACATAGACGCTGTGTCGTAAGTGAATGAATTGATTTCAGGGAAAACTGATGAACTCTCAAAATATATTGTCCTTATAGGAAAGGCTACTTCGTCATCCTTGGGATCCCCATCAGACAAATCTGTTCCAGCCTTATGCAAATAATAGCCAGCCCTAAGAAGATGCAATAGAACCTACAAGTAGTACATGGCAATCAGGAATGACGTTGGAGTCCTTTTGAGTATGGAAAAGAAGATGCATTCAGGCTAAGCAACTTACAGTAGAATCTTTTCCACCATTGAAGCTGAGGGCAACCTCTTCAATACTGAGAATAGAATTATTTAGTACTTACTCAAGTTCGCCTTGAAGTGAAATACATGGAAAACTCAATATCCACAAGTTTTACATTCACCGGATTCGATAACAGTCCACAAGGAAACCAAGATATCATTGATTGCATTTTATTTTTCCTAAACTGCAAACGTCCTAATTAACCAGGCAACCCACACGTTAAAGTTCAACTTAACCCAAAACTCATATGTACACAATCCAACTACAATCCTACCATCAAGCTCCGAAAAGAATTTTAAAAGTGCTACAGCTAACAGACGACACACTAAACACGCTAGTACTCTTTGAAAGGAACAATCTAGATTATCTAAGTTTGATTCCTGCATGTGAAGTTCTTGAACTAAATGGAACACCAAAAGAATCTGCAAATTTTATTGGCTGCAGCTAATAATCGTAGAAATAAATCAAAATTCCTATTATTTAATAACTTGATTTATCGAAAGGCCAACACGTGTCGGTTTTTGAAACTACCAAGTCAATGACCAATCAAACTAATTTTCAAAATCGAAAAATTCAAGTAAGGTGACAGTATTCCACTGATTCACACCAATAGAACTTGAGCAATCGAAAGTGTATTCGTGAACTTAGTGACAATTCTATGTCAGCACAATTCATTAGTTCAATTGAAGAACAACCTAACCCTTGGTATGAAAGCAATCTAATCATTGAATAACATGACTGTTCTAAAAAATTCCAGTGATTCGAAACTCTTGTCGACTGAGACTAAACCTGCAGCCATTTACCAACTACTCCTAAGTGCATTCTTCTCATAAGCATACTCAGAACTTATTGCAAATGAGGATTTAAGCAAGATGATACATACGAGTAGAGAGCAAGAGCCCTTTGAATAACATAGATGGCGTTGTTGTACTTCGCCTTCAACCTCCTATCACCACATTCTCTTATTGCTTTGTCGATCTCCATCTTCGAATTCGCTCAAAGGATCCTCCTGGATAAAATTTAAATTTATAAACAAAATCATTCAGTCAGAAAACTGAAGAAACACATTCCAAACACATCCAGTGCATCTGTATCTTGAGATTCAGGAAAACATTGCCAGAATTACGGTTAATTAACATCGATTCCAATGACAGCTCATTCCATAAATCATTTTCAACAAATAAATTCACTTGCCTTCTATATATAAAAAATATATATATATATATATAACAAATCAGTTCTCCTCGATGCTCTGCAATTACAACCAAAAGAATAGCCAAGACAAATTCAAACGATCCAAAATCTTCAAAATCCAACTAATCCTTCCACGGGTTTAGAACAAAATCTTCGCCTTCTACTATAGAATCCAGAAAAATAACCAAATAACAGTAAAAAACGCGCTAATTGATTCCGTCAAACACGAAAAGTGCGACGACTGAAGAGAAGCAACGGAAGATTCAACGTTCAAAGGATTTTAGGAATGGATGGGTGATTACCTCCGTCTTCAAAATCCTCGCCCAAATTGGAAGGCTGGAGATGCACTGAAACAATCCCTATTAACAAATAATATATATAAGTGGTATATATAAATATATGTATCCGTTTGTTCTGGGAATAAAAGCGACTGCCAAAATTATTACTCATAATGCCTGAAATTTAAAACTGCAGGTCATTTTCTGAGTGCGATTTTTTCTTTTTTTCAATGTAATTTAATCTAATCTAAAATAAAATATCTTCAATAAATATATTATTACTACTTTATTTAAAAAATATTTTTAAAATTACTTCATTTTGTAATATTTTATATTATATTTAAAATATATGTTTTTCCAATCGAAAAGTTTTAGGGTTTGTTTATTTAGTATTTTAATTTGAAATTTTTATTTTGATATGAAGCATAAAAAAATATATTAATTATATGAAAATAATATTTTATATTAAAATTTAACTTATAAAAAGATAAAATATATGTATTGAAAATTGTGTAAAAAAACTCGTGTGAACAAACATATATATATTTTTATTAATATTATATCCTAAAATAGTAGGATATATGTATATGTTGATATAGAATATATTTTTTAATAATTGTTTAAAAATAACCATTGATTATTTTTTTATTTATGACATATTTTCCCATATTGAAATAAAAAATATCTCAAAAACAATAGGACAAAACAAATTCATTCTATATTAAATAAATATATATAATAAAAGGGTGTGCATATTTGACAAATTTTTCAGAATTTTATTATTTATAAAAAAAAAATTAAATATCAATTCAAATATTTATTTTTTATTTTTTATATAGTATTAAAAATTAATTTTATATTCAAAATATTACATCAATATTTATTTATATCCTATATTATAGTTATATTTTCAATAAATAAAATTAGAAATTACGATTGGAGAGACGGAAATAAAAAAAAGTTGACACTTTATGCGGAAATGAGGAGTACTATTTAAATTTCAACTCAAAATCCAAATCATAAAAAATACACCGTTAGTTTTTGTTTAGTATTAAAATAATATTTGATAAAATATTTTACAAAATATACTCCCTCCGTCCCAAAAGATTTGTCTTATTTTTTCATTTTCGTTTATCCCTAAATAATTGTCTTGTTTCCTTATTTAGTAGCCGTGGTCCCCACTTTATAACAAAATTATTTCTACTTTTTCATACTACCCCTAATTATTACTCTAAATACTCTTTAAAATCCTTAAAAAAAGTAAAGGCATTTTAGACATTTACATTATATTTTATACCTACTTTCAATTAAATACTATTATTCCTTAATTCATGTGTCAACTCTCAATAAGACACTTTTTTGGCATCAACGGAGTATATTTTAAACTTAGAATCCAAATAATGCTGAAGATTTAGAATAAAGAACCACCCAACTAAAAAAATTGTCATGTTTCATAATTTTTATCTTAAAAAAGAAACATTACTCTATTCATCATCAAATTTTATGTTCATTTGATCGGGACACGGGTTAAAAGAAAATTGATTAAATAAAATAAAGTATTTCGGAAGTATTCCATTTGTAAAATCATCCAATATATTTTTTCAAAAAATTAATATATTATACACATTTATTATTTTTATATTATCTACACATTTTATTCTTTTATATTTCATATAAAAATAATAATTCGGTTAAGCCAAAATACAAAACAAACAAACCTTCCTTCTATAGTAAATAAAAACTAAAGAAATTGTATTTTTTACTTAAAAGAGAAAATATAAATATTTTTTATGACAATAAAAAAAAAAGCATAAAATTAATTTTTTTTTTTTTTTTTTTAAAAAAAAATAAAGTTATAAAGTTATAATCTTATCAATATCTGGTCTCTATGCACATCGTGGTCCGATCGATTCACATCATCGATAAAAAGATTCGCACTTATTTATCTATTCTATTCTATTTTGAATTGTACGCTAGACATTTGAAAACAAATTTTAATGAAAATGAATAAATATATATAATAATAGTAATAGTAATAGTAATAGTAATTAATACTTTTATCTTTATTGTAAAAATAACAAAAATTAATATACCTCTTACTTAAAAATAAAATAAAATAATTATGATACCTTAAAAAAATGGCATATATGTGGATGACAAAAATTGTCTATATAACATGAATTATTACCTATTTCAGTTTAAAAACATAATTTTCTTTGTTTTTAATTATTTTAAAAACTTAATGCGTAGCCTACTTATAATTTATTATTTTTAATTTTTCTTTTAGGCAGACAAAATATATTATATTTATTTTTTTTATATAAATTAATGTCTATTTATTACGTGTAAAGTATATTCTTTATTTGTATTGTACAAATTATTCCTTAGGTTGAGCCCGTCGGATTGGCTCACCTTGCTTCACTAAGGAGGGTTGGGTTAAGATTTGTAAGTCCATTAAAATACAGGTCTAAACGGGCCAACTCACGTGGATCGTGGATTGAAAGTGGGTTAGCCGGTAGTCGAGTGGATGCGGGCCAAGTAAATATAATACTCAACTAAATATATTTTTTTATCAGTTTTTAATGTCATATAATATCAGAATATATTTTAATTTTATATAAATTACAAATATCCCATTATAAATACAATTAATTTATAAATAACGTACAAAGAGTATAAAAATATCAAAATTATCTTGTACATTTTATTTTAATAAAACAAATAATATTATTTTTAATTTACTGAAAAGATATATTTTTAGTTAAGATGAATAAAATAAAATTTCTATTATCATTAGCTTAAATAAATTAATCAATATTGTCTACACGTTGCTTTCTTTTCTAACTCTGTTATCAATGTCATTCTTATTTTTATTTCGATTTTTCATCATTTATTTTGTTCGTCTTTCATTTTATTGTTTTGTAATATTTTTTTAATTGTAGAATCTATCAACAAATTCATAAAATTAATTATGATTTATTTGTAAAATATTTCTTATTATTAATTTTTTTTTAAATACAATAACTAATAATAATTAGAATTGAAATTTTTTATATTTTTTATTTATTTTATAATATTTATTATTTGAATTCTAAAATAAAACTATTTTTAGCTATTTTAAAATACTAATTACGAAAATATTTATAATATTAATATTTTTAAAAAGTCCGTGGGCTAGCCCGCTTAGCTCGTCACACGCTTGTGGGTTGGGTTGGGTTGAATTGATGAAATTTTGATCCGTTCCGCCATAGGTTGGCCCGCAAACAAGCCGCTTATTTGCGGGTTATGGTGGGTTGTTGACTAATCCGCCTCACTAACCCGTTTTGACAGGTATACTACCAATGACATTATCGTGCATATTTAACAGAATTAATTTTTTTAAAAAAATTAAAAGATACTTAAACTTATTTTTAAGCATATATACATACATATATGATATCATAATCAATTTTTTACAAACAAACATCCATTACCGTGTGTTTGTTTAGGAGTTTGAATTTTAAATTGAGATTTGAATAATAAAAAAATTGAATTTGAATAGTTGTATGATGTGATATAAATGAGAATTGACGAATTGTTTTGAATGTAAAATTTATTTTTAGTATAATATAAAAAATAAAAAATAAATATTTGATTGACTGTATAGCCTGTATTTTGAAAAAATAAAATAAAAAATTGAATGAATAACATAAATACATGAAAGTCTTCCAAACAAATACATCATTGGATCAATGACAACACGAAAAATATTTCCGGATAGATCCAACCACAATCAAATACTCCATCCGTCTATTTTCTAATGTCATATTTGATATTTACACGCATTTTTAGGCAATTAGGATTTCTGTTATAAAATGACAAATTTGCCATTAATCTTGTGTATAGAAAATGAAAGAGTAAATAAAGTAAGGGTAAAAGAGTAAATTTTGTGTATAAAAATAGAAAGAGGACAATAATTGTTGGATATTCCAAATAAGAAATATGACGTTAGTTCGTGGACGGAGGGAGTAGTTTGTAAATTAATCAAACAGATCCAACCACAATCAGATAGTTTGTAAATTGATCAAACAATTCATGCAAAGGGTGTGTTTGTTTGGGGGTTTGGATTTTGAGTTGGGGTTTGAATAGTAAAAAATTTGAATTTGAATAGTTGTATGATGTGATATAAATATGTGTTGATTTGATGTTTTGAATGTAAAATTACTTTTTAGTATAATATAAAAAATAAAAAATAGTTGTTTGATTTGATATTTTTGGGGAAAAAAATTGAATGAATAGTATAAATCCAATCCAATCCCCAAAACAAACACACCCTTGGAAATAAAGAAAACGAAACACATAGCAATTTTTAATCCAATTTGACCTTCAGCTTGGTTTACGTTTGGGTTCCAATCCATGTATAATACTCCATCCGTCCAACTAGAAAATATATATATTTTTAATTTGGAACGTCCAATTATAAAATAAATATTCTATTTTTTTTCACAAATATCATTATTTTATATCACATTATTACTTTTACACTAAAAAATAAGGGCAAAAATGTTATTCAACTACTTTTAACTATATATTATAATTAAAATACTATTATTTTTTAATATAGCGCAAAAAATAAATATATATATTGTAAATAGACGGAGGAGTATTATATAATAGTATTATTAAAAGTTCTAATCAAAACCAAAAGTACACTTCGGGTGTGTTTGTTTGAAAGGTTTGGATTTTGAGTTGGGATTTGAATAGTAAAAATTTTGAATTTAAATAGTTGTATAATGTGATATAAATAGGTGTTGATGTGATGTTTTGAATGTAAAATTGATTTTTAGTATAATATAAAAAATCAAAAATAGGTATTTGATTTGATATTTTTGAAAGAAAAAAATAGAATGAATAGTGTATATTAAATCCAATCCCTCAAACAAACACACCCTTCGATTCATTTGAGAAGTGGAGGGAATGAAACTCCAATTCTAACATGGCTGCATGTGTAGAAACTTCCAATGTAGGCAAATTGAAATTTTGACTTTGACTCAATAATTTAGGTCATACAATTTGGATTCCATTTCGATGCAAAGGTAGGGTTATTTTCTACAAATTATTCTCTTATTATTTCACAAAATTTGTTCATATTTTATATTTTTATTTTTTCACATAATATAATTTTTTTAAAAAAAATAATTTTACTACATTTTAATTGAGTTTAAAATTTATAATTTTTAAATTTTTAAATTAAATTATTAATTTATTTTAATATTAATTTATAATTATTTTTATTAAAATATCTTTTAATTATTTATTGATTATCCTTTTACTGAAATATTTGTAATTATAAAAACTGAACAAGATAAAACCGAATATTATTCTTTATATTATTATTATTATTATTATTATTATATGTACTCTATTTATCATATAAATTTATGCACTCACACCCATGTTGAAACTACTTTTGGCCACACGTTTGGAGGGAGTATTTCATTTTGATAACTTTTACATGAATATATAATTATGTTTATATAGATATTTTTACACTATTTATTACTCCCACAGGAACCTCGGTACATTGAAATTAGATTATTTGGATCCGATTATTAAAATAAATAAATATTTTTATTGAAAAAATAATAAAAATAGAGAGATACTCTTTCTTGTTGAAAGTGTGACGTTTGTTTTTTGCACGTAAATTTTTTAATATTAATATTATATTGGATTGTAGTAAAAAAGACAAAAATACCCTTATTAGTATGGTATAATATAAAAGTAATGACATTTGTGTAATATATTGTAAATTGAAAGAATATTTATTATGTTAAATAGGTAGTACGAGTATTAAATTAGGAAATGATATCATTTGTTTTGGAACGAAAAAAAATGAAAAATGGTAACATTTCAATGGGACGGAGATAGTAGTTGAAATATTTTTGTAAATTTAATTATAAATTAAAATAAATGAAAAAATAGGATAAATATAATGATATTTGTTGTAAATATATTAAATTAATAATAATAATTAAATATTAATTTATTAACTTTGATAAAACTAAGAATGAAATAAATTTAACAGACAAATTAAAAAGGAAAATATTAATTATTAGATAAATTTTTTTTTATAATACTTATATTTTATTTTGTATATACCTTCATATTAATATTTCTTAATTTTTTTATCTAGAAAATCTTCATAAATTTATGGGGCAATTTGAAAATTTTTATTTTACAATATTTTAATGAAATGATTGAATAATAATATTTTTATTTTACAAATAAATATTTCTTGTCAACTCTAATAAAAACCGACCTTAGCTCAGTTGGTAGAGCGGAGGACTGTAGTTGGTTGCTGTGATCCTTAGGTCGCTGGTTCGAATCCGGCAGGTCGGATTATTTTTTTTTTTTTTTGCTTTCCGAGGCCCAAATCTCGGCCGAATTTTTAGCAAAACAAAATTGGTCGATGACCAGACGTTTTTCGTCGCATCGGAGGGGAGAAAAATGGCTCGGGCGATCACGTACATCACCGGCTCTCAGCTTCTCTCTCTCAAACGCCGACCAAACATCGCCGTCGTGGATGTCAGGTGTGGATTGGTTTCTTTCATGATTTTGAGTTTTTAATCTCCACTGATTTTGATGTATGTCGTAGGGATGACGAGAGGAGCTCCGACGGGCATATAGCTGGATCTCTTCACTTTGCTAGCGGTACGTTTCTGGACAAATTGCCTGCTCTCGTTGAAGCTACTAAGGATAAGGATACTCTTGTTTTCCATTGCGCTCTCAGTCAGGTTCTCGTTCTCTGTTCATCGCTGTTCGTTCTTCGGTTTAATTTGCTGTGTTTATTTGTAATTTTTGCCTGTGTTTGATGCATCGTGATTCAATTTGTTTGTTCTAGATAGGTTTCGATTCGCCATAACTGAACTACAGGCATCAAATTAGTTCCAGTAGTTTCTTTTTGTTGCTCAACCAATTATGGATTGTTCAGAATCACAAAACTTATCTGCACAAAATGATGTGTTCGACCATCTGTTCATTGCTTCTGGTTTTTCTACTTCAAACGAAACTTCCAATTGTCTAATCGAAATTGCAAAAACTTCTGACTGGAGGATAAACTTAGCATCCTAGAGGTGTTCTTATACCACTTCTCGAAGTTTGCAAACCTCCGTTTCGATTTTCTGTTCAATATCTTCTTTAATCTGTTAAGCTACTCAGAAACCTCTGTGCTGGAGGAATTAGAAATCAGAACTGTTTGTCATTGATATGTAGTTACAGTTTCTACGGTTTTGCTCTAGAACAAGTTGTAGTTATTGGCCATTAATTGTTGTGGGAACTGTATACGATCTGGTGATACTGTTTGTGCAATGTTTCTGCGAGGATATGTCTGGAAATCAGAGAAATTAACTTGATAATATTGAACAGAAGCATATTAGATCAGAAATTAAGGAACAATGTGATAAACTTGCCAAGATCAATTGCAAAATTCTTAAAAAAATTTAAAACCAGCTGAAGAAGTTAAAAATGGATCAAGAAGCTGATGGAAAAAATGAAGAATACAGTAGGGATTTTGATAGTAAAATCACTATCACTGTCTTGAATCTTGCCTAGTAAGGAACTCGCTCGGCTACTGAGATCGGTGGCAAGAAAAATTACTCACCAAGTTCAACAATGTGATTTTCTTTGTCCAGTTGTCAAAATTCATAATACAATTGGTTCATACTCTCATTTTTGCCTGCAATAGAATATGGTTTCCATTGTGAAATTAGTTTGTATTTCTGCTAACAATTGTTGATCTTTGGATTTGATATCCCCAACTGCATGCGTCTTCGGTTACAGTTTAATGGTTTTGCTGAATGTTTGCGACACTTATAGTGGATTGTATTGGGTTGAATTTTTATACTCTCTATGGCAACTTTGTTTTCAATTATTTTTCATTTGATTGGATCAAATAGGATTTCAAAATGATCTAAATGACTCAATCTGTTGAACATTTGCTGCACTTCTAGCAGATTGGATTGTGTGTAGATTTTTTAATTTTCTCCATAGAAACTGCATTCGATTAATTTTCTTCTGATGGATCAAATAGGACTTCAAAATTATCTAAATAACTCCTTCCGTTGAGTAGATGTCGCATGCTGATGGCCGCTATATCCATTGTTGTCTTCATACTTCTTTTCTTAGTTTTATTGAACAAAGATTCTTATAGAGAGTATGATTCATTGGCCACTCGGAAATTTGTGGCAGTAATCCAAAGTTTCGAAGAAGTCTATTTGAGTTGGAGTCGGCTTCTTGCATCTATATACTATTAAAACTCTTTTGAGGGTAAGAATAGATTGATTCTTTGGCTATGATTTAGTTTTATGTATAAAAAGTGATTAGAAGATGTAAATATGTGAGTCGAAAATATGGTTCGATACACAAGTGCATTCTCATTGTTTCTCTCTACTACATATATGCTCTTATTACTTCTTTTGATTTTGCTAATTTACAGTTTGGGAAAGCAAATCCCAATATAAACCTTATGTAGTGTATATGAAATACAGTTTCGATTAGATAAAGAAAATAGAAATGACATTTTTTTCTAAATTCGATAGACTTGTTAGATGCTACGCGTTTCTTTTCTGTTTCTTTACATTTGAATATCGTTTAAGAAGTGACACACGGAAAATGGTTGTTTTACAGGTTCGCGGACCTAAATGTGCCCGGAGATTTGCAGAGTATCTTGCTGAGGCGAAAGACATTGGAGCGAAAAATATACTGGTTTTGGAACTAGGATACAACGGTTGGGAAGCTTCGGGTCGACCCGTCTGCCGCTGCTCGGAGGTTCCCTGCAAAGGAAAGTGAGTGAGAGCTCAAGCCTCTCCCAGGAAAGGTGATATCAAAATCTCTTTGATGAAAGTGACCATTTTCTCATTGAAAGATATATACTGCATTTGTTAAGAATCTGTACTCCCATATGATTTTGCTTGAAAATAATAATAATAAGTTCATTTAAACTTGCACGAATAAAATTATTTTCTCGTGCCTAATATCGAATTAGTTATAGTGCTGACTGGATTTAATCGGCACTATTAACCTCGATTGGTACATCGAAAAAGATATACACGACATATAGTTGTTGTTGAAACATGTGTTGTGTATATAGTATGCGTCCTAATTTATATAGACAAATATTACCACCTTTTTTTTTTTTTTATTTTTGCGTATGTTAGTATTATTCTTTGCCCTAATTGTAAAATAAAAATGTTTCGTAGCATTTTGATTTACATCTTTACAGTGAGAGATTATTTATTTTTAATAAATTGTTATGAAAATTTCAGGAAATCAAGATGAAATAACAAGGACAAAAGAACACAAGAATTTGGTAACGCAGTTCGATTACGATGATCTACGTCTGGGGGCGCTGCCAAGCCAGGAATTTTACTATAAAATAAGCAGGCACATGTTAAAGTGAGAATACATGGATATTTATAGCCTAAGTTTTTGATAATAATATCCAAATCATATCTCTAAAATCTAAAATATAATATCCGAATCATATCCCTAGATTTTAGGATATAATCAGACTTCATATCCCAACAATCTCCCACTTGAAGACTGATTTCATCTTCCACTTCAACATACCTCATCCAATCTCCACTCCTCACCATTCGGTGTTTTGATTCGAATCATTCCTTTACCAGTGGTATAGGATTCCATGATTCTCGAATCACTGCATGAGTGGAATGACGCTCGACCAAAATCCATGACTCAATTGGACTGCTGACGCTCAGAATCAGCGCATCGGATATCTCCTCCGTTGTGTTTGCTGAACCCTGATCCTTCTCCGGCGCCCTGCACTGTCGTTTCAAGTGCCCCTTGCAGTTCCAATATACCACCTGACTTGCATCTTTCTTGTTCTTATTCTTCGGCTTCAACTTTGACCATTCTTGATCTTCACCATTTCCTTTTGCCTCAAATCTAAATTCAGTCGAGACATTCTCCCAAAGGGTTAGTCGAACCGCACTCATCGTCTTCCTGTCGATCTTCTTGTATTCGGCTTCATCCATGTCTTTGAATTTCTCCTTCAATACCGCATCTAGATCTTTACCATTCATGTAATCTTCTATATGCATATTTTAGAAACCGAAGTTCATACCATCGAATAACTTGACAACATGACGATCACCCATCTTGACTCCCACAAACAAACCTAAGGTTCACTTAATATGAGAGCACATCGGATATTCCGCTGCGTTTGCCGAAACCCTTATTCTTTCCTACCAACCTTGCACCGCCTATTACAAAGGGACTCGCTGCCTGACCTACCAGTCGGGACCGACCCAACACCGCCAGAAGACTTTCGACACAAGGCACCTCCGCAGGTCACAAGGGATTCCCACAACGATCCAACGTCCGATTCCTCTCAATCCACCCTATCAACGAACTAGGCTCTGATACCACTTGTTATGAAAATTTCAGGAAATCAAGATGAAATAACAAGGACAAAAGAACACAAGAATTTGGTAACCCAGTTCGATCACGATGATCTACGTCTGGGGGCGCTGCCAAGCCAGGAATTTTACTATAAAATACGCAGGCACATGTTAAAGTGAGAATACATGGATATTTATAGCCTAAGTTTTTGATAATAATATCCAAATCATATCTCTAAAATCTAAAATATAATATCCGAATCATATCCCTAGATTTTAGGATATAATCGGACTTCATATCCCAACATAAATCATTTGCATTTATATGAATATTTTGTATTTTTGTATAAAATATTTGGATTCACTCGTTATGACGAGAGCCGGAAATGGATCGATTCGTGTCGGGTTGACTACTTTAAACGGGTTAAATTACTCAATCCTAACCCGATCCGTTTATTATCGTGTCGGGTTCGTGTTAACCCGTTTATTATTGTGTCGGGTTCGGGTTGACTCGTGTTGACCCGTATCCATAATTAAGTCTAATTTCTTGATTCAAATTAAATAATTTTTTGTTTTGTTGTCGTGTTATGTTAGTTTTTATTGGTTTGAACCTAAATTGGGTTGAATTATTTAAAATTGAACTTAGTTTAAATTAATTTATGAAAAAATTATTAAATTATGATTATTTTATATATATAATAAATATATTAATCAATATTAATATATTATAATCGGGTTGTCGTGTCGGGTTCGAGTTGAGAGTCTCAACTCTAACCCGATCCGTTTATTATTGTAAATCCGTATACATAATCGGGTTGAAATCTTTGACCCAAATTTAATTATATTGTGTCGGGTCAGTTTTTGCCCGCTATGACACACATAAACAATTTGAATGTTTTGTTAATTATGAATGAAATGGAGATTTAGTATATTTTTATTATTTTTTATTTTTATATCATAATGGTTAAATATTTAATAACTAAATATATGATATTTTCTTAATATATATATATAATATTTTCTCATTCCATCGAATTTATATTTTTTACTATTATTTATTTTTTTAAAAAAATTTGACAGATGAAGAACTAAGTTTTTGTATTGGAATTTATCCAAATAAATTAAAAGAACTTAGCTAATATTGTTCCAAATTTGAAACGACTGCATTTCTATTGAGTCGTTAGTTATTATGCAATTTTTGTTTAGTAGCTGTGATTTAAAATTAATTTGAAATTGAATGTTTATTTTATTAAATTTTTATATAAATTGTATTTTAATATAATATTTTTAAAAAAAATATACTACTCTCTGTACATTAATAAATATATGTATTTTTATTTTGGATGATCGATTTAAATAATTATTTTTTTTTAGTAATTGTGAGATTTTTTTTTACAAGCACTTTCTCAACTATCAAAATTTATTATAATTAAAATATTATTATTTTTAAAAATCTATTACTGCCTTTAAAAAAAATAATAATAAAGGAGGAGGGAGCTATATTTTATTGAAAACCAGATAAACAGTGATGATAATCAAACCGAGCAATTACTTGGAAAAAAAAAAAAAAAGGACGGGTCGGGTCACGTTGGTGGAGCCCAAATTACGGGTGTGAAAAAACTGAAAATCAGACGGCCTCGTTGAAAGAGATCCTTCGCTCCATCCGACCGCCATTTCTTAAGCTGATCTCCTTCTCCGCCGAATCTGATATCCGAGGGAATCGAAGATGGTGATAATTTGATCACGTTTTCGTTTAGTTCGATCCACAAGTTTTGTTGCGGTGAATCACTGATGGTGTTTGATTTGCAGGTTTGCTTGGCTTGTTTGTTGCCGTTATTTATAGTGCCAATCGTCAATCTGTTGCCCCTCATCTTCGATGTCATCATGGTTTGTTTGTGCAACACTTTTTTTCTTAAATTTTCACTCGCTATTGTGATGATTTTGATGAATGAATTTCTAGGTTTTGATGGTATTTTGGATTCGTTACGATCTTCTAATCGATCGGCGTGTTTGTTTAAAAAAAATTGTAGGCGAAGGTGTATAGATTGTTTGGATGGGAGTATCGGAAGCCGGAGAGAGCGCCGCCGGCGTGTCCTATGAAGCCGTCCGCCTCCAAAACCGCCACCAACAATTCAGTGAGTCGAACTGTTATCAATAATAGCCTTTTCAATTCTCTGTTAGGGTTACGATTCATAGATGTGATTATTACAGGAATTACCTTGGTAAATGTATTTTCATCTTCAATTTAGAGTTAGAGAGGGCATGGAACATTGCTTTGCATCTCATAATGATCTAAATTTTAGGGCAAAACAACATAAAACTCACTTGTGATTTATGAAAATTGCCCGAAACCCCATTGAATATAATTTGATTCATCTTCAAATCCTAAACATTCAATTCACATATGTTCGAATCTTGTTCCTTTGTTTATGTTACCTCCAAATGTAGCTAAGAGACCTCCACTAAAATTGTTTAAACTCATAGAATTCAAACATTGCTATTTCATATGTATTTTCCGCTGTTAGTACTACAATAAGTGATGGAAACATGATTTTACGAAAGGCAGACAAATTTTCTTCCTGTCCAAGATTAAAGTCTGATTTCTGAACTCAATTATTCTATGAACCTAAAACACTAATCCCGGATACTTACTTGTTCTCAAACTAAGACTAATCTGAAATAACCTAAAAATACTATTCCCTGTAACATATATCTATGCTAATGTGGATGCCGAAGCTTGTCGCATTTTAATAAATTAGCACAGTTATTTGTTCTCAACCTAAGACTAATCTGAAATAACCTAACATGACTTTGCCTTAATTCTATGATCTGTAACAGATATCTATGTTAATGTGGATGCCGAAGCTTGTCACATTTGCTTTCATCATTAAATCCCTCAATAAATTAGCACACTCGTGATTGAACAGGTTACAGGTGAAAAGAACCATGCTGCACCAGATCCATCGCCAAAGCCCGTGACAGTTGATGATAGCAAGCAAGATTAAAGCAATGCCTCAACTTCTCTGTGAAACTACCGTAAGTCCATTATGTGAGAACTAAATTTGGTAGATCTTAACAAGATATTCTGCTGGTATGGATCATTCCCGGATTGCTTTTATAATGAGTTTGCTGTCACTTATTTTACTAGAAGTGCACCTATTTGTTCAAGTAAGCTATATTGAGTGTGTAGTTCTGTGCAGTTTCACAGTCTCAATGGTTTTTCTGATATGTAAAACCCCTTTGTTCGTAAACCAAAATAGGCCTTGTTCCTCGCTCGTATTTTGTTGTTTGGGAAATGATCAGTGTCTTCTTGAAGCATGAGTATTAAGTTACCATTTTAGTTTTGCCTTAAGCTTACATTTTTTGATATTGAAAGCATATCTAAACATCTGTGGAATTGTGGATAGGATATCAGATGAGATGATCTATTGCATATGTAGCATATAGGGATGTGATAGTTTGGGATTCCTTTAGATAGAAGGTCAAGGTTTCATAGATTTGTAGTTTCGAAAAATTTTGAAAATAATTAAAAAAATTGGGTATTGAATGTAATGTTTTTTCTAGAGGAAAATATGTATATTATGGAAATGTGAAGTTCAAAGAATAAAAAATAAACACACTCGGAAGTACTCAATCCGAAAGCCCAATCATAATTGAGTAGCTGGTTTTTGAAATTATAGTTCAAAAATGTAAATGTTATTGGGTCGTACAAGTTTGTGTATAAAATGCTTTGGGCCTTAATATGGGTGTTTATAGTCTGATCTTTGTCCAAAAATTCATTATATTCTATGGGCTGTTGTTGGTGTGTTTACTTGTAGTGTTGTTATTATTATTATTTATTATTTATTATTTATTTTTTTGTGGTTTAGTTTCAATTTCTAACATATTCAAATGAATTAATTATCAATTTTGATTCAAACCGACTGTTCAACTTTTTTTTAGTAAATTTTTTTAGAAGATTGTAAAAGCGGTCAATTCACTTCCACCTCCTTATTTTGTCTTCTTCAATTCTCTTTGATACGGGGGAAGATAAAAAAAGATCGAAGTAAAAAAATATGGTGCAAGGAGACAGAGATATATATATATATATTTAAAATTTTTATATATAAATATTAATTCAAATAATAAAATTGAGAGTAGAATAGGTAATAAACTTCTAGGGCCAAATATAATTAATTATTTATTTATTTTTAAAAAAATTTGATGTAAATATATGGAGTATTTATCTTTCCTTTAATTTAATGTCAAACAAATATTTTTAGTATATATATATATATAGTTAAAAAATACTATATATATTGCATACTACGGTATATGCATTTCTACGTATAACCGTTTACCTTTACCTTCCACATTCATACGTCTGCATCGCTTCTCCTTCGTCTGGTCGCCGGAATATTCTGCTTTCCGGCGATCATCGTTTCCCATTTTCTTCCTACGTCTGATTTCCTGCAGTAATTTCATCATCCGCTCCGATTATTATACTTTGTGAGGCTTTTTTTTTGGCTTCTCCGCCGGATCGTATGATGTGATTACACATATTGTATGATATTCACGTTTGAGGCAAGATGTTCTACAAGATAATGAAGAGGAGCGGTCGGAAGATCGCTAAACCTGATGTTGATTTTGGCATCAAGCGCTCGGGGCGGAGCTCCTGCTTCGTCCCTGCCGCGGACGATATCGCAGTCAATCACGCCTCTCGTATCGCGACGTCCAAAGGTCTGCATCGAAGGCAGCCGGAAGCTTCTCCAATGGCGGAACCACCGACGCCTATCGAAGACCTACCGTTGATTCGAGACGCCTCAGGTACGGAGCGCCAGAATTTAATTCTCCGGAAGCTAAAGATCTGTTGCGCACAATTTGATTTCTCAGATTTCGCGAAAACGGCGAAGGAAAAGGAGATTAAGCGTCATACCTTGGTCGATCTCATCGATTACATTCAGTCCGATTCCGGTAAAATTTCGGAGGCGAATCAACAGGAATTGGTGAAAATGATTTCTCTGAACATTTTCCGGTGCTTACCCCCTGGATTTCACGAAAACAACTGCCCGGAATATCTAGACCTAGAGGAAGAAGATCCTTATTTCGAGCCTTTGTGGCCGCATCTACAGCTTATCTACGAACTTCTCTTCCGTTACGTCGTCTCCCCCAACACAGATCCAAAGGTAGCTCGACATTACATTGACAGTTCCTTCATTTCAAAGCTGCTTGAATTGTTCGAATCTGATGATCCAAGGGAGAGAGAGTATTTGAAGACGATTCTTCACAGGATATACGGCAAATTCATGGCGCATAGGCCTTTTATCAGGAAGGCTATAAACAACATCATCTACAAATTCATATACGAAACAAGGAGGCATAGCGGAATGGCAGAGCTATTGGAGATATTAGGTAGCATTGTTAATGGCTTCGCATTGCCGATGAAGGAGGAGCATCGACTGTTCCTCGTCCGCGCATTGATACCTCTGCACAAACCGAAGTCGGCAGTGATGTATCATCCACAGTTGTCTTATTGTGTTAGGCAGTTTGTCGAAAAGGATTATAGATTAGCAGAAACTGTGATCATGGGGCTGTTGAAGCAATGGCCAGTGACGAATTCGCAGAAGGAAGTTCTGTTCCTCGGCGAGCTTGAGGAGGTGTTGGAAGGGACACAGGATGTCGAATTTCGCGCTTGCGCCGTTCCTCTTTTCAGACGGATTGCTCGGTGCCTCGACAGCCACCATTTTCAGGTTCGATAAAATCTATCTATATATATATATCTTTGAATGTTGATTGCTTGATAAGTTTGCTTGGTTCTTGAATGACTTCTTGGCTAGCTCTAAATAGTTCTTGAGTTTTTTAGCTTTCTTGATGCACCATAGATTATAAATTTTGTGTGAGAATTACTTGGATTCTCTATATGTGTTAGTTGATTTGTTGATGGTATGATTCTTGATAGCATATATACCTATGAGAATGGTTATGGTGCTTTGATCAGTGTAGGAATGACCGATTATATTTCATGTACGCTTTAGCCAAAACTATGTTATTATTATTATTTTTGTATGTTTGTCATACTTATATCTTATTTTTTGTACAGCACATAACTTTATCCATTTACAATTTTATCACTCATATATAATAATTAATTTGTTACTATTTTTTTTTAATATTTATTACACTATATTTTTATCAACTTCTATATAAATTTTCATAATATCCGACTTTACATTTTACCTACTCCGCTTTAATGTTAGAATATCAGTGTTTCTTAGTCTTTATGTCCAATCAAAGTTATATAATTTTTTCGGATGAAGAAGACCAATATGTATTGTTAGTTCATGTGCTATATTTATATTATATTAACGCATATCTTATATTGTCGATTTATAAATCATGCGTCGTCAATTTGTATTTCATATATTGTTAGCATTGAGTTGATTAATTAGAGTCAATATAGTTACTACAACCACATATAATCCCTATGGTGGTTAATATTATTGTTTTGTTATCTTATCCATAGTCAACTTCTATACCTTATAATTAGATATTTCAAGCTCACTTGTTGAATATACGCAACAAATGCCAGATTTATTATTGATAAAAAAAATAATTTAATATTATACTAATTTGAAATGATGCACATATCTATTTGAATATTAATGTTGAAGTGTTTCCGAAAATTCAGGTTGTTGAAAGAGCGCTTTTTATATGGAATAGTGACCGCATCGCAAACCTAATTCTCCAAAATCGAACTATAATTCTTCCAATCATCTTCGACTCCTTGGAAAGGAACACCGAGTCCCATTGGAACCAGGCCATACACGGCCTATCCGCCAATGTTCAAAATTTATTTATGGAACATGATCCCGACTTGTACCAAAAATGCCGAGTGCAGCACACCACAAATGAAAAACGAGAGTTACAATGGCGAAGATTAGCATCATTTGAAGCTTGAGGAGGATAAAGAGCTTCGCATGCACATCTCGTTTATATATTTTTTCTTACAGCCAAACGCACTGCGAATGGAAAATCAATGGTATATAGTTTTCATTTTATATTTGTCTTCATGTGAATGTCGAAATAATCTACCTTTTATGATTATTTTTTTATATATATATACATAGTTTTAGTTACTATTGACAATACATAATATTATATAATTTAGAAATTAGGTGATGTGATAGAGAGAGAAATGTATATTTTATTTTATTTTATTTTATTTGGGTGATGGGATGTAATAACGTGTGGGGTAGAGATTAAGTATAATTAATTATTTTCTATTTAGATTAAGTATAATTAATTATTTTCTATTTTGAAAATGTAAATGTGTAACTCAAGATGCAAGCAATAATAGACATTAACTCACAACATATTATAATTATTTACTCATTATATTTATATGATTTAGACTAATACAATATATGTTGTGTTAATCAAAAATAGTAATTTATTTTTTAACTTGCCCAGTCAACACATTAAATTTTCATTAATATAGATATATATGAAATTTTAATTATAATAACAAATACATAAAACCACATGAAATTTCTCAAATAATCGAAGTTAGAGATTATTGTTCTTTGATTCACAAAAATGCTGAAATTAATGGGCCAGACCCAACAAGCACAATCCAGCCCATTGGAGCAAACTACAATTTTCTATGCGGTAATTCCAAATGCAAATCCAAAATAAAAATAATTTCTTTTATTATATATATATATAAACATTGTACGATATTGTAAGTTGTAAAAGTATTTATTATATTAGATAGATAATATCGTTACTCAATTAGAAAATAATATCATTATTTTGGATTTAGAGAGAGAGGCATAGACAGTATTAAATATTATTTTTTCAAACAATATTACTAAATTAGGAGTATTATTTTTTAATCTTTCACGTTGGATTAAACAAACACGTTCTTACGGAACAGTAAGAGTAATTAAAAACGGAAGGGAACATTCAAATTAAATTCAAAGAAACATTTCCTATTAAAAGATGAAGAAAAGTATAACTTTCCCAAGCATGCCACGTATGCCTGCTTGCGTGCTCTTATTTTCTTCCAGTCTTGAATTACACATAATAATAATAATAATAATAATAATAATAATAATAATTATAATAATGCCACTTAATTAATTACTTAGGGTTGCTACTGTGCTTTAGAATATTTGTACACAATTAAGCAGCCACTTGAATTTAATTTAATTTTATTTCTAGACAGAGAGGAAAGAACAAAACTTTAAATGCCTTGCGTACGTACGACAGCTGTGTATACTCAACAGACAAGCTAAGATACGTATATTTATACGTACTTAGTTGCATTAATTATACGTATAATCCTACAATACGCCAAGAATATCTCTACTGTCATGACATCACTCTATTATAGTACCATATGATTACTTACACATATAATTATACAGATGGTTTGTTTAATTATTTGTATTTTTTAAATTGTTCAATCGTAAATTTTATTTTATTTTTTCTTATAAGTGTAATTAAGTTAATAACTTTACACTTCAAGAAAACAGCATCAAAACTAAATGATACAAAAATATTGAAACTAAAGGAGTATAATAGCACACAAATATTATATATATTATACACGTCTAATTAATTTAAATAGAATTGTAATGATTAAATATTTCATTCAAAAATATTTATTTTATTATTTTGAGACATACAAAATGCAAAATATTAATTTCTCTCAAATTAATAAGTATGAGTTCTACAACATTACAAATGGTGTTAAACTTATTATTTATATTAATATTATTATATTAAATTAAATATAAAATAAATAGTCTTTGTATATAAAGATATTGCTAACTACCATTAAAATATACTTTTGTGTTAAGATAACTGTAGATAAAAAAAAAATTTAAAATATTATAATTAGTAAAATAATTAAAAAATACTCCTATTAGTACAATTAATTACCGGATTGGATCCACTGTCCCAAAAATAAACCATATCCTCTATCCCCATGGGATAGGGTTTATTTTTTGGACAGAGGGTCCAATGAGAATTAATTATAGTATAATACAAATAATTATATATCAAAATTAAGATAATTGAATAATTTAATTATCATTCAAAAAATATTAAATATAAAAATTTAAAATGTAATTACAGTGTATAATCATTTTCTTAAAAAAAAAACTATACGAAACACACTGAAAATAAAAATAGTAAACATTTTATATAGAATAGAAAGAGTATTATTTATTAAACTCTAATAAGAAATAACCGAATAGGACAGAGAGAGTAATATAATACTACATTCTTCCCTTTTTGTTTGCTTGGTTTCAATATCACAAAAACACCATAATGTTGTAGGAAAAATTGCCACCAAATGTACAATTTCAATAAATTGTTGCAAAATTGTCACATGAATTGTTAATTTTTTGTTTTAAATACTAACTGTCATAGCTCTTTGCAATAAGTTAAGAAAAAAAACAAAAAATTATTTGTTGTGGTTACCCGCAACATTTGGGTGTGTTTACTTGTCAGGTTTTATGCCTGATTTTATTATTCCAATTATTTTTTCTTTCAAAAACATCAAATCAAACACCTAATTTTTATTTATTTTATTACACTAATATCTAATTTTACATTCAAAATATCACATCAAACAACTATTTCAATTCGAAATTTTACTATTTAAAATCAAAACCCAAAACTAAAACCTCACAAGTAATATTATCAAGAATTGTACTTCCTCTGTCCCAAACACCCTGCAACATTTTCAAAATAGAAAATAATTAAATATATTTAATCTCTACCCCACACTTTATCCACTCACATCGTACAAATAAAAAAAATAAAATATATATTTCTCTCTCTATCACATCACCTAATTTTTAAATAATCCTACTTAATACTATCCACCTAAAAACTCGTGTCAAAAGCAAATGTTACACCTTGTTTGAGACGGAAGGAGTATATTAGTAAAAAAAATTTAAAATGTCTTGAATGTGCTAACCTAAAAATAATGTAAATAATATATATATATATATATAAATAATACCTTTAATTAAGACAAAAAGAATATTTAGAACGCGTCCTTGCAATGACGGAATCGACGCAATGTTTATGTGATCAATTTCTAAAAATGTTCACGAAATATATGTATATATATATATACATTAATTGTTAATGCATGTATATATAGGTAGAACGTGAAATTATTCATTCATTCATGCATGCACACTAACACTTCTCTAATCATTGCCGTAGTGTTCATTATTTAATTATTTATATGACTTTTAATTGCAATATTTTATTTTATTATTTTTATAATGTATGTATGTAGTGCAGCTGGCCGCGGGTGGCGGCGGAATTGGCGGCCCGCAATTGATTGAGTGGAATGTAAGAGGACGGTGGACACGTGGTCTATTTTCGTAGTGACACGTGGACTCCGCCGGTGTTTTGGTATATTAGTGGCTTTCATTACATGCAATTAATGCTAATTAACCTAAGCCTTGATAGCATTAATTAAACAGACAAGCCTTTAAAGTGATCTTTTTGTTTGAAAACATTGAAGATAGTCAAGAATGCTAATTAACCTAAGTTTTCATTGTTCAGTAGTTACCACTCCCTACAGCAATATATTTCTTTACTAAGCCTAAACTAATTAAATTTATGCACATTATTATTTTAATTTTAATAAATAACAATAAAAAAAAATTACTTCTTTTTTCTAATTACCCACCATTTTCTTTATCAACTCAATGATTCATTAATAATAATTTTTTTTTTTTATAATCTCATTTTAATATAATATTATTATTATTTTTGTTTTAGTCCAATTAAAGTTACATAGTTTTCGTGGACGGATGCAATATTATTTTTTTTTCCACAAAATATCATACTACCTCCGTCTCATAAGAAGATTGCCGTTTGTTTTTTTTTTTTACTCTACAAATATCATTATATTTGTATTATAAAAGATTAATAAATATAGTTTTTTTTTATCTTATTTATGCACGTATTGATATAATAATTAATATTTAAATATCTATGGGCAAAAAACTTAACATAATGTTTTTTTTGGACACGGGGGATATTATTAAACTGTTTTTTCTTATAAAATATACCAACTAACATACTTACAAAACTTGTTTGATTTGGGTTTGGGTTTGTGTATACATATTGTTTGATATGATATTTTTATCAATAATGAATAAAAGTTTGTGTTGAAAATAGTAAACTCAAAAATATCACTTTTATATTTTAGTATAAGTAATTATAGATTACCAAAATATATTTTTTTATAAATTACAAATATACTATTACACGTACAATTATTTTATACAAAAAATCAAAGGGAAAAAATGTCAAAATTTCTTACACACTTCCACTAACCAATAAAATACTATAGTATTATTTTTAATTTACTACAATAAACAAACATATTCCTTCTGTCCCAGCTATTATGCCATAGTTTCCATAACCGTGAGAATTTATGAGAGGTATGATTAATAAATAATTAAGAATATATTAATAAAAATAATTATAAATTAATATTAATATAATTAATTGGTATGATTACAATTATAAAAATTATAAATTATAAAATTTATAATGTAATTATATTTATAAATTTTTTTTAGAAAAATGACAAGATATGTGAAATAGACGAAAATAGAAAAAGTATGACATGATATGTGATATGAATGAGAAAGTATTATTTAATAAAAACTTTATTTATGATAGTGGGGGAAGACAAACCCTACTTGACAAATAAATGTATACATATATGGGTTTAGGGTATTATTAATCATATTTAATCGAATTATTTGTTTAATAATACAATTTACTATTCCACCTAATTTAAGAGCCAATTAAAGAATTAAGAAGTAGTATTCAACAATTTACAATAATATATGTAATTAATTACCATAATATATTATTTTTTTCAATTGTCATTTAATTAATTACATTATTATTATATATATATACATATTACAGACTTTTTTTTTAAAAAAAAAAAAACTTGTATTCCCAAGGTACTTATTTACTTTTAATGAAGAATTTAATTGATTAAATTATATATTTAATAGTAACTAATGAAATAATACAATATTTTCTTAACAATATTTGACAGATACTTTTTATACGTAAAAAGTATTTTTATAAATAAACTAATATGATGATATTGATATAAATAAATAAATAAATAAATTTTAAGGATATTTTACCATCTACAGTAAGATCGAATTTATTAAAAATAAAAATAATTATTTTGTATTAAGAAGACCAACCAAAATTGCAAAACATATACATCATGAATAGACAAGGACAGAATTAAATTAAAATTTAAAAATTAATTAATTAAATATTAACATATAATTCAATATATATAGTAATAAATTCTTGCCCGATTCAGAATAGCGGGGGAAAGGAAACCCTACACAAGGAATAATACATATATATATATATATTTGTATTGATCGATCTTGTCATTGTAAAGTCATGTGTTTGCTTCTAAGCCATGCATTAAATTTAATCCACTATACAATAATATATATTTAAAATAATAATAATAAGTAAATAAATGCCAGCCATGCACAGCCACGTATGTATTTTTATTGTATTTATTAATGTACATGTATTTTGTGATGTATGAGTGTCGTATGTATACGTATAATCAAATTATTATTATTATTATATAATTGTTTTTGTATAATTAAATTAAATTTGTGCTTAAGGGTAGGCCGATAGTGCAAGAAAAGAAGGTCGATCAGTATACACTTTCCCAGGGGGACTTTCAGATTGCCTTTTCCACACTCCATCTTCTCAATTTCTATATATACACATCACATACTGTATCTCTATCTCTATCTGTATCTAATAATTATATATATATATATGTATATTATTAATAATAATAATAATTCCATAAATTAGACATAATTAAATTTATTTATTGTCATGGATGATCGAGAAGAACAGCTACTTGCTATGGTGAATAAGGGCAAGCGGAGCAAGAGGCCGAGGCCGGAATCGCCGCCGGCGGTGTCGAGTTCGTCGACGGCGGCTGATCAAGGTGGGGGTCGAAACGACGTCGTTTTGAGCTCAATTGATCAGTTTTACGGAGAGGATGAAGATATGGCTAATTGCTTGATTCTTTTAGCGAAAGGGGCGCAAGGAGAGAAATCTCCGGCGGCGGCGGTGGCGGAGGTGGCGGCGGCGGGCGGCGGCGGAGCTTATCAGTGCAAGACGTGTAACAAAAGCTTCCCGTCGTTTCAGGCGCTCGGCGGCCACCGCGCCAGCCATACGAAGCCGGTGAAGGAGGAGAAGAAGACGGTAACGGTAACGGAAAAGCACAAACGGCTACTTCAGAGTTATGGTGAAAGTACAATTCTGTCCCTCCAAATCCCCGCCGTCAATTTACCGGGCAAGGCGGCGGGCAGGGTTCACGAATGTTCTATATGCGGCGCGGAATTCGCCTCCGGGCAGGCGTTAGGCGGCCACATGCGGCGGCACAGGCCGATTCCGGCGGCGGACGCGAAGCGTCCGAGGAATCTTCCGCCGTTAGATCTGAATCTTCCGGCGCCGCCGGAAGATCACGGCGAGAAAACGGAATCTGCATTTCCGTTCGCCGCAAAACAGCAAGTCATCGTCTTCTCCGCCGCGTCTCCGATGGTGGACTGCCACTATTAATTAATTAGATTCGTGCCCAGATTCTTTTGTAATTAATACGATGAAACGACGTCGTCTCGTCGTCCAATTAATTAATTATTTATTTAAATTTGTGTAGCTACTGCTACTATTATACGATGGATTGATTTATGAGCGTTGGATTCTTTTCATTGTGGGTGTGCTTAATCAGTTATAATTAGTTGCCTAACTAATGTCGTCGATAACAATTAAGTATTTTGCTTTAGGGGTATTTTGGACATTATGCAAGTTTAATTCTTGCAAGTCACGATTAGTGGTGTCCAAACAAAATATTAAGTACGTGTCATTTCAGTAGCTTATGTATTAATGATAATTATAATATCCAATAATTATTTTCAGCCATATATATTTTTGTATTACATGCCCAACACTTGTGAACCAAATTCTTATTTAGGTATTAACAGCTACCTAGGCCATGCCTCTGTGTTTTCATATTTGTTCTCCTTTTAAAAATAAAAAGAAAAAAAAAAATTATTATTTATATTAAAAATTAAAAATTAAAACTCCAAAAAAATCCCATGTTTCAATGAAATATATGTGAATTAAGTGTAGCATTTTCTAACAAAAAAATATGTTACTGTTTTTGGTAATAATAATAAACAAAATGATTTTGTCTTTATTGTTGATTTCATTTTTGTAATATTTTAGAATTTAGGAAGTGTTTGAGGTTAATGAAATTATTTAGATCGATGTGTTTGATATACATATATATTTAACCCAATAATATGTATAAATAATTTTAGAATGAGCTATTTTTGAAATGTTTGTCGAGTATTGTTGTTTTGTGAAATGATCTGGAGGGATTTTATTTTATTTTATTGTTAAATACAAGAAAAAAATTAATATAAAATAATGAATTTTTGTAATAATTTTTTTTTTTTTTAAAAAAATATATGTACTTTTTCACAAAAAGAATACACCATTGTTCTTGGATGACATAAAAGGATTATTACAAAATCTGAATAGATAGTAATGACAAAGATTGAAATTTTCAGATTTAAATAAAAAAATGGGGCTACATATCACATTTGTAACTTATGAAAAGATTATTAATGCGTAGGTTGTGTTTGATTTAGATTATTATTATTATGTTTATTAAAAAATTTACACAAAATTTTAAATAAAAATATTTTTTTATTTTATTTTTATCAAATATCAAATCCAACAAGTATTATACAAATTTAGTGCAATGTACCTAGATTACACAAACCCATTTAGACACAAAATGAACATGTAATATACACGTGTATTTACTTCTTAGGGTATGGCTATAATCTCTAATATTATTTTAATATGTTATATAATTACAAGATAAATTAATATAATATTTATTTTGTTAGATTAAGCATAGAATATTATCAGACTTTATTGCAAATTTTGCTTGGTAAATTAATCTCATTCATATATATGAGATTAATTATCCATAATAATTAGGGTATTATTATAACATACTTTAATCAATTCCAAATTTTAATACTCCCTCTTGTCCACTAAAACTAGTTCATTTGAGTTTGTAGGTTAAAAAAAATTGAATATTTTATTAAAAAAGTAATAAGTAACAAAGATATTTTTGAAAATTTAGTTAAAAATTAAACTAAATAAAGAGAGTAATAAAGTCAGTAATATTTGTTATAAATAAACGATGAATAAATAGTAATAATTTTAATATTAATTTGTTGACTATGTAAAAATTAGTAATTTGATAAATTTGAGGAACAAATAAAAAAAAAATAATGAAGAAAATATATCCAAGTAAAAAAACTCTATTGCAATATTCAATTCTAGAATAGGCCCAATTTTAGTGGGCTAAACGAGCCGGCCCATATAGGTCTGGTTCAACAGCTCATTGTTATTAATATTAATTATATTGAGTAATTAGACTGGTTTGATGGCTGCCGGTTTGAAACCTTTGAACCGGCGGTTTCGAAACCGGTTTGGCATTTCTAAATTTAATCAGACTATAAATTTGAGAAGTCGCTGAATGACGGAAACCCTGGACCGGAGAGAGAGAGAGGGGAAAATCTGCTGCCGCTTCGGAGTTTCAAGCGGGAGAGACGAATCGGTTCTGATATGGCGGTTCCCGACGGTCGGCGCGACGGCGGCGAGGATGAGGCCGCCGCTCTGTTCGACGAAGGAGGTGTGGAGATGGCTGATGAGGATGATATCGATCACTCCGACATCCCGCTCCATCTCCGTCCGCTTGTCTCCGCCGCCGAGTCTGGAGACCTCGCTGCTCTCCGCCTAGCCCTTGGTAACTGCTGCTTTTTGCTCTCTCTCTCCACAGTTATGTTTATAGTCCTTGTTTTGGATTTTTCCGCGGTGTTATTAGTGTTTAATCCTGTATTTGGTTTGTTAATTCATGCTTTCAATCGAGGAACTGGTTGGTTGCCTGAAGCCGTTGTAGAAAATTAGGTTGAATTAGTAAATAAAATGTATGTTCGTAACGATTCTTTAATTGCTGATTTGTGCTTGTTTTAAGTACTAAGTTAGAATTGTCCGTTGTTTAGATTTTTCTACTGTGTTACTAATGTTTGATCCTGTATTGTATTCGGTTTGCTAATTCACGCTTTCAATCGAGGAACCGTTTGGCAATTTTTATTGATGAATAATGAGCTTGATTGTTGAGGTTCTGTTATGCTTTGAGATCAAAGCTCTTCTATATGGGGATGCTATATAGGTTTTCTTTCAGTTTTAACTTTTTGAGTCTTGCAGATTAATCAAAAATTGGAATTATGCATTTGAAGCTATATTGCCGTATACAGCTTATCTCTATTTCAGAATTGTTGATGTGTTTATGTTAACCTAAGTTCACAGATTGATTTTCATTTAGTTTGTCAAATGTGGACCAGTTGTTTTTCAATTGTGGCGCAATTCCTTTCGGATGATATTATCATGCTTTTTGTTGATCTCATCATCATGTTCAATTGATTTCCTATATCGACAGAGGGTGACCTAGTGAAGTGTTAATATATATATTTGGTTATCCAAGATTTAGTGCACTGTTTGTTTTTAACCATGTCACGAGCAGTCATTACTTTTTCTATAGCTGCGCGACTCATTTGGGTGTCTTCAAATACTGATGGTGAACTGCAGAGTTGTGCCTGTGATGCTGTATACTAATATGCTCGAAACCTTACTCAAATGCAGAAAATTTTGACGGAAACATTGATGACCCAATGGAAGATGGCGACACTCTTCTCCATCTCGCATGTCTCTACGGCCATTTGGATTGCGTCCAGGTCAATCTCTATCCTAAACCCCATTCACCTTTTACGCCAATTGCTACATCTAGAAAATATTGTTCATGTAATATATAATTCACTGCAGTTTTTGTTGGAAAAAGGAGCCAACGTCGAGACCAAGGATGAAGATGGTGCAATTCCCTTGCACGATGCCTGTGCTGGAGGTTTTTTATTTTCATCCGCGCATCGCCATTAATTTCTTTTGAGCTTTTACTCATTTACTCTTCTGTTTTTTCAAAAAATCACTTACCAGGTTACACTGAGATAGCCCGTCTCATTATCGATCATGCTAATGACCCAGCGCAGGTAAAGAGAATGCTAGAGACTGTTGACATCGAAGGGGACACGGTGGGTGTCAATTTTTTATTTTTCTTAAACCTCTTCTTGTATTACTCGGAACTTTACCTAAACGTTCTAACACATACCTGGTGCACTGCAGCCTCTTCATCATGCCGCTAGAGGTGAATACGGTGATGTCATAAAATTGTTGCTTGCACTCGGGGCTTCTCCTACAAGCACAAATTCCTACGGAAAGGTATTCCGTTGAAAAGGTCCTCGAGTTTCTATTTCGGGTGTGTTTGTTTGGGGGATTTTCTTCAAAAATTACTATTCATAAAAAAAAATTTCCCAAAAAATATCAAATCAAACACCTATTTTTATTTTATTTTTATATTATACTAAAAAATAATTTTACATTCAAAACATCACATCAACACCTATTTATATCACAATCGTACAATTATTCCAATTCAAAATTTTTACTATTCAAATTCTAACTCAAAATCCAAACCTCCAAACAAACACACCCTAACATTAACCCGTGTATTTACCTACATCACTTGCATTGCAGATTCCATTCGAGCTTGCTGATCCCGGCACTGAAGCTACAGAAATACTGCAAGAAGCTTTAGACTCTGTGCAAGCCAATCAATCCGTTGTCTGAATGTTTCGGTTGAAGCCATTTTCGGCTTGCCATTCGTCTACAGGTACTCAAAACTTTTTTGTGAATGAATCTTGTTGTCAACTACATATGCTGAGATATAATTGTTGGTCTGAATTGGTGTTGCACTAGAGATACCGAATTATTGAATAACGGCTAGAATATATGTTCGGAATGGGGACTTTCTTCTATTCACACTGTCTTTTTGTCCGTAAATGTTTTGTCCGGGATTTCGTTCGTTCAGATAGAAGTTTTGAAATAGATATTTGATGCAACTTTATTTGAAAAGTCATATTGATTATCAATATCAAAACTTATAAAAAGCCTTTTTAGGGTATCGTAATTTATACTTATATATATATATATATATGAATTGCAAGCGCACATTTATATCAGAAAGATAAAAGGAAACAAAGGATAATTTGTTGAAATTCAATATGTCGTACGCCGATATCGAATTTTTGGTATGGTATCGATATGATAAAATACCTTTTGAAAATTTTGGTACAATATCCAGTGTGATGTTTGGTATACTTTTGATATACGGTACCGACCCTCCTTTTAGGTATATGTTGTGTTAAATAAAACCACATAATCATAATAATTTCGTACTTATAGGTCTATTGTATTAATACGCCCTAAATCAATGGTGTGTTGTATTATGTATCAAACTGTCTTATATTGTGATTTTATATGATATATTTGTATTATATTAATATAAATTTTTATCCCTTTGTTTTTTTACATGGAGATTTAAAAATATTAGTATTAACCTTATCTTATTAGAATTGGGTGTGGTATAAATATAGTGAAAAAGATTAAATTGTGATATAAAACTAATTTAATGTGATTTATGTTTTATCGATGAAATTGAGTTAAAGTTTTGTCTGTGCATGATGAGCCATGTGCCCTGTTATAATTCTTGTTGTACGGGCGCTGTTACTGAAAAAAATGCGGCGACCGTCGGCAGGCCCGGACTCCAAAAACCAGAATCGATCCAAACCATTCACATCAAGCGATGAACGGCGGGGATCCATTCAGGCTCCGCCGTCCCGGAACCTTCCGAGAATTCCTAGATTGAATAGAAAATCCTTGGAGGTCACGAATACAGAATACTACATTCATGGACAAGTGAAATCATGGTCCCATCCCATGACTCCTATTCTTTAACGACATAAAGACAACACTATCCTTCCAAAAACCCATCAAGAAAGGCTGAAAGACCCATTTAATCCCCATAGTCCATTCGAATTCTACTCGCCCAATCTTTTATCCTTCTCCTACAACATCGACAATGTCTCGACACGAACCCCACCCTCATCACTTCATCCTCTTCCCTTTCATGGCCCAAGGCCACATGATTCCGATGGTCGACATCGCCCGGCTCCTCGCCGGCCGGGGCATTTCCGTAACGATCCTAACGACGCCCCAAAACAGCTCCCGATTCAAGTCAGTCATCGACCGTGCAGCCGCCGCCGGCCTCGATATCCATTTCACCCATCTCAAATTCCCCTGCGCTGCGGCGGGGCTCCCCGACGGCTGCGACAATTTTGACATGCTCCCTTCGATGGACGACGCGGCGAAATTTTGCGTCGCTATTGCCCTGCTGCAGGACCAGGTCGAGGAAGTGCTCCGGAGGGCTGAGCTGCCGCCGACCTGCTTGATCTCCGACGGCTGCTTTCCTTGGACTACTAATGTCGCTCGGAAGTTCGATATTCCGAGGATCATTTTTCACGGGACGAACTGTTTTTCGCAGGCGTGCTATGCTGTGCTCGCCGACTGTAATTTGTTCAAATCGAATTCGGATTCGGAGTATGTTGTGATTCCGGGCCTGCCCGATCGAGTCGAGATAACGAAGGCTCAGTTCGAGGTTGCGATGTTCCGGACAAGCCGCGAATTGGTCGAATTTTGGGATCAGGTGAGGGACGCCGAAGACGGGGCGTTCGGAGTACTTGCAAATACTTTCGAAGAGTTGGAACCGAAATACATTGAAAAATACTCGACAACGAAAGGTAAGAAAGTTTGGTCGATCGGGCCGGTTTCGTCATGCATTCACGAGGAATTGGACATGGCGGAGAGAGGCGGCCTGGCTGCAATCGACGGCCACAGCTGTCTGAAATGGCTCGACGGGCACGAATTGGGGTCGGTAATCTACGCATGTCTTGGCAGCTTGTCGCGTGTGGCGACGGCGCAGCTCGTCGAGCTCGGGTTGGCTCTAGAAGGTTCCGGAAGGCCCTTCATTTGGGCTGTAAGAAGCCCGCCGGCCGGGTTCCGGACCTGGCTGGTCAAGGAAAAGTTCGAGGAAAGAGTTGGGGGCCGGGGGGTTTTGATCGTCGGATGGGCGCCGCAGGTCGTGATATTGTCGCACCGATCGGTCGGAGGGTTCTTGACACACTGCGGATGGAATTCGACGTTGGAAGGGATAGCTGCGGGGACGGCGATGGTGACGTGGCCAGTTCTTGGGGAGCAGTTTTTGAATGAGCGGTTCGTGGTGGATGTGGTTCGGACCGGGGTGAGGGTTGGGGTGGAGAAGCCGGTGGGGATGGGGCACGAGGAGGAGGTCGGGGTGCAGGTGGACATGCACGTGATCAAGGGGGCTATTGAGGATGTGATGGACGGTGGAGATTATGGGAAGGAGAGGCGGCGGCGGGCGGCGGAGCTGGCGGCAATGGCGAATGCCGCGGTGGCGAGTGGCGGCTCTTCTTGCCGGAATTTGACGCGGTTTGTACGAGATGTGTTGGGTTGTAAAGGTGATATGTATAATTGATTGGTCTTGAGATGGCCGGCGGCAACAGAGATCTTATCTCTCTGCAGCTGGTGTTACTGTTTTAATATTAATTTATAATTATTTTTATTAATAAAATTTTAAATTATTTATTAATTATAATTTATCTAAATGTTTGTATCTACTGTAATATTGACAATTTAACTGGAATGAAGTGAGCAATCATTTTATTTAAAGCATGAATTCTAGGGGAATTCGATGTGTTAGACTGCTATGAGTTATGACACTATATAATTTTCTCCAAGCTGCCGACAAAAGCTTGTATAGATGAAGAACATATGAAATATAAATCAACTGTACAAGATATATATCAGTACAGTAACCCTTTTTTGCATATAAAATATAGAAATAGCGTATATTTTTATTAATGCAATATATATTGTTTGTTTATAATTACAGTGTATGTTGTATAAAAGGTATGTCATATGTTAAGATTAACTGATGTTTGTATTATGTGAGACAATATCATACGTTATATTTTTATTATATTAATATAAATAATATATTATCAATGATAATATTGTGTGTTGTTTATTTACGTCACAATACAAAATTTTTCAATACTGTAGCCTCTGTTGTTCATACAGATGAAGTACATGAACTATATCTGGTAGATTGTTTCAATTCAATGCACGTAGGGAGTAAATTGAAACCATGTATTGTGTTTTTATTTTGATGTATTGATTAGGATTATTAGTACATCATCCTAATCATTCCAAATTGAACGTAAGAAATACGAATAAGGAATGGTTAAGATTACATTTGGACAAACCTAAACTATTCCATTTTAGATAGTGCCAAATTTATTAATTAATTATTAATTATTCTTGACACAGGCATATATATATATATATATATCGATACACATACACACATAAGTTGGCGTTACAGGCACAGAGAATACGTGAAATTATTGAAACTTAAATCCCAGAGACGGAAGAGTGAGAGACGACGATATTTGATTTGATCCCTTATTAATACATTAATTAATTAATTAATTATTATATATAAATGAAAATATAATGCCAAAGGATGCATAGAAGTTGCCCAACCTTACATATGATCATCATAATCACGAATCAACATCCATCACATGTGATCAGCTTTCGATTCTCGCTCATCTGGAGGCGGCGGCGCTGCTCCCGCCGCCGTGGCCCACCACCGCCTGCCCTGGCGGACCTCATTGTGATGAAGAATTGAATGAAGCTAAGGGTTATTATATATATATATATATGTTTGTATGTATGTATGATATGTTAGGGATATATAGTTGAGGGAGAGTGACATGAGTAGTAAGGAAAAGGTGATGGACGTTGGCATCTTCCAAAGTATATGCTGTTGCTGCTGCTGCAATTTATTGCATTTTCAGATTTTACCTAACTATTAATCACACCCAAAATGGATTTCATCATCACCATATTCATTTATTTAATAATTCTTTTCTTAATAACTTGAAACATGTACGGGTGTGATTTTATTTATTTATTTATATATATAGTTTTTTTTATTCTACTTTTTTTTTCATTTTTTTTAATTTTTATTTTTACCGAATTACTTTAAATATTATTTAAACAAGAATTTCAAATCTTCAAACTCAATGTAATTTAATAATAATAATAATAATAATAAATACACCCTGACAGTTTATAATATATAATTAATTAATGAAATGTAAATGAGTTGGTTTTCATCATATACAATACAGTAGTGACGAGATGTCAGCAAGCATTCTTGATTTCTTTCCGTCGTTACTGGTTTTTTTTAATGATATGGGAATGCAGAAGCACAATAATACCCTTGTCATATTATTTTTATTATTATCATTATAATTGTTATTATTTTATTTTATTTTTAATAATGTGCGCTTTGTTATTTGATGATATGAAAATTCACATTATAAAGCTTAGTATTTACTAGCATGCTATTGCTTGCTTACACCTTTCACTATTGTTTGCATCATGAATTAGAATTTTAAAATCAGTTAATAAATTTCAGCGGTAAATCACAATTTAACACATTTATGGACTGTGCTGTACAATTAGACAAGTACAAATTTCTTTTCGAGGTCAGTTAAATCATTTGATTTTTATCCGAGTGTTTTTTAAAAAAATAAAAAAAAAAAAGAAGAAAAAGAACTCTAATAAAATTAGATGGGAAAACAAGTGTAAACATATCAAGAGGGCAATGAGACAAGAAAGGCCACAAAAGGTGAGGCCCAATATTGAATACTTAACCCAACCAAAAGAAAAAGGCTATATATCATGAGGCTAAGCTAAGCAAAATAATACCAACCCATAAATAAATACTTCTTGAAATGAAATGGAAAGGCCCATATCATGATTTTAAATTCAAAATGAGAAATAGAACCACTAAACAAATGCAAAGATGAAGTAGATAAGTCAAGAAAGAAACTCCCCATATGATTTTCTTGAGATATGCAACAGCCATATAATAAAGTAGGAATTTGGGCCAGCCATTTTCATGTAATAAACTAGTAAAAGTTGCTGTTCTTTATGTAAAGAGAGAGCCCATGTGACTTAGTGGCCCCATAAAAACATACAAATTCCACAAAACCCGCACCTTTGTATTTCTTAATCACATTAATTTACACCTCTCTCTCTCTCTCTCTCTCTCTCTCTCTCTCAACAGCAATAACAATAACAATAATATTAATATTAATTCACCCCCCTAATTATTGCTCTTTTCCACAAGAGAGAAATTCATTTTATTTTTGTACAAACCAATGAGGTAAAAAAAAAAAAAAAAAGAACCCTTTAAGAACCCTCCTTATGCTTTATGGGTATTTTCTTTTTATGCCACACATTCCCCCAAACCAAATGCAATAATGTGATCTGTAATTTCTTTCTTTTTTTTTTTTTTTTTTTATATGGGAGCAATTACCCCAAAATTTAAATCATGATAAGAAAAGGCTAAAATTAGATAAATTGAGGTGGGGTAATGAAAATCAAGACCTGAAAGGTGCCCTTTGAGGAATACCCTTTCTTCTTCTTGCACTGGGTGGTGGGGGTGGTGTTGATGGGCTAATGTCTTGCTGTATTATACCTTCAAGAATCTCTTCCTCTCTCCTCGAAATTCCTTCATCCATGGAGGAATTTGCATCTCCATTCCTCTTGACTCCTACAAGCTATAACCATTTGTTAAAATAATTATTAAAAAAAAAAGAAAAGAAAAGAAAACAACCAATCAGCACATTATGTTTAATTGGGCAAAAGAAAATTATGGAGATGATAATGATGCATACAATACACAACAAATTTTAAAAAGATGATAATGATTGCCATTAGTTGGTTATGCTCATGAAAAGGATGGTGATTGAGAGAGAGAAAGAGAGGGTTTATCAGCTGTATCCATTTCTTGACATACAGGTCATTCATTCTTTATCAATGTGTAGTCACCACGAAACAAATTTCATCAACCTCATTCCCAAATTCCATCAAAATTAGAGATTACCTAAACGAAAAGTAAGCCCACTGTATGTTTAAACTATTCCCAAAGCAGTAATGTGGGTATGATTGATGCATTGCATTTTGTTTTTTCAGATTGAGCCATTTCAACCTTAGCATTTGGTTTGTTACAGCCTACAACAATGGCGGATTGACTAATTTCAAATTGTGTCAAAAATGCGTTGAATTAGCAGATTGTGAGGTTAATTGCTAACCTTTTACAGCCTACAACAATGGCGGATTGACTAATTTCAAAATTGTGTAAAAATACGTTGAATTAGCAGATTGTGAGATTGATTGCTAACCTTCTACAGTCTACAACAATGGCGGATTGACTAATTTCAAAATTGTGTCAAAGATGTGTTGAATTAGCAGATTGTGAGATGAATTGCTAACCTTGCATCCCAATGAGCAGAAACGAAATGAATCCAAGAGGCTTCTGCCACAAATCTCGCAGGCACGAGATGCAGTTTTCCCTCCCTTTGGCTGAGGCCTTTCGTTGAGGAACAACACTCTTGCGCTGTTTATCACGTACGTCTGCACGCCGCTGATGTCTAGAACCTTCTGGATCTCCGATACTCTCACCACATCGTGATACGAAGATCGCCGTATCTAACCAAAAATAAAATTTAAAAAAAAAAATGAAGAATTTATCGATTCAAATCGGTGAATTCAAGAAAAATGCTTTCCGCAATCGCAATGCAGGGCGGAATCCACAAGAAACCCCAAATTTGTCGTAACGCTACGCCAGTGCGAAGTTTCAGCTACAATGTTGATTGACCAGCAATACATTGCATTCATTCATCGACGGCTACTGATGATACTAATCGATTGCGGCAATTCTACGCGTCGCGAGATTTCATCAATTCATTCAGACTAACAAAAATCTCAAAATCACAGAATTGATCAATTTCAACCGACCTGAATCACTTGATGATCCTTGTGCTGCGAGGCGCGGCAATAGAAGCAGAAGGCGTCGCCATTGCAATCCAAGCAGTACATATTGCACTCACTCCTCGCAGCGTCTCCGTGCGTCCTGCAGACGGTAAAAAAGGCGGTGTTCAGCAGCCTCTCCAGCCATGGCGGCACCAGCATTGTCTCCTCCTGATCAAAATCCCCAAACCAAACCAAACTAACACCATCATTCACCATCCAATCAGAACCAACAACTGCACACAAAAAAACAATCCAAACAAAACAAGTCCAGAATCCAAATAGTCACATTACCATCCTCAAATTGAGATTCCTCCAATGGTGATGGAACCGTGGGGAGAGAGAGAGAGAGAGAGAGAGCGACTGAGAGATAGGCAGAGAGAGAGAGAAAGAGAGAGAGAGAGGCCTAACCTAAACAACCAAACAACTTTGAATTCCACAAGAAAACTACACCTAGGCTAAGAGGTGGGGGCGCAGGGTCTACATCAACCCCAACCAACGGCCACGATCAAATGAGGTGGCTGAGGATGAATCTCGACCGTCAGATGAGGATGGGGATGGGAAGGGTTTGGCGCTTACGCTATAGGATTTTGGATCTTAGTTTGCGCCTGTACGTAACGCATTAAGGGGTCGGCCACTATACTACGCCATACGGCGTCGTTTTCGTCGCCGTAGGTGCTTTTCTTACGTGGGACGCCCCCTCTTAGTGGGCCCCACAGCATGGAGGGCGGATTACGTAAATATATGTCAACCCAGCAAAATTCTTTTTTGATTTATTGAATGACTGAAATACCCCTCTTTTTGCGCCGGGACATGCGCGGGTGGTCCGGGGTATGTGTGGAATTTAATTGGTTTAATTAATCGCCTATATGTTTTGGAGTGGGAACATAGGGCGTATTAAATAAGGGCATAATAAATTAAATTAATTACCTCCGTTGAATTTAAAATTTCCGGGAAATTGAATTATGACAGAGTAACCTATGGGGATTTAACATTCATGGAAGTGTTCATAAAAATGAATGTGAATCATTTCTCTCCAACTTAATTTAAAACCCGTGAATTGATTATTATTTTTATAGTTAACGAGAAAAATATTAATTTATGAATTGAGGTATAGTACTTGATTTGAAAATTAATTAAAAATATGTATTCAAATATTTTAAAATTATATTCAAAATAAATATTAAAATTTTATGATAGGCTTTTGAAAAGCCAAAGAAACAGCCCCTAAATCTTTGTTAATAATAGATATGGTTGACCCTCCAAGTCACTCTACTGTAAGAAGGATTCTTAACCATTTCCAATCTTCTTATGTTTGAATCTTGTCCTCTTCAGGCAACACACATTCTCTACTACATACATATTTTAATTTTTACCCACAATATATAATGTGTTGTATCCTATGGCTTGTTTCTTTTCTAAAAAAATTTCCAACATATTTTTTCAAATTAATTAATATACTATATACATGTCATCATTTTTATATTATCTATACAATTTTCTATAACACACACAAAAAAAATAAATAAATAAATTCAAACCAAAACACAAAACAAACACTCTGTCTTTGTTAAAAATATAAAATAGTAATTATCGACCGCACACTCGATAAGTCTTCAAAGGCCAATGAAATAACATACAAGGCTACTGTATAGACGTAAAATAACGTGTAAATTACGCCAGTAAGATAAAATCACACTAGAAAAGATCTGTATGATAAACAAAACCAAAAAAACATAAGGGCATTTTGAATTCACAAGTAGAGTCTTGCGCCAACTCGGACACAACCCTTGTTACATGTGAAGGCGGATGTATTAATGAGGCAAGAAATTGAGGGCAAAGATGCCTTTTGCGTGGGTACTTCTTCACAATAAGGGATAAGTCTTTCCGTGATGAACGGAAACAAAAGCAATGCCAAAAGGGGAGTAGTTTGGTTACCTTACCTTCCAATATTTAAATAAAAACTACAAAAAAGCTTTTGCCAATTATACCAAATTCCAATGTTATTGGGGCTAAATAATTTGGCACAAGCCAATCTCTTTTATGGGCCCGAATATCCTAATTGACGCCCATTTACTATAGGGTCGAATCGAATCAAACCGAACCGACGAACTAATTTATAAATTTGTGTTCTATCTAATATATAGAAAAGAATGACAAGAAAAAGAACCTCTTGTTTATGTTTCCTTCTGAAGTTGAGCTTTGAGCCGATCAATCTCCTTCTCCCACTTGAATCCGAACATTTGGCGGCCGGAGGGGACGATGAGATTGTATCGGAATACCTGTAAAGGCAATGGACAGAATTAGAGCTATTGAATGAACCAAGTAGTCAAGTTCGACTAAAAAATAAATGAATTTGAGCTCAAAAATTATTATTTTTATAAACGAGCCGAATTCGAACTTGGCTCACTGGCACCTCGATTGACTCATTAGTAATGGTATATTTATATCATTTTATATATTAATATAATAAATAATTTTTTTTATATCAAAACTTAAATTTATTAATAAAATTTGAATATTTTATTATACTAAATTATGAACATAATTATATGTTTATATATATTATAAACATAAATTTTGAGCTTGAACTCGAGTTTGAGTCTAACGAGTCAGTCGAGCTCAAGCAACGGATATTGAGATTTGTGGGGGAAAAGAAAAATTGGAAGGTCAGGATACCTTGTTGTTTAGATCCCGGAGTTGGAGTTTTAATGCGTCCGAAAGCTTGAGCCATTTGGGGTCATCCTCGCACATGGATTTACAATCCATCCATGCTTTCGTGAGGTTTGATCGCCACGTAGAAATGTTGTTCCGTATCTCTTTGTTGAGTTCGACCCACTCTGGCGCGCACCCGTTCTTGTTGAGGATTCGATACAATGTGTCTTCCGCAGGGTCGGCATGAGGGTTACTGTTGAGGTCCAATGGCTTCCCTTTCCCGGGCAAGTTTTCGAATTGGCCTTCTTCCATTGCGTGCCATACTCGCTGCTCAACAACGTTTATAATGTCGGTTTCTGATCTGGAGAACGGCAAGAAAGATTAGATTCAATTCGAAATCCACCGAGCAGGAGTTATTATCAAGAACATATGATTTTAAGCAAGAACCATAGCATTATTAGGTACTATGCAAGCAACATAGAAAACTTAAGACAATGTGAACTAAAACATACAGAAGATGTTGCCGGCAGAGTGCCGAACAACACAACCCTTCTGAAAAGTAGCACTACCCTACTCCAACCTATTCACGATTTAGTCGACTTATTAAGCTAATAGGAACCGTAAGCCGGATTCGAGTTGTTAAGCCGAGACAGCCGGACAAAGATTAGGAAGTTCTCAAAATGAATTTGGTTCTCTCATTATCATTGAATAGTATGAACTCCTTCCATTAAGCATAAAGAAATAAAGGATTATCAATCAAACAGGCTAAAAATTTACACCAAATGCACACTCAACTCTTGTTTCAATTCAAACTATCAATGGAGATTAGAGTATAATCCTTTGTGATGTACCAAACGTTTTGAATCAAAAGAAGCCAGATAAACGTTTTGCACCAGTTCCATGGCTCCAAACTGCAATTTGAAAACGACTTCTCAACTAAGTTCAGCTCAATGAGATTTATTTCTTAGATAAAACAAGATAGAGATTGTCATAAAATTCAAACTCAATGCTAATCATACCAATGCAGTCCGTGTGAAAAATTGACTGATTTTGGGCAAAATTAGGCATTCGATCATACACGACAAACGAATCGCATCATCAAACCAGAAACAATTTTTAAACTTTTGCCTATATTACAAAATTTGAACTGTAAATTACCAGAACAATCCAAATTATAGAATTAAACATAAACAAGTTTCCCCATAGAAGAAAAATTGGAACTATGCAGGAGTCGTAAAGTATCACCTGACGTTGTTACGCTGTCCACGGAGCTCCGGCGGGAGTTTACGGTCGTTGACGGCGTCAACAACGGAGGCCAGACGATCTTCCTTCAATTTCTTATTAGAATTCTGAGAAGAAGTTGAATACGCAACCAAACCGCCATGTTCCCCGGCGATCACCGATCTCCGAATCAACGGCGCCGAAGAAGAAGAGAGAATTTTCCTCGCTGCGGAGACAACCGCCATGGCCGACAGCCCGAAATGGGACAAAATCGACGAAACGACGTCGTTTGCTGGGTGTGAGCCAACGACTATATAAATAGCTGACGTATCTACGTGGCCGATTTACAGGCACAGGTAATTCGAATTCAACGGCGAATTAAAATGCCAAAGCGAAATACCGATTTTGCCCCTCAGACAGGTCTTCCGACACTTGACTGCTTTTCGCTAATTTCCTGCGAATTAATTATAAATTAGATTCGAATCAGTTTATGAAGCTTTCAGCTTGAACTGCTCTGGAATTTGGAGCTACTTTTTCTGCAATTTGTAATGTGATCGGAAGCCTTTCTCCCAAATCTCTACCGGTTGCTGATTTTTGCATTTGCGGATTGCTTTCGTCAGTGTTGGTGGTTTCCTTTTTGAAATCGAAATTGGATGGAAGGAAAAAGGCGGTTAATATTTCACTTTTACATGGAGGTTTGATTGTATGTTTCCGGTGACTGTGCATTCGCTGCTGCTTGGTTCGGATTGAAGCCGCGCGTTGTTCGAGAGTGGTTTTATGGCTGGCGGTGGAGTTTTGGTGGCGGCGGCGGCCGCGGTTGTACTGGCGACAGTGGTTGTGGTGTCTGCATCGATTGTAGGCGGCAGAATTCAAGGAGTTCTGACGCTGGAGAGAGCCTTTCCGGTGGGGGAGAAGGTGGAGTTGGAAGTGATTAAGGCTCGAGACCGTGCTAGGCACGCTCGAATTTTGCAGAGTTTCGCCGGCGGCATAGTGGATTTTCCGGTTGGGGGTACATCTGATCCCTATTCTGTTGGGTAATTCCTTTCCATCAGTGAAAATTCAGACTATTCTTAATTTTTTTATATGTTTCTTCTGCAACTATTAGCTTTTGTTTTTGTGTTTTGTGCTGTTGATAGCTTACGGATGAATTTACGAGATCCTTTGCTTGTTTTTGCCTAATTGAATTTGTTAAGGGCTGCAAATAATGCGAAGTTTAATAAGCTATTGGTTGTACTTCGTAATTTGCTGCTTGAAAGCTCCAAAGATTTAATCCTGTAAGATACTAATTGCCAGATGTTAAAGTCTCGTTGAAACATCAGTTCTCCGGACTTTGATGCACTGAATACTTGATTCTTTTATTTCATTTAGATATTTTCCTCTATGAGGTTATTGGTTGAGCTGCAATGCTGAGTATCTGAAAGGCTGTGTTTCAAGGATGTCAAAATTTATGTGTTGGATTTGAAAATATTTTTAGTGAAAAATAGGAATTGGATACGATGCTAGGCATTCTAATGGAGGAAGATTTATTTTACAGAAGAATTTGTAATTTGGAAATATGGAACTTCTTTGACATAGGTTTTGGTAATGATACCCTCTCACTTCATATAGAAGCATTGGTTGTGATTTACTAAAGCAATACATAGAATGGTTCAATTCCAGACGATAATCCTTGGCGCTCGACTTGTAGGCTTTATTATACCAAGGTACGATTGGGATCTCCACCACAAGAGTTCAATGTGCAAATCGACACGGGGAGTGACATCTTGTGGGTTGCATGCAGTTCGTGCAACGATTGCCCACAAAATAGTGGATTAGGAGTACGTTCTTCCTCTTTATCCTTTCAATTTTCCGTGTTGGTTTGATCATCTGATTCTTAAATCTTAATTCAAGTTACTTCAAAGCTATATTGATCCCATTTATGTTTTCAGATGCCCCTAAACTTTTTCAATGTTGCTGCATCATCAACTGTTTCACCTATTTCATGCTCGGATAATATGTGCTCTTCCATAGTTCAAGTTTCATCTGCTGAATGCTCTACTGAGAGCAATCACTGTGGGTACTCATTCCAGTATGGAGATGGAAGCGGCACTTCGGGATTTTATGCATCTGATATGCTTTATTTTGATACGATTGCGGGTACTTCATTAATATCCAACTCTTCTGCTTCTGTTGTTTTTGGGTAAGTTATTCGTGCAGCTGCTATTTTTTGACATGATACCTAAATAGGATTCAAATTCAAATGCAAGAACATATCTTTACAGACTCTAAATTGAATTTGGCAACAGGTGCAGCACATCACTGTTTGGTGACTTGACCAAATCAGACCGCGCAGTGGATGGGATATTCGGATTTGGACAGCAGGGCCTCTCAGTGATATCACAATTGTCGTCGCATGGGATAACACCTAAAATATTTTCCCATTGCTTAAAAGGAGAGAGCGGTGGTGGAGGTGTACTTGTGCTTGGTGAGATATTGAGTCCAGGCATAGTTTATACTCCTCTTGTTCCTTCGCAGTACGTTCTTTTCGCAACATATTAAATGTCTTCTAATGTTTGCCTAAGTTGATTTTTTAGACTTCTAGGCTCTCTTTTGAGCATGTATAGGCCACATTATTTCCATTAGACCGCCTTAACTAAAGAAAACAATGAGAACTTACATACTATTGCTTTTGCTCCTATGAATTGGCATTGAGAAACCTGTAGATATGGAAGCATCAGGTATTGATTCAAGGTTGCCTTGTTTCTAATCTTTCAGGCCCCATTATAACTTATATCTGCAGAGCATTTCCGTCAATGGGCAGCTGTTACCTATTGATCAATCAGTATTTTCAACTTCAGGAAACCGAGGAACCATTGTTGATTCTGGAACCACTTTGGCATACCTTGTCGAAGAGGCTTATGATCCTTTTGTTGCTGCTGTAAGTATATCAACCAGTATCACACCTACAACCCCCCGGACCTTGTGAATTAACAGCATCTATTGTAATTCGTTTCCTGAGGCTTTACTTGCTCCGCAGATAACTGCTTCCGTTTCTTCATCGGCAAAACCGATCATGCATAAAGAGAGTCAATGCTATCTCCTCTCGAAAAGGTCTGTTACTCATATCATAATTTAATCATGTATGGATGAGCTATTCTGGACTAAAAACAATTTCTCAAAGGGGTGTGTTGTCTATAATAACCTAGATTACTTTCTGTTCTGTAAACAGCATAGGCGACGTATTTCCATCTGTTGCTTTCAATTTTGCTGGGAGCGCTTCCATGGTTTTAAAACCTGCTGACTACCTGGTGCACATGGGATATCTGGTGAGCCTCCACCTATCTAATGAATGATTTCTTTGGCATTCTACAAAACTACTCTGACAACTATGCTCCTTGATTTACAAAACTTTGAATTGGCTTTGGTTTTCTTAGGACGGCGATTCAATGTGGTGCATGGGTTTTATCCGAGTTGAGAACGAAGGTGCAACAATTTTGGGAGGTTAGTTTCCCTCTCCAAGATCCATCTCAGTTATTGATAGCATTGCTGCTGCATATCATTACATAAATTTTGAACGTGCAGATCTTGTTCTCAAAGATAAAATCTTCGTATACGATTTGGATCATCAACGATTAGGATGGGAAGACTACGACTGTAAGTTCATGTTCTTCGCCGCTCACTTCCTTTTCAATCTCACATCACAAAGCCTGATCCTTCTACACGACTATTTCCTCTTTCTTAGGCTCGATGCCGGTGAATGTATCAATAACTTCCGGTAAGGACGAGTATGTGAATGCTGGACAGCTGAGTGTGAGCTCAAGCTCATCCTTCACCAATCTCTCCAATGCAATGCCTCTTTTGCTGTTAGTATTGCCTTTGCTTTTGTAAGATTAAATTTTCCACAAATTCCCATTTATTCTTTCTGCCTTTTTACCTATTTCTATTATGCTTCTAAGTTCACATCTGTTTCTATAAGCAGCCCAGTCTAGAATGGCATGTTAACTTTCGGTTTATGTATCCTTAATGTAGAATATTTTGATCCACCTGTGTTATAACCCAATCATTATTTTATTATTATTATTTTTATTTTTATATTTATGAATAATTCTTGGCTTGTTGGTGGCACCCAAGTGGTGGCTCACAGTCACACATGGCAGACCAAAACCTAACACAGTAATGATGTATTTCCCACTCATTGCTGCCACAATCATCACTAGATGGGAACAAAAGCCCAACTTGGGAAACTACTTTTGGCATCAAATGCAGGGAGTTTTAGGAAATGAAGAAGATGTCAAGATCCTGCTGCTGCAAATTTGGTGTGTTTCTTGCAGCTTCCATGGTGTTAATGTCATCAGTAAAGGTTGATGGAGACCCTATAGTCCCTGCCCTTTGCATCTTTGGGGACTCGGTGGTTGATGTGGGCAACAATAACAAATTGTTGACCTTGATCAAAGCTGACTTCCCTCCTTATGGCAGAGACTTTGCTGCCCATAAACCTACCGGCAGGTTCTGCAATGGAAAGCTAGCTACTGACTTCATTGGTAAACATTATATAACTTCAATATTGGCCCAATATATATATATGTTTAGGTTCAAATAACATAGCATGTGAGTGATGTCTATTAATACCTATAATATGTAGCGTATGGATATATATCATGTTCGGAGATTAACTATACTCTCATTTGTCTTATTTATATTATATTAATAAAAATTATGTGTTGCCGAATTATAATTTACATGCTATATAGTGAGATAAGTCTTATTAATGTTTGTACACAGCTGAGTACCTGGGATTCAGTTCCTACCCACCAGCCTACCTCAGCAAAGAAGCCAAAGGAGTGGACTTGATCAATGGTGCAAATTTTGCCTCAGCTGGATCTGGTTATTACGACCAAACAGCACATCTTTATGCAAGTATTGCACACCAAATAACATGTTCAAGACATGAAAGAATGGTTAAAAACACTGACCTGAATTATAATTGCCTGTTAGCAGGGAGCTTTGTCACTGCCAAAACAGCTGGAATATTACAGGGACTGGCAAAGACAAGTTGTGGATTTTGTGGGACAGGACAAGGCTGACACCATAATCTCACAAGGGATCCATGTGGTCAGCACAGGGAGCAGTGATTACATCCAGAATTATTACATCAACCCTCTTGTCAGATCTCTGTCTCACGACCAATTCTCAGACATTCTGATCAAATCCTTCTCCTGCTTCATCCAGGTCAGAATTACCAAAGTTCCTAACTCATACTTAATTCTTTTTTTCCTTTTATGTTCTTTTCCATCTTGGATGTGTAATGCCGCAGCCAAGCATGGAACATTCTTGACAGAATCTCTACAACCTGGGAGCCCGAAGAGTCGGCGTCACGAGCCTCCCGCCCATTGGCTGCCTGCCTGCAGCCATTACAATATTCGGGCAGGGCAGCGACCATTGCGTCACACGCCTGAACCAAGATGCTGTGGCATTTAACGAGAAACTGCATGCTGCTTCCCGGCGAGTTAAAGCCGAGCTCCCGGGACTCAAACTGGTCATTTTCGACGTCTACAACCCTCTCCTCGACATGATATCAGACCCTGCTGACGATGGTAATATTCAAAACTATTATTAAATGACCATTTCACATCAAAACTTAAAGAAACTCAACTATTAAGGAAACAGATCATTAAGTGAATCCACATTGCACATAGAAAAACATGCTGAAAGCCTATATAATATTAATAAAGTTTTTTATCACTCCATAAATGAATTTAGTTACATATATAATTAATAGCAATGAGGGAGTATATAATTAATGATGTATGTTTGTAAATTTAAGCAATGTGAGCTAGATATTTACCAAAAACAAGCATGATTTATATATAAAAACACTAATGTGGTTCTAAGCTCATGAATCTTGAGGTATCTTCTTCCAGGATTTGCAGAATCAAGAAAAGCTTGTTGTGGGACGGGTTTGATCGAGACATCATTTCTGTGCAATAAGTTGTCATTGGGGACATGTCGGAATGCCACGGAGTATGTGTTCTGGGACGGCTTTCATCCCTCAGAAGCAGCTAACGAGGAACTGGCAAACAAACTGCTGGAACAAGGTTATCAGCTTATCTTTAACTAAATCAGGGCACAGTCTCCAATGCATTCCTGTAAGAGACGTATTTATATTGTAGTAGTGATAATATTCTTTGCAATGAAATATCGATTTGGTTTATGCAAAAGATGTCCCATTAGAATGACCTACCTTCCAGGCTAGAAGCTTCCATTTAGCTTTATCCGCAGACTCTGTAGGTGGCAAGCAGGGGAGCATGCGTGCTGCCACGTGGCGCTGTCTGGGAAGCCCACATGATTTTGTGTCTACAGGTGTCGCTGGCGAGGAGCTTTTGATCGGCTTATATAGCTAAATCCTTTCACCGGATATTCCCATTGATATGATCGTCTGGAAATTTGAGGATTGAGATTTGGGGTTTAGGAGGAAATTGTGCTTTGTGTTTGTGTTTTGGTTTGGTTTGTTTGCGGAGTGTGATTTTTTGATGGCGTCGATGCAGCCGGATAGACAGAAGAGGGCGGAGGCCGCCGCGAGAGCTGCGGCGGAGGAGCTCAGTCAGGTTAACCGGGAAAGGGAGGCGGCGGGGAAGTCCGGCGAGGGGAGGGAGGTGCGGAGTGAGGAGAAGTCTCCCGGCGTTATTGGTAGCTTGATGAGGACGGTTGGGCAGGCTAAAGATGCTGTAATGGGGAAGTCGGAAGGGTACGCCGGAAAAAGTGCAGAGACAGCGGAGGAAGCTGTGCAGAGAGCGGCGGCGGAGAGAGAAGCTGCCGCGAAGAAGATTTGGGCGGCGGAGGAGGGGAAACAGGGAAAGGACGCCGCCGTGAAGGGGAGAGAAACCGCCGAGTCTGCGGCGGAGAAGGCGAAACAGGCGGCGGACGCCGCCGCAGAGAAGGGGAGAGAAACCGTCGGTACTGCGGCTGAGAAGACGAAGCAGGCTAAGGACGCCGCCGCCGGGAAGGCAAGTGAGTACGGAGACTACGCCGCCGTTAAGGGGAGAGAAACCGCCGATACAGCGGCGGAGAAGGCGAAACAGGCTAAGGACGCCGCCGCCGTGAAGGGGAGAGAAACCGCCGAATCTGCGGCGGAGAAGACGAAGCAAGCTAAGGACGCCGCCGCGGGGAAGGCGAGCGAGTATGGAGATTACGCCGCCGTGAAGGGGAGAGAAACCGCCGAATCTGCGGCGGAGAAGGCGAAACAGGCTAAGGACGCCACCGCGGGGAAGGCGGTTGAGTACAAAGACTACGCCGCCGAGAAGGGGAGCGAAACCGCCGGCGCTGCGGCGGAGAAGACGAAGCAGGCGAAGGACACAGTCGTCGGAAAAGCTGCGGAGTACAAAGATTACGCCGCCGAGAAGGGGAGCGAAACCGTCGGTGCTGCGGCGGAGAAGGCGAAGCAGGCTAAGGACGCCGCCGTGGGGAAGGCAGGTGAGTACAAAGATTACGCCGCCGAGAAAAGCAGAGAAACCGCCGATGTGGCGGCGGAGAAGGCGAGACAAGCGAAAGACGCCGTCGTCGGAAAAGCTGGGGAGTACAAAGACTATGCGGCGACTAAAGGAAGAGAAACCGCCGATGCTACGGCGGAGAAGGCGAGGCAGACCAAGGATTCCGCCATGGAAACCGCGGCGGAGACGAAGGACTACACGGCGGAGAAGGCGAATCAGGCGGCGGCGAAGGCCGGAGAGTACAAAGATTACACTGTTGAGAAAACTAAGGAAGGGAAGGATACGGCGGCGGAGAAGATCGCCGGACTGAAGGACACGGCGGCGGACGCAGCGAAGAGGACGATGGAGTTTCTGACGGGGAAGAAAGAGGAGACGAAGGAGAAAACGGCGGAGACGACGGAATCCGCCATGGTTGGAATTACTGGAGCTTCAGATTCAGATTTATAGAGATTCGTAGCATGAAAAGGACTAATTATTTGATTTCTGTGATGCAGGAGAAGTTCGAAGAAACGAAGGAAGAAGCGCGGAGGAATTTGGAGGAGATGAAAATCCAAGGAAGGTAATTTTAATTCCCCTCTTCTATTTTCTTTAGCAATTTCCTATTTATTTTTAAAAAATTTAATATATATATGTCTATAAAATAATAATTAAAAAAAAATTGGAAACCTTGTAAGGATTTTTTTGTGTATCAATAAAATATATATATATATGTTTCAAAAAATTTAGGGAGAGAGATGAGATCGGCGGCGGCGAAGGTGCCGGCGGAGGGATTTTCGGCGCGTTGGGGAGCGTGAAGGACGCCATTAAAGGGAAGCTGACGCCGCAGCAGCAGCAGGAAGCGGCGGCGGAGGTGAGGGGGGAGGACCGGCGGGTGTCGTACGGCGGCGCCGGGGAGGCGAAGGCGGGGATGAGGATGTCGGTGGACGAGGAGGGGATACCGGTGGTGGTGAAGGTGGAGGAGACGCCGGCGGGAGCGGCGGCGGAGGTGTTCAAGGAGGCGGACCAGATGACGGGGCAGACATTTAACGACGTGGGAAGGATGGATGAGGAGGGCGTGACACGTGTACGGCTGGATCGGCGCCCCGGGAAGATGTGATTCGGGAGGTGTGACCCGGACCCGGACCCGAAGCTTTCTTTTTTTACTGTTGTTGTACTCGTCGTTGTTTCACTTGTTTGACAGGGTTCTCGGGTTGTGTGTGTAATTTCAAGCGATGACTTGTTTGGCATGAATTTCCCAGAATGGTATATATAGAATAAACGTTTTGATAGATGCGGGAAGAAATAACCACAATGGAATTATTATACAATGGGCTGGGCCTCAAAATTTATACATTGGGCTGATATTGCAAATTCTAGGCCCAATGCAAGCCTGGATTATGCACGGCATAGTGTCCGTGTATTTACGAAAAAACAAAAACTTATGTATACATTAGAAAAAATAAAATTTTATGAATAAATAAAATTTAAAAACATTTTAATATCAATATATAATTATTTTTATAAAATAAAAAATCAATATTTTTAAATATAACAGACGAGAATAGATGAGACATCGTATGTATATTCAAACAATATTTATAATAGCATGTAATAATTACAAATGTCTAAAATTTTGACTAAACCAAAGGCAATAGATTTTATGTATAATATGAAGTGACATTTTAGAGTCAAAAGGGGAACCACCGAACCATCAATTAAATCAACAAATGAAGATACGACACAACTTTATGAGACAGAAAATATTTAGGAGCAGTGTAATGATCCATAATATAATGACAAAATAGTATTTAATTACTTAGCAAATAAACGTGCGTGCGTGTTACATGCCTACACCTACACCACCTACCCCCACCAAAACTAATACTAATTGCCATCAAACATCACACAAAATTCACATTTTCTCCAAATATTTACCCTCAAAGTCATAATCATATTTCAAGAATTCCAGACAAACTGAAAATATTACAGACATGATGATCTACAAACCCATGTTTAATTTAAAATAAAATCAATAATATATATATATATAGAGGCATATCTTCAGCAGGATTTGGACAAAAACATTTGTGTGAGAAAGAGAACTGAATCAATTGCAAAAACACATTTCAGAAATAACTTACGATATAATAATAAATAGGCAGGTAGAATTTGTGTGTGTGTATTGTCTATCTGCAGCAAAAAAATAAAAAAGTAAAAGAGGAGTATATAGAGATCATACTTGTTTGTTTTTTACTTAAGAGAGCCTCCTCTTCGTCTCCGGCGTTCTCTCAGTTCGATCGGAATGATCGAAACCGAGTCGACGCAGAGGCCGCCTTTCGAATGCGTACAATCAATCTGTTTCATGTAGAATCTAACCTCAGTTTCGTGGTTCGATTCCGTGACGACGAACTCGCCGACCTCGTAATCTATCCAACAGCCGCGTTTATAACTCGTGGCATCGTTGTGTTTTGTATCGTCCAACAAGCACTCCGTCGTTGCTTGTTGCCCATCCGAAGTGGACAGTTCGAACCGCACGGGTTTGATGTCCCATCCGTGGGTGTGATCGAAATTGGAGACGCGGCGGCCGAGTCGTCGGGAGAATCTACCCAGATGAGTCCTGAACGACAGTGTATATATATCGGGCGGGAAAGGGAATTTCACCACACCGTCGACTTCGAACCACCAAATTTGCTGCAAATAGGCGACGACGTTAAATCTGCAAGAATGGAGGAATATAAAGATCGGGTGCAAAAGTTTTTATCCAAGTTGAGCAGCAATCACTTATAATTGTATAACGAAAAAATTAATACGGGAAAAGAATGTTTATCGAAGAATTATCCAAGTTTATATCACAAGCAAGCAAATCTGGTACCAAAGAATTAGTTCAACATAGGGAATACTTTCATTTAACAAATTATCCATTTTTCCATTTTGGTCCGTCCATAATAAGGTTAGTTTAGTCTTTTTATCTTTATTCTACTACGTCTCAATATAATGCTAATATTTCTAAAACTCGATGCAAAAAGCAAACGGATAGATAGATATGGAACGGAGGGAGTAACTAATAAGCAAAACATGGCAAGCATAATTATGTAAGAAAATGAATAGAAGGGCATTTAGAGAATTCCTCAATCTTACACAATAGTCATAGTTTTTGTTCAGATGTAGAAGTTTTCTATCTTCTTTATTTCATATATATACGACTAAATAATAGAAAACAAGTGCATCCCCCAAAGGTATTGAATCATGTCTGACGTCTGTGACACGTCCATAAAAACAATGAACAAATAGCATTTCAACTTAGAAATATCGATCAAGAAATGTGTTCCAGCACTAATGGAAGAATGTCCCGCCAAACTATTAGTAAAAATTCCCGCATAAAAGTAAAAAGAATTTGTACATATCATCTCCTCAAAATTTGCCATTCTCACGGCATGGTTGCTCATTTTTTTCATAGAGTATATGCTTAATATGATAAATAAGTATTGTCTGCTTGAAGATCTTAACCCATACAAGATTCATGTATCCCTTTCCTTAAATTTAATCAATTAAACGCAAGAACGTGCAAATTTTTATATCTTAAAGGACCAGCACCAATAGAATTTTCTTCTGGGGAGTGAATAGACGTAATAAAAGTGTGGAAAGGAGAGGCTTTTAAGGCCTCAAACACCAAAGCTTGTTTTATTAGCAAAAAATCATTTCCAAAGGTATAAAGAAAAACTAGAATACAGGCAAACAAATTTATACAGAGACACATGAATCGACTAGACTATCTCGGATTCATGTAATAAGAATGAAAACCAACTTATTTCAAGACAACATCCTTCCCACATCGATTCGCCTCTTCTTACATACACATATTTGAAAGTTTTATCACTATCCATTAACGGTAGTTTTTTCAAAAACCATCACACCAATGCATCGCAAAGCTATTTTCTCTTAGAAAACATCACGTCAAATACCCACCTTTTTACTATTTCCAAAACATTCGAAAACTACAAAAACTTCTGTCGAAAGATGATTGTAGACGCTGCCAACAAAATCATTATCAAGTTTAAACACAAAAAATAACAAAAGAAATTGATAAAAAGCATGATCACATGGAAAACAGTTGATTGATTCAGATATCATTTCATAGAGTTGTCCAAATGCCGGGAGGATCAAAATACTAACCTTGACTCCTCCGTCGGAACCCAATTCCAATACCTTCTGTCATCGATGCCAGTTATTGCCATTGCCTTTGCAGATATACACATGCAAACTCTCCCAGTAAATTTGTCCACCCATACCACCTGCAATACCCCCATTGAAGTGAAAACTTAAAACCAAATTTACAAAAATCGAATCAAATGAAAACTTCAGATACTTTCAAATGTACTGCATATCTCATCCCAAACATAGTTTGGAAGCTTAAACCATTCCAAAAGATAAGAACACTAACAATTTCTTAAACAGATCCAAAATCTGACCGTGCTAAATGCCAACACTAAATAAACAACAGCTGTAAGAATTTGCACCTTCTAAGGCAATATTATGATTCATTTAGATAACCTACAGGCTCTGCAACCAACTATGGTTAGAGCTAAGAACAACAACTTAGCAGAATTCATTCAATGGATGCAATTTAATCAATAAGAAAGAATTAATCCACCAACTTCAAATCGTGTTACCCAAAATTATAGATAAAGTGAATATTCAGAGCTAAAACCTAATTTGAACAGAGTTAAGAAGTAAAGAAAAACCAAAAACAAAGCCAGACAAATTTCAACAGGGCAAATAAACCTAAATCAACTGATTGAATCATGGAGGAAGATAATCAAAGCATCGACGCACAAAATGTTACAAAAAGAGAAACCAAAAATTATGTATATATTACAGATATATATATATATATATGAACAAAAACTAGCCAGAGATGCATCGGAAATTAACGTGCCTTGTTTCCGTCGTCGAACGGAAGGGGGCGGGAAAGGAGTGCGAAGATATCCTTCTTACAGAGGCGTTGATAGACGTCGGATTGCGAGAGGAAATCGAGCAGCTGGTGGTAATTAGACGGAAGCTTGGATTCCCAAACCGCGTCTGACGAAGCGGCGCCGTGGAATGCGCTGTTGAGGCGCGCCAATTTGCATATCTCCGGTGGCGTTAGGTAGCGGAACACGAGCGTGACGAGATCCTCCGGTATGTCCCCCAGGCCCGGCCCGCCGTTGCCCGGCCCGTTCTCGGTCAAATTCGACAGCGACGCCCCCATACAATACAACCGCGAATGAAGAATCCTTTTCCAGCGGCTACCGAGTAGAGAATATTCCGGCGGAGGAGAAAGGTGGAGAACTAATCGAGATTGCGCGCGGACCAGCAGCGCTCCGCCATTGCCTTTGTTTTCTGACTCCGAGACCTCTGTGGTTTTCTTTTCTTAAGCATATCTAAAAACTCCAGATCCTGACCTGACCTGACCTGCTGTGTCAACTAAAATACATACATACATACATATCACATCATATCAAAACTATCAAATGTAAAATGTAAAATGTAAAATGTCACTTCTTACATACACTAAGGGTGTGTTTGTTTGGGAGTTTGGATTTTGGATTGGGATTTGAATAGTAAAAATTTTAAATTTGAATAGTTATACGATGTGATATAAATAAGAATTGATGTGATATTTTGAATCTAAAATTGATTTTTTTGTATAATATAAAAAATAAAAATAATTTGATATTCTTGGAGGAAAAATTTTGTGAGAATAGTAGAAATCTCACAAAATCCCTCAAACAAACACACCCTAATAATAATTTTTGAGTCCCACTTAATTTATCTCGTATTTTTATTTTAATCTGTCCACATCTTTTACTAATATAATATAATTATATAATTTTTTAATTTAGTCATCTTAATTTTAATTTATAATTATTTTATTAAATTATAATTATTTTTAGCAATACCTTTTTTAATTGTTATTGATTACACAATATCTAGAACTCTGTTGTAAGCTAAATGAAACAATTTAGCTAGTTAGGAAATAATATTATTAATATTTTAGTACTATTCAAGTGTAATAAGTAAAAAATAAAATATGATGTTATAAAAATTTTATTAAATGATTAGTAACAAATTATTGAATAAAAAAAATCTAGCAAATTAGTTATTCTGTGTTGAAGTAAAAATAATAAAATTATGTGCAGATAAATTATTTACTTTAGCTATATCAAAAAATTAATAATATTATTATATAATTTTGATGGATGCATTGTGGGAATATGCAATGCAATTGAGTGTGTATTCTATGTAAATTTTGGTAGAATCTAATACTTCCTCTGTCCCATAACAAAATATTTATTTTTTTATTTTAATCCGTCTATTCAATTTTTTTTTTAGTAAATGTACTATCTATTCAACATTGCAAATACCCTTGCAATTTACAATATATTACACAAATGTCATTATCTTTATATCACACATACTAACAAAGTTATTTTAGTCTTTTCTACTATATTCCAATATAATACTAATATTTCTTAAACTACGTGCAAAAAATAAATGAATATTTAGTTTCGGGACGGAAGGAGTAATAAATACACTCATTCTAAAATTACATTATTCATTTTACTTTTGCACACAAATTTATGTATATTAGTATTTTTTATCTTAAACATTAATATTATTGAATGAATAAAGGGTAAAGCTATTTCGTTATTTACTTGGAAGGTATTTTTACGAAAAAAAATAAAATAAAAAAAAATAAAAATTGGATACCTCTTATCTCAGACAAATGAAAATGATATAATAAATACAACTCAGGCGGTTAAAATTTTAAATTTTTATTTAAATAATTTTTCAATATAACAATCCACGAGAAAATTTTATATTCCTTATATTTCCAGCAAATGAAATAATTTTATCATTTCTCTTGTCTAACTCAAATATACTTATTTTTTTAATAAAAATATATTTATACTTTACATAATATTACAAATAATACTTTAAAATTCACATATTACTCAGACGGAGAAAAAATTATTATTAGAAACTATATACTCCTTCCGTTCCGGAGCAAGATTGTCATTTATTTTTTACACGTAAATTTTTAAATATTAGTATTATAATGAGTTGTAGTGAAAAAGACAAAAATACCCCTATTACTATTGTGTAATATAAAAGTAATGACATTTGTGTAATATAGTGTAAGTTGGAAGGGTATTTATTATGTAGTACAATTACTAAATTATGAAATGATAACCTTGTTTTGGGACGGACGAAAATGGAAAATGACAATATTTCAATGAAACGGAAAGAATAATTGAATTACTAATTAAATATTACATCCGTCATACAAATATGTGTTCATTTAACCGGCACGAATTTTTATTTAATAAAAGTGAGTAATATTTATTAATTTTTTTTATAGTAAGATAAATACAAAAATATAATACTACATCTGTCTCGTAACTATATATCTATTTGCTTTTTGCACGAGATTTTAGAAATATTAGTATTATCCTATAATGTAGTAATAATAAAGTTGAAATGACTAAAATAACCTTATTAGTATTGTTTTATATAAAAACAATGACATTTATGTAACATATTGTAAATTGTAAGAGTATTTGTAATGTTAGGTAGATAGTACAATTACTAAAAAAAAAAAAATGTTTTGTTATGAAACGGACTAAAATGAAAAAATTGATATTTTGTTACGAGACGAAGAGAGTAATTTTTTACTTTTAAGAAAACAAAAATATTTGTTTTTATTCTAATTTTTTTTTTAAAAAAAATGAATATAAATTTGACTGACGAATGAATATATATATATATATATTGGGTGTGTTTGTTTGGAGAATTGGATTGGATTTAAACTATTCATCAAATTTTTTCCTCCAAAAATATCAAATCAAACACCTATTTTTCATTTTTTATATTATACTAAAAATCAATTTTACATTCAAAACATAACTTCAACACCTATTTATATCACAACATACAACTATTCAAATTCAAAATTTTTACTATTCAAATCTCTAACTCAAAATCCAAACCTCCAAACAAACACACCCAAAATATCTTATTAGAATATTTTTTAAACAAATACTCTCTTCAAATCAATGCTCAACAAACCATATCAAAAAATTAAAAAAGAACTCAAGAAACCATAGTGAATATTTTTCAACGTGAATATCAATATATGATTATTCTATTTATAAGATAATAAAATATAATAAAAACGTGAATATCACGCAGTAAATACTAGTAATATATAATAATAATAATAATAATAATAATGCACCTCATTTCAAAGATGTGATGGCAAAAGTCGCATTCCAACAATTCCAGCGAGTTTCTTTATTTTGGAGTCCTACCTCTGACATTTTTTTTAATGCTTGTTTTACTCTCTATATTATATACTCCTCGTCCCGAGTACCGTGTCTGTTACACGGTGAACACGATATTTTAGGAGATGTGTAATTAGTAGATAATTAAAAATGTATTAGTGAAAATAATTATTCTATAATATAAATAATTATAAATTAAGATTAAGATAACTAATTAGTTTAATTAAAATAAAAAAAATTTAAAAAATTTAAAATAAAATTAAAATGTGTAATCATTTTCCAAAAAAAAAAAAAAGTGACATGATGATACGTAGTACGAACAGAAACGACAACGTGGACATGGTATCTGGGACGGAGGGAGTAATTTTATTACTTTAAAAATTTTGTTTGCACATTTTTTTTATTATATATATTTTTATGTTTAAAAACAAATTACAAATATTATAAAATACGATAAATTAAAAAAAAAAAAAAGAAATTACTTAAGGTTGTTTGGGTGGTTTAAATTTTAAATTGAGCATTAAATAATAAAATTTTTAATTGAAATAATTGTATAATTTAATATAAATAGTATTGAGATAATATTTTACATATAAAATTATTTTTTTTTAAGTAAAATATGAAAAATAAAAAGTAAATATTTTTAATTTGATTTGAATGATAAACAGTCAAAATTAAAAGAAATTAGGTAAACGAACACACCCTAACAAAAGTCGCATTTGTAGCACGTGTAAACGACAGTAATAATCACGATGTTGGTTGGATGTGTGTGACCAAGTTTGTATTACCGACAGCAACTGCACAATCCAATAGCTGTTCGACACGTCATTCCTGTAATAAATTAATTATTAACTACCCATGATAGCTGTTCAAAAATTGATTACACGCATCAACGACTGGCCAATGGCTGTCCGACACGCTATCACTGTACTAAATTGAATAAAAATAAATATGCACGCCCAGTGGGACTCGAACCCACAATCGCTTGATTAGAAGTCAAGCGCCTTATCCATTAGGCCATGGGCGCCTTACATTTGAATTTCTAACTTTATTTTATATATACAAAATATTAGTGATATTTAAAGTATAAAATATTCTTGAGTAAAAATCATTTTTGGTCCCATTAAAAAACAATTATCAATTTTGGTCTCACTCAAATGAAAATTTATCAGTTCTAAGATAATTGATTGAGATTGAACACGGTTGTGTTGGCTTGAACATGGCCGTGTTGGATGACTCAGAAGGTGACTGGCCATCCGAGGCAACCAACACGGCCGCGTTGGTTACCCTGCACTTCTGAACACGGTCGTGTTCTGAACACATGTTCTTGTTCATATTCTCAACATAACCATGTTCTAGGCCATATTCACAACTATGTTTTCAATATAATCATATTGTACGTCATATTTATTATTATTATTATTATTATCATTTTTTGGTTAAAATTATTCGATATATATATATTTATAATTCAACAAAAATATTTTTTATAATTATTTCATAATATAAAAAATAATTATTTTTTAATATTTTTAAAATATATAAAAATAATAATATATTAATATATATTTTTAATAATCATTATATATATTTTTAAAAATTTATAGTAAAAAATTTAAAATTAATTATTTAAAATTAATTATTTCTATAAAATATAAATTGAATTTATTATTCAAAATAATACTCCCTCTGTCCCATGTTGGATGTCTCGGTCACTGTAGACAATAGGATAAATATAATTAGTAGATAATTAAGAATGTATTAGTGAAAATAATTATCATATAATATAAATAAGTACAAATTAATATTAAGGTAACTCATTAGTTTAATTAAAATTTAAAAAAATAAATTAAAAAATAGTGTGTAATTATTTTTCAAAAAAAAAAAGTGACATGAGATGCGGGACGGACAGAAATGACAATGTGGACATGATAAGTGAAACAGAGAGAGTATTATTAAAAAATATATATCAATATATTATTATTTTTATATATTTTAAAAATATTAAAAAATGATTATTTTTATATTATGAAATAATTGTAAAAAATATTTTTGTTGAATTATAAATATATATTTAATAATTTTAACAAAAAAAATGAAAATAATAATAAATATGACGTACAATATGATTATATTGAAAACATAGTCGTGAACATGGCCTAGAACATGGCTGTGTTCAGAACACGGGCAGGAACACGGCTGTGTTTAGAAGTGCAGGGTAACCAACACGGCCGTGTTGGCTGCTTGGGACGCCCAGTCACCTTCTGAGTCATCCAACACGGCCGTGTTTAGTCTCAGTCAACCATCTTGGGACTAAAATTGATAAATTTTCGTTTGAGTGTGACCAAATTGATAATTTTTTTTGAATGAGACCAAAATTGATAATTATGATATTGAATAAGACCAAAAATAATTTTTACTCAACATTCTTATTATACTATTTATAATTATTTATTCATTACCATTTCAAAATTAAAGCCTTGTTTGTTATATAATATAGAACAATATAATATAGTTGGTAAGTATTAAATGTATATATATATATATATATGAATGTGTGTGTGATATTTAATGTATATAATATTTAAAGATATATAAATATATATATCCAAATTGTGTATAATGTATCTTCATAGTTTCAATATATATATATATATATATATATATAGGGGTTAATGGACCCCTACAAAAACATCCACATTACACCTACTTAGCAAGTTGTGTATTACTTGCAATACATACGTGTACATAACATTGTTATATATATATACATATATTTATTTTATTTTTTAATAAACATATTCAACCCTTCTTTACAATTATCACATTAAATAAATAAAAATAATAAAATTACGAGTAGATAAAATTATTTATTATAAATAAATCATACAAAAATTTGAAGTATATAATTATATGTAGTATTTTATTTTATTTTAATATCAATTAAATAGTGCATAAATCTATTTAGCCGAGTGACTAAATTCTTAGGTTTCAATTTTTTTATTTGAAAATAATTTAAATAATAAAAAATATATTATAAAAATTTCACGATAAAGAATATCAAAGTATAGCATCATTTGCAGGGCATGCACATTATCGATCATCTTACAAGAGCATAAATGTGTCTAGTCTAAATGTAAAACTCAAGACAAAAAATTTCCAGGCATCGGCAACCATGATTAAACAACAAGAAAGCTAATCTTCGAGCTCGATGATCTTTACCACAGAGGCATCTCCAACTTTCTGGCAAATGACGACGCGATCATGGGACTTGATGAACCCCGAGGCTTTCCCATGGTCGAGCGCAACCTTTAAAATCGATTCATTTGTTGCATTTGTAGACTCCGCCTATGGATAACCACAAAACGTTGCATGAATAATAAAAGCGCCCGTATATTTGACAAAATTGTTTTATAATCACCTATGATTTCAAGTCTATATTATTCTTTTTTATGATTTAAAGTGAGTTTTCTTGTGTTTTAAAAAATATTACATATTTATTTTTTTATAAAAATCTTATGCAATATTATTAAAAAACATATCAAAATTTCATATAAATTTTAAGAGATATCATACATTTTTTTTTTCTTATGCCTAATATAATGTCTAAATCATGAATAGTACGATGTAGGGCAGGCAAACAGATCAGGTCTAGTTGGGTTCGAGTTCGGGTCAGCTTAAACGGGTTACAAAACCTTTGACCTGAACCTGACCCATTTAATTAAAAGGGTTGATATTTGCAACCTTACCCTGACTTTTTATTAATCGGGTCAATCTGAATCTAACTCGTATAACCCGTTTAATCTAAAAAATTAAAATTTTAATTTAAAATTAAAATTTATACTAACAAAAATTTTAAATGCATAATATATATACATATTAAAGCAAGAAATTATTTATTCGTATCATGAAACCGATATTCAAGAATTGAATTAACAAACACTACGTAATAGTACACAACACAATCCTTTATTTTTTATTATTTATTTTTATAAAATTGGCCATAAATATTGAATTGTATTGATAAAATTTTAAAAATATATTTAAATTTAAAATAATATTAATTAAACAGATTGGACGAGTTATTTTCAGGTCGAAAATGTAGACCTTAACCTGACCCATTTAATTAAATGAGTTAAACTGGTTTGACCCAATTATTAATTGGGTCGAAAATCTCAACTAAAACCCAACTATTTCAGGTCAAGTTCGGATCGGATTATCAGGTCGGGTTAATTATTGCCAGCCCTAGTATGATGCCAAATTTTAAAAACTTACAGGGTGACGAGGATCAGCAAGCAGAGGAAAAAGCGAGCGCACTATCAACGACTGTCTTGCCTTTAACATAGCCAAAAAAAGATCCATCGAACAAATTTAATTTTACCATGGGGTAAAAATTATTGGCATAAAAAGTAAATCTTGATAGAAAGATTTACCTCGAATGCACCGGTGAAACTCCATTTCAATTGATCTGTCTTGAGACGAGGGATGACAACCGATAGAACAGGCATAGTTGGTCTATACTTGGCAATCAATCTGTGCCATGGCGACAGTGTATTGAAATCAACTTATCATACCATTGCGGGTTCCCACGTTATTAAGAAAAAAAAAAAAAAAAAACTTCTTGGTGCATTCGATGCCATACCTTGCAGCTCTTCCAGTCGACGTAAAACATATGATTACAGAGGCCTTCACCTTGATTGCAGCCCGGACCTAAGCACAACAATGGATATATTCATGCAACTGTAATAAATTCCGAGCTCATCGTGTTATTTATGTACATAGATTTTCATACCGCGGAAGAAGCAATGGATTCCAAGTGAGTCATAGGTTCGGTGATGTATCTTACGGTCCTCTTGAAGTATTGATCTTGGTTAAAGACTTTCTCCGCCTGCAAAAACAATGGCGGTGAGTTCTTCCACGGATAATTAACTCGAACAAGTGTTAGATGATTGGAATGTAGAGCGAATTAGACCTACCTCAGCACAAATTCTGCCTACAGTAGAAATAGATTCGACAGGGTAATATCCGCGGTAGGTCTCGGCGCCGAGAAGGATTGCATCGCATCCTGCAGCATTGGCAGAGTACATGGCGCCAAGTCATAACGAATTTTCAAATTCTAATAAGAACAAGCATAATAATGATACATGTGAATCGAAGACCTAATGAATCTTGGGAAGCATTTACCATCCAAAACGGCATTGGCAACATCAGTTGCCTCGGCACGAGTAGGCCGGAGATTGGCAGTCATGGTGTCGACAACACGAGTTACGACTGCTGGCTTTCCAGCCATGTTGCATTTGTATATAGCAGATTTCTGAAACAAGAACACCTGCAGATACAGAATAAAGCACCATATGTTAGCTAATATATATACTTGGCAAAATTGCATGAATCCCGCGTATGGTTTTACAAAATTACACCAAATTCCTCGTACTTTCAAAATTACGTCAGTCTCCCTCGTAGTTTTCTAAGATCTGCATCTAACAAGTTTTTTAGTATTTCATGAAGCTAAAATATAAAAAAAATATATATATTTGTAATTTTAGTGATTTAGAAATAAAGATTCTGAAACTCATTCGCAGTTTAAAAAATAAGGACGACCGAGGAGATTAGATGCAGAGTCTATAAGACCAAGAGGAAGTTTAACTCAATTTTGAAAGTATAAAGGATTTGACGCAATTTCTTCAAACCACATGTGAACTTTGTACAATTTTACCTATGTACTTTATGTGTGTATATATAGTTTTTTGTGGATCACAATAATGTGATCTGTAGAGAATTTTGAAGAGCCACAGAGTTTATATCAATCAACATGTGTAAAACTCGCAAACCAACCTTTTCGGGTGGAAGATCTATGCCGAGGGTTCCTCGCGAGAGAATGATACCATCTGCCTCATTTAGGATCTCATCAAAATGAGTTAAACCCTGCCAAGATCACACAATGCAGTCAGATTTTAAATGAAATTACTCCAGATGAAGATTTTGAATGAAAGTAAATGCACCTCGAAGTTTTCGATTTTGGCAAATATTTGAGTCTGGCTTAGATCACCAAGCTTGGCAAGAAAATCGCGGGCCTGTGTCATTCGACATAATCAGATTCTATTCTCAGATTCGACCAAGATAACATAGTGCTTGATAGGGGGAAAAGGTTTCTTTGGTGTTTTACCTGACGAACATCGTCTGCATGGCGTGTATAAGACAGTGACAATAAATCAATCTTATTCTGAACTCCCCATGAACTGATAGCCTGAATTCAAGAACAATGGCATATTGTAGAAGCTGCAAATTACTCATTTTACAAGTTAAAAGCTAAGCCACAAACTACAAAAGTAGGGCCAGAATAAAAATTGCTGCTTAATCTTTCAAGTGTCTATAAACATACTTAAATTCCACCTCTGTTCTTGATTGTCACCGCCAACACATACACAAGAATTGAAGCATTTATAAAATTCTTCAGAGCAATCAATAAACACTAAAAAATCCATTTGAGGTTTAAAAATCAAGTGGTGTTGATTATTTAGTTTCATTTATGTGTACTACAAGTATTGAGTTAAAAATCCCTGATACACACACACACACACACATATATATGTATATATTTGTGCATCTTGGGAACCCTTTGTTCTTGGATTCAAACAAAGAATGGATCCAAACAATAACAGTTATGGATGCAAAAATAAGCAATTTTCGTGAACATTACATATTACATACATCTACAATCACCACTCACCTCCTTGTCCTTATCAGATAGAGTAGGTAGACTAATGTGAACTTGGGAAACATGCAATGTAAATAAGGATCCAGCTAAGGTTGCTGAATTCTTGATATTGCAAATCACATCATTGTCTTTTACTTCATCCACCTGCAAACCACATGCAATTTCAAAAATGAAAAAACTTGCAACAAAATAGTAATGATTCATCCATCCTAAGCTGAAATGTAGATAATGAATCCAGAAACAAAAGCAGAATGTTTTATACCACAACTGATCACACTCATTCCTATTTTAAAAAAGGATTTAACACAATGATCATGATGAAACAATTAGCAAGAACTTAATAAACAATCAAATCATGCACCCGTGTAGGTATAATGTGTATGTAACTATGTTTATATGTGTGTATATATATATATATACCTCCAGCCAAACAGAAGTGGATTCACTTCCTGTGAATAGGTACTGTCCGATGAAAAGGGTGTCTCCCTGTGTAACTGCCTGCAAACAATTAACTTCATCAGAAGATCATATACAAGAAACGAAGTGGACAAATTCATATACTCTTGGTAGAGATGAGAAACATCTTTGTCAGAAAATTAAAGAAACAGAGAAGAAGAAAAAAAGGTGGGGCAAGAACCAAGTTCAGTGCCAACCTTGGCCAATCCATCAAACTTGATTGGCAGAACTCCAGAAGATGCTTCCTGACCTCGATCAGGTGTGAGAACAACCTTATCATCTTCCTGGAGTGTTATAGGATTCTCACTTTTATTTATAACTTGGAGTTCAGCACCTGCAGTGTCTAGCATAACCTGAAAATTTGTTGTTTCCAGCATCCATTTAGGAAGTCGAATAAGAATTTTACTCCCAAAAATGATGGATTCTGAAATTAAGGATATACCTTCATTTGATTAGCCTCTTTCAAATTTGGTTACAGATATCAGAATTCTTACTTTAGTTCTTGAAAAGAACGAAGCAAATGAAAAGCATAAACTCTTTAAGAGGTTAGGTTATATTCTTACAGCACATAGTTTCTTCGATTTCTTAATAGCTGTTTTCAAATTCTCCAGAGTTTCCTGATGATACGCCGCATCGCCCAATGAAAAATCAAATCGTGCCACTGTATTGTCGGAGAAGACGAAAATCAAGACCAAAACCGATGATAACGGAAAACGGAAAGCAAAATTGAAGATAATGATTCTATTTACCCGACATTCCAGCTTTAAGGCAATCGCTGATAACCTCGACGGATCGAGACCATGGCCCCAACGTGCCTACAATCCTCGTCATTGCAGGGAAAAAGCTCTGCATCGCGAAAAAACACCATACATTTCATGCAAACACAACGCCAAAATCGATCCTCGGAAAGCTGAATGCTATCCAAAGACAAAATCAACAAAATCTCACCGGTTTTGGTGGCTCCATAATCATTGCCATCCGGATCGGTTCCTCTAGCAGCAAGTGGTTCGAATGCATTTTGTTTCGATGATCTGTGTGAATGCAAGCTAGAACGAAGTAATCCGAATAAGAGCACTTCTATGTTCCACACGAACAGAGAAATTTATGTAATCGAAAGCAACAAATATCAATATAATACCACTGTCGATGAACAGGGTGCAACTTTTACTTTCTATATTTTATTGCTTTAAGTTATCGATGAACAGTATGCCCCTGGCAGCACTTTGAATTCCAACTCTCCCACAGTTTGTCGTAGAATCAGTGAACTAGACTGCGGATCGAGCGAAAACAATGGGCAAAACCACACCTGTCGCAGGAATTGCACGGTTGCACCGATTTCGTATTGGCACTTTTCAGCATCGTGGCCGCGTGACGTCGGCGCCATTGAAATGCATGCTTCTGATCCGAGACCCGATCTCCATGCTGCTGTGATTTGAAGAGGTCCTTCGCCATTAATGCTTCTTGACTTGTGACCCACGAGCCAGGCCGCACACAGTCCCGCACTCGCCTTGCATATCGTGGGCCCACCTCATCGGACACGTGGCAGAATATTCGCTCATCGGTGCTCTGCGCCGGGTGTGGACAAGTAGATCTCTTCAATCACGCTAAAAAAAATACACTGAAACACTTAACACCGTTATCAATATAATATTATTTTCTCTTTAACTGTCATTAATCTCTGTCGTTAATCTCTAATAATCCAAGAGTGTGTTTGGTATTGAAAATTAGCAGAAAAGAAATGAAATTATTTTTATTTTTCTTGTTTGTTTGAGTAAAAAAAATAAAAATTGAAAAATAAATTATTTTTATTTCAAGTATTTAATTTTTTATGATTTTTTTTAAAAATTATATTAAAATATGATCTTACAAAATTTCGTATATAATTTATAAGTTTTTGTTTTAAAAATATTTTTTCATGATTTTCATTGGCTAAAATTGTCTTTTGTTAGATTAATCATTTATTTTTGTCCGATCCATTCATTTATTTTACATTTTTCAACTGAAATTTCTATTCTATCAAACAAGAGAATTAATTCTCGTTCTCTACTCAATTCTCTCTCTTCAATTCTATTATTTACTCTCATTTATCTGCAATTTCATTATAAGTACCAAACGCCCCCAATTGTTTCTGAATCGAGCCCCCAATTGTTTCTGGATCGAGGGAGTATATTACCCTTCCTCGTACCAAATAAAATATATATATTTTTTAATTTTTTATGTCTCATATCATTTTCTTTTTATAAAAATATAATTAAATATTTTAATTTTATAATTCATATTTTAATTTTATTAAATTATTAAATTATTTTAATTATAATTATTTATATTAGTATATTTTTAATTATATATCTTTAAAATTCTCATGCTTATAGTAATATAGAGTATTTTTTTATAGGGCAGAAAACGTATTATAATTAAATAAACACTTGTTTATGTTATATATTCTTACAACATAAATCTTATTATTAGTATTTCTGTAATTGTAACGGTTTTATCACTTCTACGAATAGAGTAGTCACTCTATACCTAATCAATTTATTTATTCTGTGATATGTTTAATTTAACTTTTTTAAAAAAATAATTTCTAAATTGGGTTTTACAATGATGGTCTTGCAAGTTTTTTTTTTTTTTTAAAAAAAAACTAAAATGGTGATCCATATATTATGACCGATGTGACGATGATATGTTAGTTGCGTTAAAGTCGGTCAGGCCAAACAACATAGAAAATTCGGCACCGAAGGATTATCTTAACGAATTATTGTTACTTACGGAACCTATTTTCAAATGTAATTTATCTAAAGGTTTAAAATGATAAAAAAATTTAATATTCCCTCCGTCCTAAAAGAAGTGCCTTGGGAGTTGGCACGGGAATTAAAGAATAATAGTATTTAATTGAAAGTTAGTATAAAATAGAATGTAAAATACTAAAATATACTTACTTTTTGAAGGATTTTAAAAAGTAGATTAGAGTAATAATTAGGGGTAGTTTGAAAAAGTATGAATAATTTTGCTATAAAGTGGAGACCACGATTACTAAATAAAACATGACAATTGTTTTGAGACGGAAAAAAATGGAAAAATAAGACAACTCTTTTGGAACGGAGGAAGTATTATACAAAACTAAAAAAATATATTACCTAATAAAAAATTAGCAACAAAATAATTATTACTCCAACAACATAATAAAATTACAGAGTGAGTAAAATTATTTATTAGTATAATCTATAAACTTACTATAAAATTGTTAATTAAATAATTTTAACAAAAAAACCATAAAAATACTCTATATCAATAAAATAATTAAGTACTAGTATATTATAAAATTTATAATTAGATTGAAAATTTTATTTTGGGGTTATTATTGAAATGGGTATGCTCGAATCCATTCTAAGAGTGAGTTGATACTTATAAAAATAGAGTAATAAATTTATAAACAAGAATTTATTCATCGTATAATATTTTCAAAACAAAATTTTAAAAGTATCCAAACACACCCTAATTCCGGACCCGATAATGAAAACGGGTCCGGTACAAGTGAAATAGGGCGGCACGCGCAAGCCACGTGCCCACATGACGGCCTCGATCACGAAGGTAACGCCTCAGCTTTCAGAATCGCCGAAACGAAACCCAATCACCTTAACGGCGCTCCTTCTTTTCATGTCCTCCGTCTACTCCGCTCCGTTTCCGTCAACTTGACGCCGTCCATGGCCTCTTGTGGCGATGACTTTTCCCTCCTCGACGACCACCAAAACCCTAACCCCGCCCAACCCCCAACCGCCTCCGCCACCCAAACCCCACCCCCACCCTACCAGATCAACCCGTACGACCACGACTCCGATCCATTCGATTCCGAGCCCGATCCGAATCCGATTTCCGGAAAGCGCCTCATCGATCGGGATGAAATCCACAGCGGAACGCCGAAGAGGTCGAGATTGCCTTCGTCGGGAGGGAGCGGGGACTACAGGAAGGATCGGGAGGAGTGGAGTGATACGGCGATCGGATGTTTGCTCGAGGCGTATAGCGAGAAGTTTGTGCAGTTGAATCGGGGGAATTTGCGAGGAAGGGATTGGGAGGAGGTGGCGGCGATGGTGAGCGAGAGGTGCGAGAATCAGACGAAGAGCGTCGAGCAGTGTAAGAACAAGGTTGATAATTTGAAGAAGCGGTATAAATTGGAGAGGCATCGGTTGAGCAGCGGCGGCGTTGCTGCGAGTCATTGGCCGTGGTTCAAGCAGATGGAGCAGATCGTCGGCAATTCTCTTGCCGCTAAAGCTGCTGCGGAGGAGGAGAAGTCGTCCGTCGGCGTTGGTGCGTCCTATTCCGCTAGACAATCCAAAAGGTATACATACATCTGAAAGCTGTGATTCCTAATTCCAGATCGGGGAACAGAAATTTGATCACTGCTGTGGTTTATAGCAGCAGTTCTGTATCTTTTACCATGATTGAAATCTGGACAGTATAAACTGATGCTGCATTCCTTCCTATGGGAACATGTTTTTGACAGGCTAGGAACATCGATCAACAGTACCAGTGTTCAAATTAACAACGCCAAATTGAAGCCATCGAACAATCTCAGACGACGAAGAGTGGTGTTCAAAATTAGCGGTGCTGCTCTAGCTGGAAGTGCTGCTGCCCCAAACAATGTAGATCCAAAGGTGTATTTTCTTCTTCCTAGTTAACCTGTCGAATTGAAATGCATGCTCTGTTTTATACTGAATCTCAAAGGCACAACCTAAGATACGATGAAACCATCCTACCTTAAGAACATAGAGCTGTCTTTCCGCCTCTTCGATGATATTATATAGACGATTAGGTTTTAGAACAACTTTCTCCCTTCAGAAATACCTTTTGCTTGCTAAATTACGAGATAGAATGCATTTCCTTCACTGAGCTTGCAAATGCTTTTAAACATTGATGTTCTCTCCATAAGTTTGATTTCTTTCCTGTGCCCTCTTGCGCTTCCATCTTACAGAATGTCCTCCAATGGTGTGCCACTGTAAGTAAGAAACTTCTTTGATTTGGAATTTGGGGAAAATTGGGCTTTGGAGAGTCCTATTCTGTTGGATTTCATACTCAGAAGATGCAATTTGTAGCTTGATGCATATATTTTTATCAAACATTGAATTCTTTTGAATGGTGATTTGGTAAACTAGGTGGTCTGGTGCTCGAACATTTCATCATTTCATTCCTTTGGTCTGGTCCTATTCTGTGATTTATTGTGTAATTTGGATTGTGATCAACAAGAACCTCAATACCTGTATGATAGAAAACTATTATTACTGAAGCTGTGATTTCTAAACTCATAACCTCAAGTTTGTTCGGAATCTACATCAAAAGCATCGAAAAAAATTCCTCCATGTTCTTAGCTTTAACCTTTGATTAATTTTGTAATCGTTCATGTCACAGGTGGCAATGTTGATTGCAAAAGAAGTTTCATTAGCTTGCTTTGCTGGAGTTGAGGTATCAATACAAACTTCACATTCGTCATTTACTTGTCTTTCTGCGTGTCTATTTTTGCCCACCCTTAAATTCTGTCCTAGGTGGCTATAGTTGTCGGTGGTAGAAACTTCTTCTGTGGAGATACATGGGTCACCTCAACTGGATTTGATAGGTGCACTGCATATCAAATCGGGTAAGTTCTCTAATTTAAAGTTGGGTTTTCTTTATCTGTAAAACAAATTATGCAATGTTTTCTCGGGACTGTTATGTACTTTTAGATTCAACAAATTTGCAAAAGAAAGGAGCTGATTGGTACTATCCCAAACACATTTATCGATAACTCTTTTTTGCTGATCATGTATTGTACACTTGTGAAAGCTTGTGGGATCAATATCTCCACCTCGTGTAGGCGAATCAATAATTCATTATAAGCTACAATTCAACTCTGACCTTGATTCTTAGCACAATCAAGATCTTGGGTCCGTGTACAGGTTAAATGCTTCTAGTGATAGTGTCTTCGTTAATATTTATCCATGACTGATATGAGGCGCATTTTCCCTCTGGTGCTTTTCTTGTTTTCGCTTACTGAAATAAAATATACCTTCAGCATTTTAGTCACTGATTCTGCCTCGGTTTCCCATTGAAACCAGAATGATGGCGACGATGATGAACTCCATACTGCTTCAATCCACACTAGAGAAAGCAGGCGTGCAGGCACGTCTGCAGAGTGCATTCTCCATGCCTGAGGTTGCTGAGCCTTACAGCCGTCAACGAGCGATCCGGCATCTTGAAAAGGGAAGGGTTGTAATATTCGGTGGCATTGTAGCAGGCACCGGGAATCCACTCTTCTCCACAGATACAGCTGCAGCATTTAGAGCATCCGAGAGTATGATAATGGCCCGTCCTTCCAGGGATGGAAATGGTCCGGGTAGACCCGACCCGGACCCGATCCATTTATTTGGAGTTGGGTTCAATTATTTGAGTATCAGGTCTGGGTCAGGTCTAAGAGTGGACCCTATCCGGACCCGATTAATATATTACTAATATATTGATTATATATATGAAAAAAAATAATTTTAATAATATAAATTATATTAAAAATATGATTTTAGTTTAATATATTTATTTTTTATTATTTTATTATAATATTTTTGAATAAAATATATAAATCTTAGTATATATCGGGTTGGTGTCCAATTTTAAATTAAATTTTAAGAATTGTAAAAGATTTTTTCGGGTTTGTCGGATCCACCTGGTTTTGTCGGGTATGGTCAGATCCGAGTATAATTGGGTTTCGGGTCAAGCCATGTGTGTTCGGGTCCCGACCATTGCCATCCCTACGTCCTTTGATTTCAGCTAATCGTCTCTGTCATCTCTAGTTACATTAATTTACACACCTCCAAATCTTTTGTGCAGTTCATGCTGATGCTGTCCTGAAAGGTACAAATGTGGACGGCGTCTACATTTGCGACTCTAGAAATAACAGCGTTACGGCAGAGCACATTTCTTTCCGGGAATTGGCTTCCTGGGGCACGTCCCCTATGGATAAGATGGCCGTGACATTCTGCGAGGAGAATGGAATTCCAGGTTCCCACACTGTCTTTTTATTTTTGTGCTCGATGTGAATAATTGAAATTTGATTTTGATTTTGATTTTCGCAGTTGGCATATTTAATCTTCACGAGCCGGGAAACATCTCGAGGGCGCTGTGTGGACAACGAGTTGGAACGCTTATCGATCAAACAGGCCCTGTAAGTTGATTGTGTGTGCATTTTTAATTAAATTACGGTTTTTCCGTATGTTGTGTGATTGTTCCTTAGGTCACTAAATAGATACATAGATTTGTTTGTACAATATATATATATACATACATACATATGCATATACAAAGCTCCTAATGCAGTGCCTAATGTGATTGTTGTCCATGAGGGGTAAGAAAACAACATGTTGTATGCATTGTTGTCGCCGTGTCCCGATACCACGGTGTAATAGCACTTTTTGGAGAGCGCCAGGCTTCACCGCCCCGCCTTATTACCGCCTTATTATGTAATAAGGCGGCATGGCGACGCCAAGGCATGTCCAAATTAATACAACCCTTAGCCCAAACTTACCTCACTCCGGATGGAAGTGGGAGTTAGGGTCTGAAATTTAAAACCCTTAAATCTGATTCGATCAAATTATCGAAACAGCTGCCGCCTCCGAGTCTTTATAATATATAATTTTAAAGATAGTATGCTGCGCTCGCCATGGCGGTATGGCGGTCCACAAGTGCCGCGCCGCAAAAGAGCACCGTGACAACCTTGGTTGTGTATATTTGTTACCTTTTAGGAAAATCGATGATCAACTAGTATATAAGGGTACTGATAGGAGTTAATTAGCATTAGGGGTGGGCAAAAAAGTCAAGTTGAACCGCCAAACAGCTAAACAGAATTGAATCAAACCGAATTTTTGGTTCACCAAACAAGTTCGTTCGAATACAAATATTGTATATTTGATAGTATTTGTTTTGATATTTTTTCCGGTTCGGTTCAATCCAACTGAATATATTTGTATATTTATATTAATGTTAAAAATTTATATTTATAATTATATCCAGTTTGGTTTTAGTTCGGCAGTTCAGAATATTTGCAATTATTATTATTCAATTGGAATTTTAATTATTTTTTTAATGTATTTCTTCTTAATTTTGGTTTGATTCAAATTATCCGTAAATATTGCAATATTTTGACCGAAATTTTCGGTTTGGATATGATTTGCGGTTTCGGATGTTTGTACGGTTTGGCTTGAATACTTAGCATTGTCTTGATTAGTCGTATGATAATAGTATAAATAATAATACGCGGCTATTTTGAAGGATGGTATATTATAATTTCTAGGATAATATAAATTTTTATATAAATATTATTTGGATAAATTAACCCTACACATTTAGGTAGGATTAATTATCCTTAATTAGGATATAAGTATAGCATACTTGAATATTGAATTTTTACCATTTTATCCTAAATATGTGATTACATTTAGGGCAAACACACTATAATTGATCTCAGATTATGAGCATAATATTGCGTGCGTTAAATGATAACGCCGACTATGCTAACATAGTCCTTGTCTATCAACCATCTATTTTTACGAGGAAGAAACATATAAATTACTATTCAAATTAAAATAAAAATAAATAAAAGGCCAACCAATCTATATACATTTGACGAACAAAATGCATCAAATGAGAAACAAAAACAATGCATCAACCACTGGTTTAAACAGACCAACGAACAAATCTTACGCTAATTTACCTTAACAAATAGTAACAAAAAAATCTCCCGCCAAGATACAAACAATTCATACAACTGCCTGCCCCCGCTCGCGCGACAAACTTGTGCAACAGCAGCAGTGCTGAAACTTGGCGACACAATTTCATGCTACCAATCCGTCGTCCGTATTAGCCAAAGACGGCGACAAAGAATTCCTCGAGTCAATGTAGTCCTCCCCTAAAGGCGACTGCTCGACTCGAATCTCCTCCACCATCATAACCACCTCTTCCATCCCTGGCCTCTTCTCCGGCTGCGCCACCACACACGCCATTGCCACGTGCAGCATCGACACCAGCTCCTCCTCGATGTTCTTGTACCTATATAGGTAACAACAAAAATAAGCAAAATTCAGTTCAAACACAACATAAAAATAAGGATTTGGACTTTAAAATTAAGCCCGAAAATTTTCTAGATTAGGCCAAAATGGCCCAACACAATTGTAAATTGGAATAATACATGATTTATTAAATAAAATTTAAATTTAATTAATTTTAAAAAATATAACAAAGTTAAATGTTAATTATATATGTATATTTAAATTCTTAATTACCAATAAAAAATATTTGTTTCATAATTGAATTTATTTTTAATTTAAAAAAATTATGCTAAATATATTTTAAATTTTAAAAGAGCGACCGGCATGGCTGGTATGATTTGAAATAGGACTACATCTGGCTTAGATTTCTTAAGCCTGATGTAAAATCCGAACCAACCTGAAATTGTCACATCTACTTTTACCTCAAGAGCTCGGAATCAAACACCTCGGCAGTCCACTCGTCCCGCACCACGGACCGGACCCAATTGGGCAAGTCGAGCGACGGGTCCCGGCCCGTCAGAATTTCGAGCAGCACGACCCCGAAGCTGTAAACGTCAGCCTTGTGCGATAGTAGCTTGGTTTCCACCTGCTCGGGAGCTCGGTACCCTCCCAGCCGGGATGTCGTGTGGGCGGGGCTCAGCAGCAACGATAACCCGAAATCGGAAATGCATGCAATCCCGTTTTTGTCGAGCAATACATTGGAGGACTTGATGTTCCCGTGTGGGATTCTTGATCCTATGTGGTCGGCGTTGTTGTTGCCTTGGTGAATTCTTGCGAGCCCTCTTGCGGCTCCGAGTATCAGGCTGACTCTTGTTGTCCAATCAAGCGGAACCCTTCCCGGCCCTCGCCTCTCTACATATGTCACGGTCCAGAAATCGAAAATTAAACTATCTTTCTTTTCTTGTATTCGAGATGAGATGACGAGAAACATAAAATTCAAATAACATAAAAGTATAAAAAATTGAAAATATATATCATTAATTTTAATTTTATTATTATTATTATTATCATTATTATTCATTCCACGACATCCAAAAACACACCATTATGGTGTACATTCTACTCGAAATTAACATCAAGAAAATCCTTTCCATTCAAAAGTTTCAAATCCATTACACCAATCAAACACCAACCAACACAAAATAAGTTGGTCATCTCAATTTCAAACTAAAATCAAGAAAAACATACCATGAAGCAGAGAATGCAGACTCCCATTAGGAAGATGATCATAGACAAGCAATTTCTCTTCCCTGGCATAATAATATCCCCTCAATTTCACCACATTTGGATGCCTCATCCTCCCAATTACTTCCATGTACTGCTCAAACTCTTTCCTCCCACAAGGATTTGCATCTTTCAGCCTCTTCACCGCCACTGTGCTTCCATCATCAAGAACAGCTTTGTACACACTCCCCAAATTTCCTATGGAGTACAGATATTCAGAAATTTTTCTTGTAATTTACACTGTGAATTGAATATCTAACGTTACCTTTCCCCAGCAGCTCCGCCGACGCCCGGAGCAGTTCCTCCAGCTCGAATTGCTTCTTCTTCCTGTCAAAGAACACAAGTTTGCTCTTATTAGTTGAATTTGTGCCGTCGCTGCTGTCGCCATTGTTGGCGTACACTCGCTTTTCGCTGGAGTAGCTGCTCCTGCTCCTCTTTCCGCCCTCGCTGTCGGCCGCCATGGAATTGGTGTCCTTTGAGGTGCTGCAGCAGTAGTAGCAGACTGCAATTGAGGCGAGCAGTAATAGGAGCACCGAATTGGCTGCTACAATGGCTACTACAGCTCCGTCGCTTAGGCTGTGGCGGTGGTGGTGCTCGATTGACGGCGACGGAAGGGAGGTAGGGTTTGACGGTACGGTTTGGGCGGGAGGAAGCTTTCCGGCGGACGAACAGTTGGCGAAATTAGGATTTCCGCCGCCGCAGAGGTTTGGATTGCCGGAGAAGCTACTTGCTCCGTACCTCGAGGATAAGCTCTTCGGTAGAATTCCAGAGAATTCGTTGTTGGAGAGGTTCAGATCTTTCAACTGAGGAAGCGAATCTAGAAAGTTCGGGAGAGTTCCAGAGAGAGCGTTACTTTGGAGCTTTAGAGTGAGGAGGCGCGACAGTTTGGAGAATTCCGACGGAATGGAGCCGTGGAGGTTGTTGTTGGAGAGATCGAGGCGGAGGAGGCGGTGGAGCGAGGACAGTTCCGGCGGAATCTCGCCGGAGAAGTCGTTGCCGGAGAGATATACGAGTTTGAGATTGAGGCAGTTAGCGAGGGAATTGAGAGTACCGTTGAGGCGGTTGCCCCGGAGGTCGAGGAGGCGGAGCTGTTGCAGCGACGAAAGTGCGTCGATCGGACCTCGGAGGTTGAGAGACGGCAGCGCGACGGCGGTGACGCGGCGGTCGGTGCAATTTACGCCGATCCAATTGGCGGCGCAGGCGGTGGTTGCTTCGCCGGTGGTAGTCCAGTTGGAAGTAAGCGTGCCATGGAGGTCGGTCTGGGAGAGGAAAAGAGAAAGTGCGGCGGTGTCATTGGCGGCGGAGACGGCGGCGGCGGAGGAGGCGGAGATGGTGAGGAGTAGAAAGGAGAGTGTGGTGAAATCCATTTGGCGGTACAGAGCGGGAAGTGCGGTGGTGTATGAATAAGGCACCGTTAGGTTTAATACACGTGACTCGGAGACTCTTTAAGGCTAGAAAATTAGTGAAAATAACAATTTTTGCTGGGAGAAAAATTCGTGAACAAACAATGAATATGAATTTACGGTTGTGTTTTTACATGCAATAATTACAATTTTTTTATACATATATGAAAATATATCATTTCATATCACGAAACAGGACACTCAAATAATTATTTGAATAGTAAATTAAATTAAATTTTAAAAATACACACTTGAAAAAAAGTATAAATATATATATATATATATTTAAAAAAGGGTAAATAGTAAAAATTGAAATCTTGGGCTAAAGAACCATATTGAAAATTTTAATAACTATCAAGTAGGATCTTAATTTATTGAATAGATGGATTGATTAATAGGTTATTGGCTAAATCATTTTGTTTATCTTTCACCTTATACTCTGTCCGACTAAACAAACCATGTGTAACAGGCAAGACCCGGAGAGTGTATACTCTCACGCCACTATGTCTTTCTTATGGGACTTATTTTGATTCAATTTTATTTTTTAACGTAAAAATACACAACCGTTATCGCTATCCGAAAGTACGCACTGAGTGAACTCCTGGCCAAGCCTAATATTCTGTAAACTAAATTCGATAAAATAAATCATACTAGACAAACCATGGGTGACAAATGATCTGAAAGCGTCAGGAAGTTTAAACCTATTACCTAACGAGTACGAGTAAATCCACAATTAATAATGAATCAATAACATAATTGCATCACATGACCATCCCATAATAGAAAGTCAAAATATTTAATTGCAAAAATCAGTTAGTTGGATGGAGAGTAACAGTGTTATTGCCTGTGTTAAAAACTTTATTGTTTTCAAGTTTATTTCTTTTATCAATGGACTACCTATCACCATTCTTACCAATCCAATTTTTCAAACCTCACTCATTTAAAAATAACAAAATTTAATATTGATTTCCTTGAAAAAAAAATGTTATATTTAATAATTATTTTATCAAAGAATATAAAAAATAACTCAAAATTTCAAATATAGAACACCCTGTGTATACTTCTGTTTGTTTGGGGTTTTAAAATAAAAAATTTCACTATTCAATCTATATGATTATTAATAAAAATATACTATTATTATTATTTTTTTTTCAAAATACATCATATCAAAATACTTACGACTTACAAAAATTCAAATCATCAGCCAAATTAAAATCAAAACCAAACAAACAATTTTATTTTCATACTATTCATCAATAGATAGTTTAATATATCACATTATATGCACATCAAATACCTTGGGTGGATTTGGTTTGTATTTTGTAATTTTTTTTTTTTTTTTCATTTTATTAGAAATAGTGGTTAAATATGATATTTTATACATATATATAATACTATATATTTTTTGAAATAATAGAAATGCATAATTAAAAAAATGGGAAAAGAAAAAAATAACAAAAAAGAACAAAAAATCATATATTAAATTCAACTTTGTACTATTATTTGTAAACTACCTTGAAACTATATAACACTTTCAAAAACATCCATAAGGTTTGTTTTTTCACAATTTTAAATTCAAATAATACTCCCTCCGTTCTTTAACAATCTATTAATTTTTTTTTTATTTTGGTTCATCCCATAACAAAGTATCAATTTTCTTTTTTAGTAATTGTACTATCTACGTTACATTACAAATACCCTTATAATTATGTTACACAAATGTCATTACCTTTATATCATACAATACTAATAGGGTTAATTTAGTCTTTTTATCTTTATTTCTACTTTATCCCAATATAATACTAATATTTCTAAAACTCCGTGCAAAAAGTAAATAATAGATATGGGACAGAGTGAGTACTGTTTATCCTATATATTTTCTTTTTTTAAAAAATATATATATATACATTATTTTTTCTTATAAAATATCATATCAATATATTATTTAAATAAAAATTCAAATCAACATTTAATTTCAAATTACAATCAAACAAAAACAAGTAGAAAAATTAAAGTAAACTAAAAACAGAATAATACATAACCAAAAAGCATGTGAAATGTGGAAAAGGTGAGGCTGGCAGTAATAGGAATTGAAAATGAATAAATAAAATTGGTTTTGTCGGGAGAAGCAGTGAATGAGAATGTCAAAGAACAAATGGATAACAGCTTTGATTCAAAGAAGATTTTGATGTGATTTCTCACCACCTTATTTATTATTACACTATAGTTTAATTGAAGCCGGGATTGACGTTCTAAAACCATCATCCTCAATTATTATAATCATACCATTGCATTGCATTGCCTTTTTTTTCATTACTCCATCAGTCGTTCAAACGTGTACTCATTTGACCGAATACATATTTTAATATAAGTGAGTAATAATTATTAATTTTTTCTTTATAATAAAAAAAATATAAAAATAGAATAATTTTTCACTTAATAAAGAAATAAAAATATTTTTCAATGACAACAAAAAAAAATAAAAATAAAAATGAACATATATTTAAATACGGAGGGAGTACAAAAAAAAAAAAACACTCTTTTTTGTCAATCTCTTTTTCTTCTAATAATGTAATAACTACACTGGATAAATTGACTATTATTTAGTAAAATAAAATTATTTATTATAAGTAAAGAATATATAAATCTAATAGATATAAAAGTAATAATATTAACGAACAAGTATTTGGCACCAAAATTAACTTATTTAGTTTATATTTATAAATTTTATATTCCATAATTATTTATATTTATATTTAGTTTTAGTTTTAGTTTTATTTAATATATAATACTAATATATAAGTTTTTTTCTACTCTAATTGTTTACATTTATTAACTTTCATTTAATACACTCTTTCTTTTTCTCCAAAGTAATTTTTGGAATTATATAGTATATTAAAAAATAATAATATTTTATTCTTAGTAAAAATATTTTTAAAAAATTAATATTTTTGCTCTTTGACTTTTTGCATAAATTAATTATACATGTAATTTATATATTTATAATTGATGTAAAATTTAAAAATATTTTGATATTAGTGTTTAATTATTTTTACAAAAATAAAATTAAAAGAAATTGTTTTTTAATGAAACATGTGAAAATAATAAAAAGAATACTTTGATTTGAAAAAGAAATATTCGATGGCAATTTTTGTATGCATTTCATTAACTTTTATAAATATTATAACTAAATTTTAAATACGTCCATAATTCAACTTTTAAATAAGAATTATTATTTTTTCAATAATTCAACTTTTAAAATTATAAATAATATTCAAAAGTAAAACATAGGATTGATTAAATAAGACCAAAGTCTCTTACCAATTATGGAGTGAGAGGTTCAATGGGCAATCATAAGTAGCCCAACTAAATATCTTTGATGGACTAATGGGCCAAATAAAGAAATGTAAACACAGTAAGTATGTTTCATGGGCTAATGGATTGGAGATTTGTTTATTAAAAAAAAAAAAAAAAAAAAAAAACATATCTATTACCTATTTTTAATTTTTCAATTATTTTAACAACAGTATAGACACATATTTAATAAAAAGACATAAAAGCAACAAAAAAATAATAATAATAAAAATACAAAACATTATTTTTGTAATATTTTTACAATTCTCCACAAAATAAAATAAAATAAAATAAATGTTAAAGAAAAAATAAAATGAAATTATAAACACTAGACACTAAATTTTTACTAAAAAGTTTTAATCTAAGATACACACCAAACCCCTTCAGTTTTTTTTTTTTTATTATTATTATTATTATTATTATTATTTTTTCTAATATACTGTATATATTAGAAAGAATATTCAATGATTATATATACACGAATACATATCTTTTATAATATTATACTTTGATTATGATATGAAAGTGTTTGGGAAACAACATTTGAGCTTTTAGCTTATTGAATAGATTTTTCAAAAAGCTAATTTAAGTGTTTGTGTTTAGTAAATTAGCTTTTTGAAAGAGCTTTTTGGACCAAAAAGCTAATTTATGAAAAGCTGGCGTTTTGAAACAGCATTTTCATTTTAATTTTGGTTATTTCTTATTTACCCTTAAACTTAATTATTTATTTTTTACATATAAATATATTGTTATAGTAATATTTATTAATTATTTTTAATATATTTAATTTATTAAATTAGTATTATTTTTTTGTAAATTTAAAATAATTACTATTATTAATTATTAGATATAAATTATTTTATTTGTAAAATATATAATTTAAAACTAAATCAAATAAAAAAACAAAGATTATTAATTTATTTATATATATTAAAATAATAATTAACATAATAAAAATATATATACGAAAGATTTATTATTTTATATTTTACATAATTTTAATAAAAAATTATTATTTTTTAGTAAAAATAATTTTCTCAAATCTAAATAATAAAAATAAAAATAAATATTTTATAATATTTTTATAATTTTCAATAATTAATAACAAAAATTCTCATAAATTTCAAACCAAAATGAACAAAATTAAATATTTTAAAAAATAACATATCAATGTCTTTAATAGTCATTTTATGTATAAACAACTAATATCAAACCATTGTTTTACCAAACACTTTAATACAAACAATTAGCTAGTCATACCAGCTAATTGAATCAGTTAAAAACTGTCAGCTAATTACCCAATGCACTCTATATCTAATATTTTATAATAGTATTACCAATAGTGACACCATCCTAAATCAGAATTATTTTTACCCTCATGCTTTCCACCCCAATATTCCACATAAAATTGTTGTATGTTTTTTTTTTAAAAAAAAAAAAAAAAAATGCATTATTACAAGCAATGTGACATCAAGATGGACAAAATAGATCACACAGCCGGCAATCAAATATACCTTATGGAAGATATAAATATACATATACATATATATGGATATGAAAATGAAACATAGCAAGAGCCAAGAAAGCTAGCACACCTGAAATGTGATGTCACTTGAAATTACCTTAACTCTTCTTCGAAAACCTGGCAAAAAAACAGAGCATAAAATGA